AAATGTACGCTAATTATTCGAGCAAATAATGAGGCTAGAGGCTTGAGGCTTCCACTGATTCGACTACTGCCTTCCTCTGGCAGAAGCCCCCTCCCTTGCCACATCCGCAGTCGTCGGCAACATCGAATTTTTATGACTGCCACTGCCACTGCCACTAAGCCTCTTCAGAGACCCACTCGCGCCACTCGGCTGTTATCTCCGGCTAATCTCCGGCTAGAATCCACGAATATATGTATATATTTTTTGAAGAAGACGAAGAAGAAAACATACTCTGCGAATGGTGGAGCTTCCCCGGGGGTTCACTTGCCTTGGCATAGTTTTCTGCTGACTGCCGCATTTCCTCCGTTGCTCCAACGCTCCACAGCTCGAAGATAAAGCCAGCGACAGATTTACAACAAATTTTTGTTGTTGGGGGGCACTGGGAAATGCTTTCCCTCGGCATAAAAGTATTTACATTTCCACGCACAGTTTTCAGTTTGCAGTTGAGGGATTTTTCGGGGCTTAGTCGGTGGCAATTTCGCATCAATTGATTGGGTTCTGCCGTCAGCCGTTACGCAAACAAAAGAGCCAACAGTGCGGTTCATAAATGTAAGACATGAGGTGACTGAACTGTTTGTCGGTGCACTCATTTGGGGATCCCCGAAAACTACCCAAGCGATACTTTTGAAGCCCCTCTTTGATTATTTATCAGTCTTTTTGTTGGCTTTGCTAATAGTCGGCAACAATCAATAAAAACTCTATAAAATTTATTCGATTTTAAAGCTCGCTTGGCTATATTAAGCGAGAACTAAAGTGTTTAAATACTCGTAGCGTAATGGATAACACGATTACACATGTACATACTCGTACATAGCTGCTACCTGCCACACTGCCACACACACACCTGTCATCGAGAGGATTTCCGTAGTTTGTTTTTTGCTGGCACTCGAATAAAAGTTGAAATTGAGTTTCGGGGGAGGCAGGCCGAAGGGCTCCCCCGATGCTAGTTTTATGGGTTAAATGTGAAGTTTTATTGGCGTTTATTATGGACCCTGGCCAGGACTCCCACGATGGGGGGCAAACTTTATTCGAATGTGAATTTGATTGCATTTCATTTTCGATTAACCATTCGACTGGAAGCAGGGGAGCAGTCAGACACAGGATTTTTAATTGGAGGACTCCGCCATGAAGGCACTACAACTTGGACCCACTCCGAGTGGATCTATGGATCTATGGGATGTACATATGTATATGTAGCTAGATACATGTACATACGGCCATCTATGCTCGTATTTGTGGTGATATTTTGGGTGGTCGTTAAAGCCATAAAACATATTTTCCACAGATTTATGATTTGTTTATTTTTCGCTCTCATTTCTCGATACTCAGCGGAGATCGTGGCGGCTTGAGGCGGGGGGTGGGGAGAGGGTTATTCTGGGGAGGGAGCCAACTTGGCGACACATTCGCGCAGAGACTTTGCTGTCAGCAAAGCCCCAACGAACAGGGGGAGGCGGAGGCAGACGGCGCACTCGAAAGATTATTTTTATACCCAATATTTGCGAGGACAGGGGTGGAGAGGGTATGCTGCGTTTCTTGGAGAGCTCCAGAGTCTCCAGAACTCCCAGGGACAGGCTCTCCTCCTGGGACAGTATTGTCTTGAAATTCCAATAAATTTCAGTGCGTAAGGGGTGTCTCCTAGTCGAATATCCCTCAAATTGAGGCACGCTTTTATGTTTCATCTTTTGCTTATTGGCATAAATGGACTTTAGCTGCGAGACCGCGTGCGTGCCTCTGCTGTGAGTCTCGCGGAGTCTTGAGGAGTCTTGAGAGTCGGCGAGTCTGCTGCGTTTATGTTTAATTATAAATCCCGTTACCCGCTGGTGAGGGAACGGAGGGGCAGGGAGGGAGCTGGGTTCTGCGGTGCAGCTGCTGCTTCGTTTATGGGCAGCCATGCGACCCGCGAACTGCAGAACTGCAAAACTGCAGTCAGCCAGGCTAGCCATCCGGCATCATCAGCGGACTCTCATCATCATCAGAAGCAACAGTGGCAGCATCAGTGGTTTGTGCCTCCTCCCTCCTGCCTCCTGCCTCCTGCCACCCGCCCTTCTGTGTCCATCAACGTCGTGGCCAAATTGCATTTGCATTCAAGTTATTTGCGCTAATTTCACGTTATGAAATTTGTATTTCGCACATTTGCTGGTCGCAGTTTTCTTGGCTCGTTTTTCATTCCGCAAGCGGAAAATTTCATCAGGGGAACAGCATAAATCAGAGAACTATTCAAGACCCAAATGAAAATCAAAACTAATTCTATTAAGGAGCACATTCTTTGGCCACTTGAGCGGCTGGAATTGTACTCTAATCTGCCGGGGAGCGGCCAGCCGGCCATGTGGGTGACATGAAGATCGCTGGTCGGTGGTGGCATGCCTCTTTGTTGTTCAATCTATGGGGAATCTGTGTGGCACTTGGCACTGCTCTGCACTCTGCAGCAGAGTGCAATGTAATCAGTGCCTTTGGGGGCAGCGATGGGGCTTCTTCAGTTCTTCTCATTTTTGGTAAGAGCATTTTGTGTCTGTCAGATACAATGGGCCATAAATCAGAAAGAGTGTTCCCACTTTTGTATTTTGGGAGCGACTTTGGAGGCCCTGCCACGGAGAAATGGTACCGCGGCGGGTATCGGGTCGTATCGGGCGGGAGCAATGTTTTGCGGTGGTAATTGCACGCTCGCTGAAGCGTATCGTATGTTGCAGGTTTCCGCTGTGGCAGCCAGTAGCAGTGGCAGTGGCTGTAGGCAGGAGGGGAATGACCTAAAATAGCGGCACAACCAAATGCGGAACATGAACCATAACAAGGGCGTCCTCCGTACCCCGGACCCCGGACCCCGGACCACGGCAAGGGAACGGAACGGGGTAATATGCACGCGCTGTACGTGTTGCAATCTCCAATAGATACAGAGATACAAAGCGCGTCTGTACGCACAAACATTTCCCAGATACAGCAGAGACGAGTACACCAAATGCCGCAGCGGCGTGCGTGAGAAGTTCCGAGTTTCTGCCGCTTGTTGCCGCCTGCCCCCTGCCCCTGCCGCCTGCCCCCTGTCCCCCTGCTTCTTTCACGCTCTCGCTCACATGCAACAAAATACAGCAAATACAAAACAAAAACATGTTCTTTGTCATGCTTGGCCAGGCCTTCGAAGCAAGCTCCCTCGGAAAATGTATCTGTATCTGTATCTTTGTGGCTCTAGCAGTAGCTGCATCTGTGTGTGGGTATGTGAGCCAAGTGCACGGCCCGAAAACGTTTTTGCCCCCAAAAAACTGTAACCAAATACTTACGCCATTAGCACGGCCATTGGGGGGAATGGAAACAAAACAGAACACGGCCGAGACGAGAATGGGCCATAATTACATCTGCATCCGTTCTTCTCAACAAGGAATGGGGGGTCACACACACACACACACCCACACAGACACAGATTGAGGCCATGATTGATGTGGGGGCCCCAGAGATCGCCGCCGTTGCTCACCTTATCGCTCGGACCATCCCCAATGCCTGGGCTTCCCCTTCTACTCCACTCCCCCACAGCAGGCCGGCCGTCTCTTGTTTTTTTTTGCCAGATTCCATCAACTTTGCGGACCATAAATCTTGTGGTTCTGCGGGCGGGACAGTCGAGCGGTCTAGGAAATGACTCTGGCCACTTGAACGTAGGTCTAAAACTCGTTAAGAGATGCCTTCCAATTATGACTCTCGTTCTGAGGGACTGAGGGAACACCCTTCGTAGGGTAACAAATGGAATCTTTAAGTTTTACAACTAGACGAAAAAACTATTGCCTTAGATCGTTTCCCTCAAAAGTTTACTGCTTAAGAACTTCTTACTAAACAAAAGCACTGCTTGTGATCTGTTTCAAGCAGTTTAAACTGTGCAAAATGGAGCAAGTGGTGTATTTGTGACACTTGTTTTCCATTAGTTACTCTTATCTCTTATTGCCACTTGTCTGCCCTGTCAAGTCTTTTGACAGATCTTTGCCTGCAAATACGTGTCCATTAGTTTAAAATTACATGGGCTACTTAAGAGTAATCGAAATATCACTGCTTTGTAGCGTTTCCCGTGTCTCTGCAGGTCACAAAGCAGTTCAAACTGCTTGAGTTGGCTTGCAGGCAGTGCAACTGGTCACACTGGCCAGCCATTACTCTTACCACTAACCATACAGTATACAGTATTCTGTATGGTTAGTGCTCTTACTCTTATCGCCGCTTATCTGCCGCGATTTAATGAAGTTTAAACAAATGTTGTACGTGATATTTGGACCAGTCAGAATTATGAAATTTCCCCCCTGCGACTTGTTGGCATTAAATGTTTTGAATTTGTCACTCGACACGTCAATTATATAAATCGCTTATGCGGTCCACACAGAGGGCTCCCCCTCCCAAGCATTTCTTTGGCTTCTTTCGTTTTGTTGATACAAAAACGAACAGAAAATAAATTTGAAAATAATGTGTGAATTTCTCTTCTTGGCTCGTTTCAGCATCGCGTCGGCGCAGACCCAGACACAGACCCGATCATCGCCCACTGTGCCCCAAAGCCAAGAGATTGTCAACGGAGGAGTGGAAGTGGATGTGAAATGAGAAGAGAAGTGAATGAAGAAAAGCCAGTGTGAAAAGTGGAAACCAAAGTGCACACATGTGCACGTGCATGTGTTTGTGTGTGTGTGTGAGAGAATTGGGAAATGTGCGTTCGCGTACGCGATCCGTAGCTGAGGATTATTGATTTCTTCGAATTATAGATTGCACAATCCGAAGACACCAATCTGAGATACATCTCCCTGGCGTCCCCCAACCCCTCGAAACTACTTTGGCTAATTGATTTCGTTTTTTTGTGCTTCTTTTGGATACTTTTCCTCGGTGTTTTGTGTTTGTTTGTTTGTTTGTCCGTCTCCCACTGCAATGAGGCGTTCAAAAGCTGCCAATGACAACCCAACAAATGAACAGCAGCAGCAGCAGCAGAAAGAACAACAAAAAGTGCGGGTTTTTTGCTATTTTTTTAATTAATTTTAAGTGTCGCCGTATTTTGTTGTTGCCCTTCTCGACGGACGGAAGATAGAGAAGGAAAGTGAGTGAGGGAGAGAGACGGAAGCTACGGAAATCGGCAATTTAATTTACAATACAACATTAGTACCGACATAAAAGAGGATAAGGGCGCCGCGCGCAGGAGGACCCGAAAAATGTTTGCTGGAATACGAAAACGCCTGGCACGCAAGTAAGTCGAAATCCCCCCCTCACACCCACACACCCACACACACCCATCCACAACCCCCATCTATGGACTCCCCTTTGGAGACCTTGCAACGATTATGTCCAGCTTTATGTCTTTCCTTCCATTTTTATCAATGGTCTCCTTTTCCTTCCTTTTGCCCCATGCCATGCCCCAATTTATTCGTTAATGACTCTCGCGATAAAGTTCGGGGGTTGCGGCGGAGGAGGGACCCTCCCGGAGAATCGCTGACAACGAGAGAGAAAAAAGCGTTGCAATGGCAAAATTCACTTTTGTATAATTAATTTTTTTTATTTTTTTGGTGTCTTACCCGCGCCCCCACTCTCCGGAGCCGAGTGAAGGCCATGATTTTGCGATGATCATCGGTCATCAGTCATCGTCATCATTATTATAATGCTGTTGTTTTTGTTTTAGTGCGGTAAATGAGCCAATTAGTTTAAAATCTTTATTATTAACCGATTGTCCGCTGCAGAGACCGGTTTCCATTTAACCATAAAGAAAAAACTTTGAAAAATTGAATTATGCTCCAATACGACTCGAAGTTCGAACCGAGACTCTGGCGGACGAACTCTTGGGGCTTGGGGGCACGCGGCATCTTCGAGTCATCCCCCAAAGAAAAAAAATTAGCCTTCGAAGCAATCAAAAAACCATCTGCCCAATGATTTTCGTGGGAAAAGCAATCACAGTGGAGAAGAAGAAAAACAAAAGAAAGTTCCCGCGAAACTATCCGAAAAGGCAAGACAATCGAATTTTCATGCCACAAGATGTTGGGAGCTTGTTTCGAAAGTAAATCCTAACGAAAATGTGCCATGCAAGGTGTGTAGCAGCCTCAGAGATGTCTAAAAGAGTCATTCAAAGTGTGTAACAGCCTCAGAGATGTTTAAAAGAGTGATTCAACGTGTGTAGCAGCCTCAAAGATGACTAAAAGTATCATGCAACGTGTGTAGGAGCCTCAGAGATGTCTAAAAGAGTCATTCAAAGTGTGTAGCAGCCTCAGAGATGTCTACAAGTGTCATGCAAGGTGTGCAGCAGCCTCAGAGATGTCGAAAAGAGTCATTCAAAGTGTGTAGCAGCCCCAGAGATGCCTAAAAGTGGCATTCAACGTGTGTAGCAGCCTCAGAGATGCCTAAAAGTGTCATTCAACGTGTGTAACAGCCTCAAAGTTGCCTAAAAGTGTCATTCAACGCCTGTTGCAGCCCCAGAGAGGCTTAAAAGAACATGCCACGTTTGTAACACCCTCAAGGGATGCCTAAAAGTATCATGCAACGTGTGTAACGCCCTCAAGAGATGCCTAAAAATTGTCATGCAGCGTGCATAACAGCCTCAGAATTGGGATATGCTCGTATTTCAGATGAAAGCCACCTTTCACGGCTATTGTTCGAGTCACGAAACGCGTATGGGGGGCATCACTGGTGGCCTTTATTTACAGTTCATGATGTGCTAATTATTACAGTAAAAGTGCAGCCAGTGCCAGTGCCTTTTAGCACTTTGACACGCCCCCGTCCAGCCCTACATTAATGATACACTCGCACCCAATGCCCCCTAAACACCCATCTGGAAGGCAGGTGCTAAAACACCTGTGCAAATAGAAACCCATAAAGCCCAAAGCAGCGCCTTGTAGGTGGCTCTGGCGGCACTCACATTTACATATACTCAGACTCAGACTCAGACTCGTACGATGTATGTATCTCTGATTTCGGTGCTTGGCTCAAGATCCGCTGGCCCACACACGGCATACATTTTTGGCTGGAATTAAAAACGCTTAGGAACGAACGACTGCCATGATGCTGGCTGATGTCGATGCAGAGGCCCCTCCTCTCCTCCGGCGCGGCACGGCACGGCAATCAGGCGCAACTAAAGCTGAAAATAATTACAAAAGACATAACACACTTTATTAAGCACTAAACATTTGATGTGCTACGCTGTGATGTGGGCTAGGCCGAGCCAAGTGCAAAGATGCAGACGTGGCCCCAAAAAAGCAGCCAGATAGAACGCTGTATTCCGACTATGGGATACCTCGGTACTCAGATCTATAGGCAATGAGTAACAATGAGATGTAATAATGAAATGAATGGGAGTTAAACGGGATCAGTATATCCATCTCTTATATAAAAAAGCTTTGGATCTTTCGCGAAGTAGGGAAGTATAGATAGTATTTAATAGCTTGAACTCTAAATATACCAAAGAAGAGTAGACTATCTTCAAATTGTGGATCATACATCCCTTGGCAGAGGTCTTTGGGCTCGACGCACTTATTATTCTATCTACCATCTACTTTATACCCTTGTGCTCCCCAAGAATGGGATCACAGCATTAATGATGGATTCTCACGATCGTAAAAGTTCCTCAGTCATGTCCGTAGATTGTAATTACGCATAGGGACAAACGTTAATGTATCTTCAAACCTCGCATTTACTGTATGCCTAATTATGATTGATACGATACGGGGGGGAGCGGCACTCAGAAGAGCACACTACGAGCCGCAAGAACCAGAGCGACAATGGCCGCAGGCGGTGCCCCCGCCATTGTTCTCCACCTCCACCGGCAGCTCCACTGGCAGGCAACTCGCATTTGCTATCAAAAATGTATCTCTTACATCTCTGTGACGCTGGGCATGTGTGCCACTTCCATCGTTTGCATGGCATAGCTCCACTTTTATGGGTTAAAGGAAATGTGATGCAACAAAGCGTGCGGCAGTTTACAGCGACAGGGGCACATTCGCCGCTTAGATTACACACACACAAACACACACATAGAAATGAAACCGAACCAAGGCGAGCCCCAGGGCTGCCACAGTTACAGCAATTAGCGGATGTACCCCACCCCCCCATCCACAACATTCCCATCCCCTAAAGAAAAACTTTACGAAATGCTAAAGTAATCTTAGACTAGAGAACCATTTATGCTGTCATTTTTCGCTCGGAATTGAAGTTTGTTTTCGTAAGTGATAAAAGTACAAATTGATGGACTGATAGGCCAGACAGCCGGCACCAGGGGTTGATGATATGTGAGCCTGCTTTTGTATCTGTTGCCGTTGCAATGCTAGTTTGCAACCCTGCGGCCTGTCATAAATGCGCCATTAGCGCTAACAAACGCAACTCCAACTCCATTCGGCCATAAACTCCAGCAACAACCAAGCTCCAACCCGCCCAACCACCCACCACCGACGGAGAGGCGAGCACCCACAAAGGAAAATGCCATTTGATGCATTTCAAGTGCGTCGTCGTCGTCGTCTGCCACACTATCTGCCATCTCCATCTCCACTTTGAGAGGCGTATTCCTCGTATACGTATATCAGTGCCGAGGGTCTGTTTGTGATGCCCCATGCCCCATGTCTGTCACAGAAACTGAAGTGTCAATTCCATCATATGCCAAAGTGGCGCACATATCGCATAACCCCGCGGCACACAAAAGGGGGGCCCCAGAAAAGAGAAAAATTATTGAACAATTTCTCAACAAAAAGTACAAAAAATGTTACACGACTGGAGAGGGATGTGAGATGTGAAAAGAAAGCAAGACACAAAATTACAATCGAAATTTCGAATGTACCGAATAATAATATACTCTTTGAGGAGTTTATAACTCCTACAAAATATTTACTACGCTTCTACAATCTGAAAATGGTCTCAACTCTAACCTAAAATCAACATATCGATAATTATCGATTACTTATTTCAAGGAAACCCTTTCTACCGATCAATCACAAAACCTCTCATACCCTATGGAAACTCCTCTAGTGAAATCCATAAAAATGAACCAGAAACAGTCTGAAAATTGTCTCAACTATTATCGATATGCAGCTAAAGCTTCTCTACCGATCAATCACGAAAACTCGCATACCTTATGGATATTCCTCTAGTAAAATCCATAAAAAAGAACGTCTTCAAAGCCATGTACCCAAGGCGCTGCTGTCATGGGCTTTGACAGCAAACATGCCGCCAGCTGTGGAAAATAAGATGCAGCGAGAGATCCGATTCGCAGCCCGGTCTATGGGTGCGACAATTGCAGCGTCGCATCGCGCCCCGTCGCATCGCGCCCCGTCGCATCGCCTCCCGCGGTAATGATGAATACCTTTTTAATGAGCAGCTGACACATGAATATAGGCACGAAGGGGGGGGGGGGATTGGAGACGTCGCGTCGATTTATCATCTGGGAGCGGGCTCCATTCATTCCCCGATGCCTGAAATGATCCTAACCTACCACAGTACTTCAATTCGTTTTCAGCCAAGAGGTCTCTTCTGTTCTGTTATTGTGACTTGACATGCAAAGTGCGAAGTGCGTTCACTGGGAAAGGTTCGTGGTATGCGAACACATGTCCGTAAATGAAATATTCCCGTATTTAGTTTCCGTAGTCCACTCCCTTACCATTCTATACCATACCATTTTCCGGCTGACCGTACTTGCTTTCTAATTAAAAGTTTGCCCTTAACGTTCGCTTTAAACGCAAACTTGTTTTGTTGTTTCGGGGTTGGGTCTCCATTTGGTGGATTGAGTGAGGCGGAGCGGAGCTCCCCATTCGTTTTGTTGGGGCGCTGGCTACGTTTTACAGCCGCTCAGAGGGCGCCCCAAAGCCAAAATGTTTGCTGATAAATAGAATTTATATGTGGCTGAGTATGTTTATGGCCCCCAGGTTGGGGCCGTTCTTGGTGGATGGCTGGTGGTGCCCCTAAGCCATTCAATGCTTCAGCGTTATCTGGCAACGACACGACGCGCGGATATGGCCTATTGGGCGAGTGTTTATGGGTCATTAGGGTGCGTACGAAGGCAAACATTTTTCGGCCATATTGCTGGGTCTCCTCCAATTAACATGGCATTGTCCTTGAACTCTGGGTGCTGCCGTTTCCGCCAGGCATTCGATGGAGGCCCCTGGCCGGGTGCCAATCAAAAATCTGCATGCAACACAGGCACTCACACAAACAGCGGCTCAAAGGCAAGGCGCGGCACCAGGCACCAGGCACCCGGCGGCTGGCGGCTGGCTGGCTCTCTGCGGCATGCAAATAACTTTCTAAAGTGATGGCTTGGCTGCACCTTGACGGCTTCCTTTCGCGGGTCGCAGTATGCAAATATGCAAATCTCGTGGCCTGTCAATCAGTGGACACATTTCCAAGTGTTTGCCCAGGTAAGCACCAAGCACCAAGTGTCCACTTGACTTCCGTTTTGCTGGCCTGCTCCTTGGACTCCCGGAATTGAAACCCACAGGTCGGGTCGCTGGCTAGCGATGGCTTTAATCTCTTGGAGGGGTTGGGGGAAAGGGGAGACCCTACTATTTACATATGTGCCCCCTGTTTGAGCGAATATTTGCATAAATATTTACACATGCCAGGCCCCAATGAATGAATTGGCTGCACTATCACTCCTGAACAAGGCGACTAGGTAGATCCCCAGAGCCACAGAGAGAGAGAGAGAGATCTCATTACGATTCGCACTCAATTATTTTGTCGTAATTTCCTGCTCAACGCAATCCCCACAACCGCAGCGACAGTACAATTATATGATGCTTATCCTCAGACAGAGACAACACAGATGGTTTTTAGCCATATTCGGGCCTGGGATCACATAACTCGTAATAAATCTCCGAGATTTTCCCCGACTTGTCGTCAAATTATGCAAATTTCCAGTGTGTGGGCTCCCATATGCGCGAGAGAGGCAGAGGGGCAGAGATTTGGGTCATCGATGGATGGGATGTATCGATAGCATCAGCAACAGCAACAGCATCACTCCACCCATGAAGAGAGTGTTGAAATGAGATGCATGCGGCAACTACTACTCACATTTCTCATTACATTAATCACACCCACATACGAAAAGCTGCAGCCAGGGCAACGAGGGCCCTGGGAAACAATGGAAGAGCTGGCGAGCTGGCAGATGCAGATTCAGATGCATCCGACAGCCAAGCTCTTGTTTGACTTTGCCCAACACTTTGGGGCACAAAGGCACAGGCATGGGCATATGCAAAGGCCCCCATTCTAACGCAAACAGAAAGACAGGAAGACGGCAAGACAGCAGGACGGCAAGAGAGAGACACGCCTATTTGGGTTATGTTGCCGGATTTGTTTCAACTCTCGCCAAATGGGTTGCTGCACAAACGAGGGCCCTTTGGCAAGCAAACACCAGCAGCAGGGAGCGGGGGCAACGTGTCCACCGAAGCGTGGAGTGCACTAAGCGCGGATCTATAACGGAAGCTTAGCTACCAGCCCCCCCAACCCCCCCGTTCTTACGCTCATGAATAAATTAACAAAAGCTGAAACTAGAACTTGCTTCGGGGGCCGAGGCCTCAAATACCCTTTTAAGCTACACTTTTTCCATTGAAGGCTATATGGTAGTAGTCTAATGTTGATTAAATCTTTGGACTAGATTTCCAACAGGTTTATTGGATTATCTTTAGCAGCACACGAGATATGGGACGATAGGTATTTGTATTTCCTTGGATTGTAGCCCAGGTTATGAAATCACACACCCAATAGCCTCTCGAAGAGTACTTGGACTGTTGTTGCATTGTTTTATCGTCTACCATAAAAGGCCTAGACACACACACGACACCACTCCAGCGATTAATCGATCTTTGGGCACATAAATTATGCAATTCACAAGCGAAAATTGGCCCTGCCCTGCCCTGCCCTGCCCTGAGCCGCAGACAGTAGCCCGATCCCCGGATGGGGGTCTAGCCCCCAGTTTTAAGAACTGAAACAACAACAAACACCCGCTGCAGCCCCGAGGAGGCTGCAACTCCATCTGCGTGTGGTCAAGCATAGTCCGAGTCCAAGTCCCAGTCCATGCCACACAGTCCACGCCTACGTCCATGTCATTGGAGCACCCACAAACAGAGCAGAGCGGAGCGGACTCTGACAGTTGGACATTTGGACAGTTTGGGCGTTTCAGCTCCAACTTCGATTTTCAATATTCATGACAGGAAGGGGGTGGAGGTGGCGGTCGCGCGGAGAACGGATGGTAACGGGTGGGAGGAGAAACCTTGTTCGAATGGCAGTCCGAAAATTATGGCAATTATTGCACAGACCTGTAAATTATTTGCACCGTCGCGACCTCATTGCTGGAAAATGTGTAACAGCTCCCACATGCCACATGCCACCATGTAATGCGATGTATTTTATGCAAATGGAGCTTTTCGTGGGGTTGTGATCCCCCCCTCCCACTCTTATCACTGGGAAAGCATCATCTTCTTGGACATCGGCTTATCGCCGAGACATTCCGAGACGAGACTGCAGTTATGCGTGGGTGCTTATCGGCCGGGCCAGCCCTCAATAATGCCAGAAGCCAGCGCAAAGCGTTCTCGTAATTATGCCTCACAAATCGCTCTTAAGAGGTTTAGTCTCTGCCTTTGCCTCCGCCTCTGCCCGGCAGCAGAGCTCCTTATGAGGGGGGCTTATTTGTAGGTCGTATAACACGAAATCCCCTCTCCGAGTGCCTGCCTTTTATTTTATTTACTTTTTATACGCATTTGTGCAATATTTATTTTTATGCCAACTGCAATGGCGATTGATAAGACTCTGGACAGCCGATGCTTGCTGGACAGTGGAGAGAGAGAGAATGGATGTGGTTGGGGAAGGGGATGTGGGGTAGAACGGAAAGAGCAGAGCAGAGCAGGAAGGAGACAGCGACACCGACAGCGGAAATTTATGGTCGTCGCATAAAAAAACATAATCAGTAAACGAATGAGCCACAAAGGCAGCAAAGTGGAAGCAAATCGAAGCTTAGGATACCCTACCAAAAGAATTCTGTTGAAGAAGTACTGCTAAAACTTTAAAGAGTGCTCTTAGAGAAGATTCTGTGCCATTTTTTAGTACCAATGGCAATATATAGGCTGGAAATGCCTTTTTTGGATAGTTAACTTCTGTCAGAAACGATATCATACCTCTCTTAAGGGTATAGTATAGAAAAAAGAAGTAGCAACAGTAGCGTACTGGGAAATGAGGGATTAACCGAATGACCGAGCGTTTGCCCACTGGAAAGGGGAATGGAATGGAGTGGAATCGTTATTGGAACGACTGTCCCACCATCCATCCATCCATCCACTCCGTTCGTCCATCTGTCCGCCTGACGAATGTGCAAGACTCAGCGCTGGCGCTATCAGTGTTTGTGTGTGCCACGGGGCATGCCACGGAAATCGAGTTGATAAAAATGCAAATCCAAATAAAACTTGTGCGTAAGCTATTCCGGCGTAACCCCAGCGAGTACGTACGGTTAGAGCGATGACTCAGGGACTCTGGGAACCGGGGACTAAATGTGTTTGTGCCTAAAGTGCAGCATTTGCACTCTGCACCTTGGCGTCGCCACCGCCTCAGAGCGCTGGTATATCGCTGCCAATTGATTGGAGGCGCGACGTGGCGTGGCGAAGGAGAGCAGGAAGAGGAGACTGTGTGGCATGCAATGGCGTGGCCGTTAATTAAAGCCCTGTAATGTCATTAGTTGGCCTTTTGACTTGCCAATGATGGCGACAGCGACGTCAGCAGCAGTGGCAGTGGCAGCGGCGATGTCTGGCTAATTAAGTTTGCATCTAACGAAATCGAAGGAGGAGGAGGAGCCCCATCTCTGCAGCTCTGAAGACCGGGAGTCTGTTTGCCTGATGTCTGATGTCTGATTCACATGCGATGCTATGTGGCGTCTCTCTTAATTACCAGATGCCATTTGCCGAGCTTGATAACAGTTAAATTGATTTTGATTGCTTTATTTGATGCCTATAAATCAAAGCGGAATGAGAATTTTATTTGCCTAGGAATAAGCCCGAAACGTGGGCCGTGTATCACAAAAAAGAACTCGGACTCGGACGCGGACTGTGACTGCGGCTCGCAAAGTGATACGCAATGATAGACACCGATATCGAAGTCGAATCCAATGCAATTCAAAGCTCTACCCACTTGTCCGATGTCAACGTCATACAGAGAGAGAGAGAGACTCGACTCGACTGGGGGGGCAGGGGTCTGTCTGCTGGTATCCACTTCAAACACGAAACGAAACATTTTGTGCGATTAGCTTGTAAGATTGTTTTTAGCTCTTTGTGTCCATTTATTCGACTCCAGTTTGTGCCGCACCGCACCACGGAGTCTAGGTCTAAGACACAACTCTACTCTGTGAAAAACTGGATTCAGCAGTGCCACACGGGGGCACGGGAGCGGGGCAGCTCCCGTCCCCGAGGTAGATGTGAACGTAGACAAGATGGCAAGTCGGAGCGCTTTGGGGCACTTCTCGCTGCCGGCGGTGCTTGTGTTTTGGCTGGCGTTTGCCCACTCGAATGCCTCCAAGTGGCAATTTTATCGAATTATTTGCACTTAGCTTGCAAATTCAATTGGAAATAACGAGCCGAATTTTCGTTTGTTTGTTAGCCCATGTGGTCCGATCCCATCCGACCCGATCCCCCCTGAACAGGCCAGGCCGCTCGAGGACACTGTTCCCCGCAGTTCCCTGGGGGGCAGCAGCCACCAACGAGCAGGTGATCCGAGCACCACTTACCCGTGCACCCATAAACAGTTCAAATTGATATCTCTTTTCCACTCTTGGGACTCTATTTGGGTCTCGGTGTCAGCCATTGCCGCGGGGTGTTTTCAGTGTTGTGCAATGTTGGGCAGTGTTGGTTCGTTCGATAAGCGATTGCCAGCTGCCTGACACTCCATTCAGCGGCCAGAGCGATATGGAAACCACTTTTGTAATTCCTTTGTCGCCCTGTTGTTGCAACATGAGAACCAAGGCTAGTGCGGCATTAATCTGAAACTCTTTTTCTCTTGCTCTTTTTTCCAGGCAGAACGAAAAGGACTGCGATGAGGATGACAAGGACGATGTACACGACATTATGCCGCCCCCCAACTTCATACAAATCTCGCAGGGCAGAATCCAATTGGTGCATCAGCCCCGCAACCCGGACCCCTCCGACACGGGCACGCTCTCCTTGGAGCGGATCAATGGCGGCGGCAGCCTCGGCTCTGGCGGCTGTGATAAGGTGAGTCCCAGACGCTTCTGGTGTTGGTAACTACCACTACTCCTCCAGTCCCCCCCGCCACAGTCCCACTCGCTTCGGTTTGGTCTCGGCCCTGGAGTGTAGCACGTAGCGCTTGGGAGTAGAAAAGGAAAAACCCACCCAATTATAGACAATCAGCTCGAATCAAATCATGGCCCATGCATAAACCCACTCCCATAGTATACCCATCATACTCGACTCGTACCATATACTCCGTGGGGATTGTTAACCCAAATTTCGTGGGGGAAAGCAAAGAGAGCAGAACAGAGCTGAGCAGCACTGGCAGTCGCTTTTCTTTGTTGATGGTTTTCCTGCTGTTCGGTGCTGTGTGCTGTTTGCTGTGTGGCGTGTGGAGAATTTTTCCAAGTGCCGGGCATGCAAACTGTTGGATGGAACAAACACCTTTGAACCCGTGGAGGGGCAGAGGGGCTGAGGGGCAGCGGGACAGAGCCTTGCCTTGGCGGCCACTTGAACTCGTTAGCGTGCCATTTAAGACACATCACAGAGATTGATGATGGAGTGCCAGGGGGCACCTCTTCAAGCCATCGAAATGCCCTCTAGACATGCACGGCACCCGGGGACCGGGCTCAACTTTGACTTTCCCGCGAAGGAGACCCAGAGTTGGAGGCATCCGGGGTTAATCCAGCTGCAACTCTAATTGATCCGCATATACTCGTATAAACGTTGACAATTATCGTCTTCCAGGCTGTTCTGTTCTGTTCTGCGGCAGGATAGAGCGTTTCCCAGACCTGGCCTGGCATCCCGTTCAGCCTCTGGTTCGCCGATCACGTTGCAACTTCCGTGACGTTTTAATAGCACTAAGTATGGCGCATGCGCGGCTTTGAGCACTTGATTTATGGTAGTTACAGCCATCCCCTGTGCCGTGGTCCATAAGCGACTGCAAATGAGGCCTCACTCTGGCCGTTTTAGCTCCGCTTCAGACTCTCAGACAGCGCTGCAAAGAGAGAGGTGGAGGTAGAGGTAGGGGCAGGGGCAGGGGCAGGGGTTGAGGCAGAACGTGGTAACTCCTCTATGTAAATGGTAGTTGACGTGGTAATGTTTCCCAGAATTCCACTCTACTGTATAAGGCCAGCCATGGCCAGATCAGACCAGAGCCGTGGTCCTGCTAATTGAAGTGGCTCGCTCTCCTCCTCCTCCTCCACGTTGCACGTTCCACGTTCCACGTACCACATGGTTCAGCACGAATCTCGGCGAGACATTGCGTGTATCGATTACCAAACACAATGAGAGGCAGGAGGCAGGATCCGAAGACACCCACTCACAGCTGGCGGCCGTCAGGGCACAAATTTGCCAAATGGCATCTCGATTATTGCTGCAAAAACACACAAACACACACACACACCAACACAATGGACCTGCCACAGCTGCTTCTGCTGCCGCTGCTGCTGCTGCTGCAGTGCATCATCAGAACCCAGTCACGTTCTTGCCATGCAATGCGTGGATGCCACACAGCTGAAGCTGCCACTCTGTTGCAATTGTGTGATTGAGGAGAGTTCAACGAACCTGTTGCTATTTATTTGCAGTGTTTGCTCCTGCGTCTGGTCCTCTAGCACACATCTCTGGCTGCCACTGGCACTGCCACTGTGACTGCTTCTGGTTCTGCCTCTGATTCCGTTTCTGTTGCACATGCGCAAAAGTTGCCGCCAGCTGGAGGCACCACAGCACAGTCTATGGCCTGCCATTGTTGTCGCCGCAGCCGCTGCCGACGCCGTCGCCGTCTCCATTTCAATGCCTGCCTGCATTAGCATATGGATATATAGTCGCTTATATATTATACCCATTCTGGACACTCGCTTTCGTAGTTTCGGTCCAACTTGAGACTGGGATTACATATTTCCTGCCACAAATCATGGCATTCATTCTCGGACCTGGCCAACACGCGCTCCGACCGCTAATCACGGATCGCCTATGGTTCCGAAATCTTTCAACATTTGTCCCTCTCGTTGCGACAACAAAAATCAATTTGTCTATTGCGCAAAATCCTAAAAAAAAAAACCATAAAACACAAACAAGACATTTTCTAAAAGCGATAAAAATTATTTTTACAACTTCCACAACTAATTTTTAGTGTTTACCAAAAAAGAACCCCCCACAAATCCAACAAAAAGAAACGCTCAAAGAAAATGCGTGTTTTACGAGCGAGTGGCGTCACAATTGCTGTTTCTTGAGTCTCTTTTTGGCCAAAGAGACACTTTTGTTGGCCATTTTTAAAAGGCACAACAGATGAAACTTGGTAATTGCCATTTCCATTTCCACTTCCTGCCTGAGGCCCCGCCATGTCCGGGGGATGCGCGACATATGCATATACCCGCAGGTACTCATGTACGAGTAAGTATCTCCATGAATCCATAGATTCCATTTGGAGCTTTGCCCGTCTGTCCATGCCACGGACCCAGTTCGGGTGTGCCGCACAGTTCTTTGTGGCAGCATGTCGGTGCCTCGGTCCCGGTGAATTATTGCCCAAGCACACCTGCAACAGACCGGCCTGTGTGTCTGCTGCTGCTGCCTCCTCCTCCTCCTCCTCCTCCTCCTCCTGCTGCAATCTGCACCTGCCCCAGACCTTCTCTGTGTATCGCGTGCGGATTAAAGCAGACTTATTGTGTTGTGACTCCTCGCTCCGATTCGCTCCATTCCATTCCTCCTCCTCTGCTGTTGCTGTTGCATTCACTGCAGTTCGAAATGGAGCTGATTTCTGTGCCCAAAAGAGTTCAATGAATTGCTTTTTACACCTCAAATCCGTTTTTCCCAGCCATGACAAGATCATAAATTCATTTCAATTGCTTTTCGTTTCGTAGTACTATAATTATTTTTCATTCTCTGCTCTTAACATTCATTCGCTTCAGCGATGCCAATTTTTCTCTGCAGAAAAACAAACAATATTGTGGGAAAAAAGAGCTATTATTTGGAAGTTCTGCTAGGGATAGAAGCCATGCTCTGGCTACATCTGTAGAATGTTGAAAAAAGGGTCAAAGGATCTGCCATCCAAGCTGGGCTTTGATTTACATACTGTAAAGAATGTATATCTTGTAGATATACAATCTATAAAATCGATTAATTATTAGAAGATTGGCAATCTTGCAATGATTTGGCTATCCTCTGGAGAGTCATCTTAGCTCCACTCAGAGGATTGTTTAAGCATATGAAGCAGATAAGGCAAATATCGATATTTGTCGATTAATTTAAATCTTTCTATATTCATTTGAAGAAACCTAATAATTTAAACGCCTAAAAATGGTTATAGTTGTATTAAAAGCTTTCGAAAACAATCCTAAAATAATAATAACAAACCATTTGGCAGCACTGTTTGGTTTACAAATACACTCACTCACTCACTCACACACATACCATTGGTTCATTGGACATCCACACAGAAATGATTCATATGTACACACACCCATATTCAAATATTCATTCATGGCACATTTAAAAGTTGGCTTTAGCTTTTATTTACTGGGCATTGCATTCCATCCACACATATAGCACATCGTACATATTGTATAGTACATAAGTATTTACGTAGAGCTCCGGTTGATCCCCTTCCCCGATTCCCTGATTCCCTGATTCCCTGTTCCAGTGCGTGTGCTTCAGTTTTCGGTTTTTTTCTGTTCTGTTGTTCTTTGCAGGATTTGTTGGAGAAGCGGATGATTGAAGTGGAAGGCGCTCTGCTGCGTTTGCAGAAGGAGTTCCATAAAGTGAGTATCAAATTGCAAATGTCCGAGGCATTCTATTCTATGATAGTTGGAGGAGGCCTTATTATGGGTCCGGACATTGCTCTCTGAAATCAACATTCAGTTTTATGTCTCCTGTTGTCGTCCAAGCTTGGAGTTCGGAGTTTGGGGCTTGGTGCTTGGTGTTTGGGGTCCGGCCGAAGCATTTTAATTTCCTGTGCGGTCAGAGTGTGAGAGATCTCCGCCCCAGAAGTGGACAGAGAGCACACATTGGTATTGGATGGACATGGGGGTCATTAATCGTGCTGTTGCCATTCCAGCGCTCTGTGCGGTTTATGTGGTTTCTCTGTGGCTGTGACTGTGGACCGGGTCGGAGCCCGAGTCGTAGGTCGCCTGCCCATTGGGCAATTAAAAGTTACAAGCTTGAATTACATGCATACGAGTACGAGTACGAGTACGAGCCCCATGTACCCAAATCAAATTGACATCAGAGGCAGCGCCGAAAGAACTCTAGTTTGGAGCTGGGCCCGGCTTGCCCTTGCCCTGGCCATTGCCCCCCTGCCTGTCGACACCTTTTTGCACACTAGATCAAAACTGGCGCAAATCTCTATCTAAACTGCCATCAAAATGGATCCAAGGGAGAGTTTAATGGCCGGAACTAGGGCGGGCAGCGGAAGGAGCTTCTAAGGAGCATACGCATTTCCGGCTTTAGGTAATTGAATTTGACAACAACAAAACGAAGGAAAAAACTCGCCAAAAACGAGTTGAAGGCCCAGGGTTTATGGTGTGAAAAGAAGCAGCGTGTGGCCTAAGCAGCTCCATCTATGCTTCAGCGTCAGCTTCACTTTCAGTTCCAGCTACTCCCACATCCCCATCTTCATCTTCTGGCCAATGATTTCCGCAACGAAATTGCCGCCCGCTGCCTGCCACAGGAAACGGCAGAGACAAAACCGTCGGCAAGAGGGCGTCGAGAGGAAGACTACATTCTGGCCAAGGCCCGGCCCTGGCTCGGCCCTGGCTCGGCCCTGGCCATTGCCTGATTTTCTATTCTTTTGGCAGGCGTCCCAACTTGGTTCCAGAATTTACGAGTACGGCAATGGCACTTCTCCGTGCCCCCCCATCGCACAGCGGACTCCTCCTTATCATCGTTCCAGACTCCCAGGCGGAGGTTTTCTCTGGTGTGGCAGTGGCAGGCGCGGAGGCGGAGGCGGAGACGGTGGCAGTGGCAGTGGCGGCCGGGCCCATGCATGGGAATCCGATTACTCGAGGCGTATGCGGATATTTTTTCCCTTTTTTTTCCGCAAGAGTGGAAGGAGGATGCGGCAGCTGATGGGGAAGTGGATACATGAGCTACCGTTGCCGCTGGCCCTGCCTCTTCTGCCTTCGCTGCCTCTCCTGCCTCCTTTGTGGCAATATTTCTGCACTTTATCTGTCTGTAAATAACGATTAACTATGCTATGCTGCCCCTGCCACGGCCACAGACGCTCCCACTGCTCCCCCACTCAGCTGTGGAGCCATTGCCACTGTCCTTTGGTTTCACTTAGTCAGATTCCCCTGCCACCGAGAGTGTATGTGTGTGTGTGTTCTTTATTGTTATTGGCGATAGAAAGATGGAGCGAGGGAGCCCAAGGGGAGTGGCATCCATTGACAAGTCGAGCCAGCAAAAGTGTGAATGCTGCAGAATTGGCCAAGTCGAACCAGAAGCCCGTGAAGTAGAAGTAGCATCAGGCAGCAGAAAGCAGAAAGCAGACGAAGCAGACGAGGCAGTGGCCATGTGGCAGGCAATAAATGGCACGATTCAATGAATATCCATCTCCTGATTCGGCATGCCTCTCCCTATTCTTATCATCATCATCATCATCTGTTTCTAATTTGAGGGATAGCCTCAGAGAGTGGGAGAGGAGAGCATTTACTTTAGTGAATTATTTGCGAATCGGAAATGTAATTGATTCGCCAAAGCCCAGCCCAGTCCAGTGCAAAGCAAAAGGAACAGAAAATGACTTGGATTATTGTCATCTAATTGATGGAAAAGCTCCACTCCACTCCCATTGCAGTTCCAGGGATTATCCGTATCGTTGCCTAGGTCTCTGGAGCTACGTTTTCAGGTTCCCTTTTTCTGTCGCTCTCAACCCTTTTCAAATTGCTGACAGTTGAAGAAACACTTCAGAAATAGGGTATTATTCTCATTCCTAGATGTTGGCAACGCGTGGAAGAAGTTTCAATCCAATGATGTATGATATATTGATCCCCTTCTTCTGCGTTTGTAATACTCGCTTAGGGTAAATTTGTACAGCTACATTGTATGTGCCCTACGGGAATCGGTGCATACAAATAAATCTATGAGGGAATGTATCTAAAGCTTCAACTACTGCAATCTACATACTCGTATATGGTACATATGTATGTACATACCTTGCTCTGTTGTTGGTCTTGTTATTTCTGCGTTGAACGAGTATTTGGTTACAACAGCAGGAAGGGCGTCGTGTCGAGTGCTGAAAGTACATGCCACGGGGAGACACGACACTTAATCCCTTCGGTCCTGTCCGGCCACACTTGCAGCTAGCCCTCAAATATTTATATTTGAAGTTTTGTATGAAATGTTGCCAAAACAGATGACGAAATGTAAACGAATGGCATTTCTGTTTGTCTCCGCTTGTTGTTTGTCTTTAATCAATGGCGATGGGGCCAACATTCATCCAAATCTGGCTTTTGCTAATGAAAGGCTGATTAATGGAACCAGGGTATCCCTGAAGTCCCCGAAAGTGGTATGCCCAGGCATGCCCCCTTTGTGAGGAGGCAGCTCGAAAAGGGTGGCTGGTGGTGGGGGTATTCATTGTCAGGTCAACAATGAAGAGCTTTCGCTGCGAAAGCACGTGCTCAATTTTTAATTCCAATGCCAGGCCTTCATCCATCTCGCTTGCTCGCTCGCTTGCTGTCCCTGTCACTCTGCCCTTCGAGAAATCTGCGCTTTAATAAGCTCCATTGCATTCATCTTCAGAAGAGTGGAAGGGAGGTACTGGGGGGAAGAAGAAGAAGTAGAGAGCAAGAGCATTGAATAGAATAGAATAAAGAGAACGAACAGGCAGAAAAACTGTCAACTGTCAACTGTCGGACAAGGGGGCGTGGACCTGGACGCTGTCTTGAGTGGCACTTGGTCGTTTACAAGAGCTTTTCGCAAGTACCAGGAGTACGAGTAGAGGGTGTGCGAAAGGAGTTCGAGTTAGAGGTGGAGGTGGAGCCGAAGGCGTGGCAAGAGTACCCAGCATGAGCACTTTTTATTATCAACATCAACATCAGCGTGTGGTGCCCCTCCTGCTACTCCTCCATCATCATCATCATCATCATCAGGAATATAGCCATGATTCGCGTTTGTCGTCCAACTTGAATTGCTAATAATTCTGTCGCAAACGTTTGATGGTTTACTCAGACGGAAATGAAGGCATTGGTGCGACGCTGCACCACCTCGAATCCCATCAAACCACCCGTGGAGCCGCTGCCTGCCACTATACTATACTCGTACATCTTCTGGCAAGCAGCCCACTGGAGAGATGGTTATATACCAGGACCTGTGTACAAGTATATGCATGGTACATAACAATCTTTAGGGTAGGTCAGCCCTAGTGTTGTGTTATATTGTTGCATATACTTATTAATGCCCATTAATTCTCTAAAAATCCACCCTTTCGCATACCACCCCAAAATGGGTTTGACCTGCAGGACCCTCGGTGTGTTTTTTAAACCCCACTTGGCTGATGATTCATATGTACTACGCCCCCTCAAACCGGCCGAAAAATACGAAATATGAATGTGTGGAAACTACCACCACTATGCAGAGCTCTATATACTCGAAGAAGGGGTCTCTTTCGCCACCTCTGCCCCCACCCTTCTCCCCACTCCGTCACGCTCTGCTGTGTACCAAAAACCCTTGACAAAAAAGTGCAATGCAATTAATTTTTCGCGAAACTTTTGTGGAAGGAGTGGAAAGTGGAAGCTTCACTCACACTCGCTCTCTCTCCCCCGCTCTCTCAAGTGACGTTTTAGTGTTTGCATTTGAATGGATCGCATCCCCCCTAGGAACAGAGCCGCCGAGTCCAGAGTCCCGGGGTTGGTCGGTCTGCCCCTCGCACATCTGCAGAATGTTTGTTTTCTTGCTTAGCCGTCCCATGGAAGAGCCAGCAGGGTCCCCCCAGACTGTCTGTCTGTCGCTATCCCCTCTTCCGTCGCGGTTCATTAAATTAAAAACGGCCAATTCGTAGTCGAATTCGGGGTAATACATCAAAAATGCTCCGCTTTTGTTTGCTGTGTTGTTCTGTGGCGCGGAGAAGGTAGTGGGTGAGAGGGTGATTGCGATAGAGGGGCAGGGGGAGGCAAGGTTAGTTTGAGAGTGAGAGAGCGCGCACTGTTGTTGCTGTTTGTGCCGGCTTTTGCCGCGGATCAGAGCAGAAGAGAGAGAGAGCAGCTAAGAACAGCTGGGTCCCGTTGCGGCGAATTCGTTCTCGCTTGCGCGCTCCTGCACATCCTCTTCGCCGCAGCCGGCGCCAGGGTTGTTTTCCTTTACCGTTATCAAATGGTTGCCATCCGCCGTCGCGACGTACGGTTTTTTCTTGAAAGTTTTTTTTTTGCTGTGTCGTTCCTGGAAATTATATCCTTTCTCCTAATTTGAGTTACGCTTTGTCGTTATTTTCGTTTTTTTAACCGAAAATTTATGCCGTGCCGCGGGGACAGGGGACACCCTATACCCGGGCAGACGCTGTCCGTGCCAGTGCTTGGCTTGTGTCTGGTTGGAGGACCTACAGTCACATTCCACTTTGCTGTTATTTTTACGCTTTTGTGGTCTCGAAAGTTTGTGCTTGAATTAAGCCAGCAGCAAGAACAACAATCATCGGAATAATCCCGTTTGGAATGGTATTTCCTGTATAATAGCAACAGATGCGACCAGGGACAAGAATGGTAAGAATCGATTCTTCGGATTGGGATGCTTTTGGGCTGACACTCTGGGATGGGAGGGAAGGATGCTCTTCGTCCACCCGCTGCTCAATCTGCATGTTAATTAATAATAAGCGTGTTCATATTTCTCTCCCCTGTCTGTGTCCCATCCATCTGAGGACACAGTCAAGCGAGGAATTTCACTTTGATAAACTCCCCCCACACGACAGGACAAAGGATGTTGTCCCGGGTGGGTGGATGGATGGATGGATGGATGGGACCAACGTTATGTCTTACGGAAGTGCGTTTGCGGGTGCAAATGGCCGTATGATGTGCAACCCTCTGTAGTCTGTTGGCTCGCTTTTTATCCCACGACTCCGGGTGCAACATGTTGCCGGGATTTGTTTGGTTAATTTCTGTTTTGGGTCCGGCGGATTACGCTGGGGGTTCACCCCGAATCACTCTTGGGCCACCCTCGTTGTGGGCCTTATGCTAATTGAAATTTATGCAGAGTTTCGTTTGAAACTCAAAGTATCGTATCCATGGTTTCTCCCTTTTCCCTTAATTAATAAAAAATTCATGCTTGATTTTATAACTTCATCAATAAGCACCGCTGTCGGCACCGTTTGTCCACTGTCCCTCCCCACTCAGGGCTCCTCCAGAGCCTACTCCTCCTCCTTCTTCCATCACTTTTATGAGCAAAATTCACAATGAATATTTATGCGCGTCGCCTCTTGAATGGGAAATGCGATGGTGCGGGGTGGGGACGTGGGGGGCGATGGGTGCAGTAGCCGACAGCTGCCGACAGGCGCACCAGTTGCCCAAAATAGCGTCTTGGGTGGGGAGAACAGAGAGAGAGAGAGAGAGAGAGAGTCGGAGAGGCTTAGAGAGTGGCCCAACCGTTTTGGCCCTCTAATTTTATTAACACGTTCATCATTCCCCTGCCATTTGGCTTTGGCTGGGACAAGTGGCGCCCGAGGACGGCAATCAGTCTGGCCGGGAGCTGGGAGCTGGGAGCCGACTGCCGCCTGCTGTTGCTCCAAATAATGTTTAAGGGGGGCGGGCCACATTTTCCTATTGGGACTCGTCGGCTCATGCATGAAAGCGAATTAATAAAAATTATTGCATATATTTGTAATTCTGGGCAGCAGAAGTCGGGGTGGGTGGGCGTCTGGTGCGTGCTGCTGCGTTTTATCGTCGATCTCCTGCCCCCTGGAGTGTTTTATTACAACTCCCCCCCACCCCGATCCAAAGCTGCAGATGAAAGCATTTTAGAAATATTTCCATAGATATTAGGGCGAACAACAAAAGACTTGCAGCCTGTCCAAGGAATGTGCGATTGGAGTTCTGTGTGCTTCTCGGGAATTGCAAGAATCTGGGAATTTCTTATGAATAATCAAATTGATTAATAGCCCTACCCTGCCCTGCCCTGCTCTGCTCTTCAGACCTTCTCACCTTTCCCTTTGGGAAGTCGTTGAGACAAATACACTCTCGGCTAAGCAAACATCAAAATCGAAGTGCTGCTTGTACAATCGTTATCCCATAGATAATGGCGATTGGAGATGGGCACGGGCTCATTTTCGTGTGGGCTTGATATATTGTACATGTAACACCCGTCTCGCGCTCATCTTCTAGGGTCTATCTTGTGCTCCAATCTCCGTCTTGCGTTTGCAATGACACTTCAATAATAAGTATTCCGCTTTGTTTACACTTGAAACTGTAATTGTTCTTGTTGTCATTCATTATGTTTGCACTAAGCCAGCGATTTATATCAAGCACACCACACCACCCCACCCCGCTCCCCTTCGACGAGTGGTGTGTGTCTGAGTAGTCGTCACGTCACACAGATGAGATCGTCGTGATGTAATTTTTTATCGATTACAGTTCACGCCAAAAGTGCCCCCAAACGAAGGCAGAGATGGAGCTGTGGCTGGGGCTACGGGGTGCAGACGGAGCCGGTTGTTGACTCTGGTGATTTATGGTGCTGCATGCATCAGAATGTGTTTCTAATGCCTGTCCATGGGCCATGGCCAGTCGCCGTCGCCGTCGCCGTGGCCAGGCCCTCCCCTGTTCCTTTGATCTGTTCCTTTGTCGCTTTCCAATTTAGCTTGTAAACGGGGCTGATTGACACTGTGATATGGACAATTAAATTGTCGCTCTTAATCGTCACAAAGTGCACTAATTTATTGTGTTTAATTTCTTTTGCTTTTCATTTAATGTTTTTTTCAACTTTTTCTCGTTTCATTTCATTTTGCCCCTGCCTCCCTCCACCTCAAATGTAATTTTTCCAGAGCCAATGCGGGTCGCCAACGTTCGAGAAGGAATTGCGCGAGCAAATTGAGAAGTAAGTGTCATACAAGCTAAATTGTTAATCACGATAAGGACCGTAACGTGTGTGTGTTTGTGTTTGGGTTAGTGTGAGAACCAGTACTAGGAGGAGACAGAGAGAGAGCGATAATAGTTCCGTTACTTAAACTCAATGCTGGAATGCTTTCTTATGCCTCCATTATACAATAAATTACTAGCAAAATATATATTTATTTAATTTGCCCGCCAGACACCCTTTTGCGGTCATTATGCAATTCGGGAATAGTTTTTGCACTGCTTTTGGCAAAAACTACGTAAATAATTCATACTCGTGACTAGCCACGCCTCCGCCTCCTGGCCAGGACAGCGCCATTACGCACAGCGAACGACCGGCCGGCCGGGCCGAGAGCTAACGGCACCTAAAATGCAATTTTCCAAATTGCCAGAGCAGAGGAGCCAAGGAGTGCAAGGAGAACACAAAGACGACGACGACGAAGAAGAAGAACAGCAAGGGAAGCAGCAGGAAACACTTACTGGCGGCGAACCCATCAATCACAGCGAACCCTCCACACCCACCTCCTCCTCCCATTTCGCGGGCCAAGTGTAATTACCGCTATTCAGATTTGAGCTTACATAGTTCTGGTTCTAGCCTGTGCGTCTCTCTCCTTGGTAGACAACATTAACTGTTAATTTACACACACAGACACACACACACCTACGAGTACACAGATTCCGCTGATTTTTAGCAATTCGCTTTCATTATTTCTATATTTGTATTTTTCTTATTCTTTTTCGTTTTCACTTGCTCTCGCATCTCTACACCACACCACACCACACTCGCCTGCTCTCTCTCTCTCGCTCATACCTGCAGCATGAATCGCATTATGAAATCCAAAGAGCGCAAACAAATGCAGACATGTCGGGATCACAAGGCACTGCAGGTATGTATGGTTCCCTAGTTCAGAGGGGGCGCAGCGGGGATAGCTGTCTACACAGCATGTGGAAAATCAATTTGCACAGCGAGAGTCGAGCCGAGTCGAGTCGAGTCTCCCTCTGCAGCGCGGAGAGGAGTTCCCGAGTCATAAATAAACGCATAAATTCATTTTTAAGAACAAAATCTCTCCCCTTGCTCCCATTCCGGCGCATACAAATTGTCTCTTATCCGTGGAGCAGGAAGATGGGAGCTGAAAATTGCTTCTGGCCCGGTCTGGTCGGACCTGGGCGCACTTTTTGCCGGAATTGATTGAACGCGCGCTGGCATTAGGGACGCTTCATTGAGCCAGGGGCAGGAGGCACGCAGAGGTAGTGGGGCAGATGGAGATTCCCTTCCCTTTCCCTTTGAGTCGTTAACTTCTGGCAATCTCATTTGCGTCTCGCTACAAAACAATCGGATCTGAGCCTAACCCAATTTTGTAAAGCCATCTAATGAATCCAAGGTTTCCCCTCCCCATTCGTTCATCTACGCGGTACGTACACAGATTGGGGCATTCAATGGCTGCACTGACCTTCGGGGGGCAGTTAACAAGTTGCCTTCGATCAATAGAGATTGGGTTGTGTGGGGGGATGGGGGTTTGTCTTGTAACTACTGCTCACTTAGCACTTTGGATCTGACACTCCACTCCGAAAACTTGATGGACGAGCGGTCGTCGCCGTCGCCGTCGTCTGTGACCCTCGTCAAGAGTGCGGGGCGCCCATGCAGCTGTCATTGGGTGGCACATGGCTGAAGGTCTCCACTGTTGCAGACACACACTTGATCCATTGTTTGCATTGATTCCTATTGCAGACGCGCTTCGCCCGCCAGGAGAGTCTGCTGCACTCCATGCAGCAGGAGAACCGGTCCCTGCTCACCCGTATCCGGCAGTACGAGCACTGTTTAGACGACGTGATGCGCAAGGTGGTGGACGCCATTGTGGCCGAGGACAATCTGCGCGAGGAGGTGAGCATGCTGAAGGGCCGTGTGCGGGATCTGGAGGCGCAGAACGCGGCGCTGTCCGCCAGTCCGGTGAAGGGGCGGGACGAGGGCTACTGCACGATGAGCAGTGGCCAGCCGCAGCCGTCGAACGGCCACCTGGAGGATCTGCCCGAGGAGCCCGAGCAGTGGTTACTACCGGCGGAGCCCTGCTCAACGGAAATGGAGGACTGGAGCATGTCGCAGGAAGAGCTGGCTGTGATGACATTCGACGACGAGCGGGAGCACCACCAGCAGCATCAACGGAGGAAGCGCGACCACGACTGGCTCTGGCCCTCGAGTGACTTCATCAACTCGACCACCGTCGAGACGGACTCCGTTGCCGACGGCATTGCACAGCTGCTGCAGCAAAAGGTGAGCGGAAGAGGCTTTCTTTCCTTAGACTGGGTTTCAGCAAGGATCTCTCTGTTTCAGATTGTCTACTCGGAGGATGAAGAGGTGGCCTGCACGGACTTCACGGACGACTTCTACAAGCTGGTCAACATCCGCTCCAATTCGTCGCGCAGCCTCTACTCCTACCTCGAGGGCGAGACGGACGACGAGGATGACGATGATGAGGCAGACTCGAGCATGTCCGAGAGCCAAGCGGCACACACGGCCCGGGCCGCCACCAGTCCCACGCCCAGCGAGGCGGGACGGGCTCAGCTGACGAGCTGCTCCTCCAGCGAAACGGACGAAAACTCGATCAGCCACCCGCCGCCGCCGACGGAGTCGCATCAGGAGAAGGAGGAAGAGCCTGACTACGCGGTCATTGACGAGTGCCGGCGCCGCGTCAGTGACATCGAGATCGAGGACGTGCCGCTGATCATGAGCGCCACGCCTTTGCAGCCCCTCAATGAGCAGCAATGCATAGCGCAGATCATCAAGAGCGAGCTGCGACGCCCGCCCCATGTGCTGGTAAAGTCCAAGTCCGTGCTGGAGGAGCAGGAGCCCAGCTGCATCCTGCGCCACAATCAGCGTCGCGAGCTGGAGTCCACGGTAGTGCGCAGCGACAGCATCAGCTGTGCCCTGATGGCGAAAATTGCCAAAGAGGCAGCGCCCCCGTCACCGGCGATCGTGTCCAAGCTGAAGGAGCGAATTCTGAACCGCCAATTTTCCGCGCCGGCGACATCGAGTCCGTGGCGCCGGAGCAATGGCTGGAAGCGGGTGACGTCCCCGGTGCAGATACCAGCGGCTGCATCCCCAAAGAAGGTGAGTACATCTGCAGACCCCAGAATGTGTATCCGTATCCTAATCTGCGACGTATTTCCAGAAGCAAGCCAAGTCAACGGAGCTGCCAAAGAGCTGCCTGCCCAAGGCGGTGCCCACCAGAATTCCAACGAGCATCAATTCATCGACGTCCTCCACCTCGTCGGTGTCGTCATCCTCGCCCTCGCCTTCGTCTTCATCTCCTTCGCCACAGTCGCCCCAACAACAACAAAAGCAGCAGCAGCAGCCAAGACCCTCAGGACAGCAGCAGCGCAAATCGAAAATTCCTCCGCCAGTTCCTGTGCGGCGATCCTATGCGAGCTAAGTGGCGGAGTGGCGTCGCCGTTAAATCTCAAATGAATAATAATCGTCAAGCAAACAAATATTCAAAGATTAAAAAGACTAAATTGTGATATATTCAAACAAACAAACAAAAAACAAAACACAGAGGGAGAGTGTAAGAGTGTGGATGAGAGCCAGCAGCGAGTTTTGTATGTAAGAATACGAGTATTTATGTATTGTATATTGTAGATTTTTGGAAAATGTTTTACTTTGTAAGCGGCAGCACTGCCAACTGTTTCCCCAATTAGAGGCCCCCCACACTAAAGATTCCCTGCCCTGATGGCTCGCCCTGCTCTATGTCCTGTATTTCGTAGAGCATCGCGGTTGCAGCCTCCGAATCGGGCTATAAGTTGTACTAACTATTATACATACTGCATATGGCATTCAGTACGATGAGTGTAGGATCTTTGTCGCTGGCAAGGAGCCATTCAAACTACTACCATACTATTAGATGAACTAAAACCGTAGTCTTCCGCACAAATCGAGTGTATTCGCAGTAGGCATTTGTAGACCTGGTTATCAACATTAACGACTAAGAGTAACACACACACACACACTCACACTACCAACAGTTGGACATTTGCATTTAAGGGTGAAATTGAAGTATATATGAAATTGCAGTATAAAATGCATTTAGGTACGATATATACATACTTATACTATCTATATACACGAGTATGGTTTCTAAGCGAACATAAAACGACAGCAGTAACAATAACCTGTACATAACAGACCCCAAAAGTCGATTCAAATCCCTCTTCTATATGTAAAGTAGTTAGCGTAGCACTGCTCTGCTCCTCAGGCTGCTGCCACCGACTAAATAATAATCGCAGCAGCCCGCATCCTAAGTATAAATACGTATCGTATAGATATATACACATACAATATAGAGAACAGAACGCACTACATATACTATGCTCGGCAGAGATCAGAGAAGGTATCACTTTAAGCTCGTATAAACATTATAAATGTATTTTCTTAGCGTAGCAAGTACAAAAATAAACAAAAAAGAAGTTACAAAATATAAATTATTGATAAACACCTGTGTTGCCCTTAACCTAGTGATCAATCGAATGATTGGTATGGTAAAAGCTTACAAAACATAGTACAATTAATCAGAAGCATAAAATTCAAACAAATTAGAAACGAACACGATATTAAACACGACTTAAGCCTAAAAGCTGGCCGGCGGTAGAGCTTCTGCTCAAGATAAGCTCCAGTTTATTCCTCAGAAGAATAGAGCTCGTACGGAATTCTGGAATGCTGACCCAGCAGCTTCTGTACAGATCCGAGTAAGAGCTTTCCAGGCACGTGCTGGTGCTTGCTGGTGGCGCCGGACTATCAAAATACAGCGCTAATCTGTTCTGTCTGCGCTTCTTCTTTAGCTCACGGCTACTGTTGCACGATGTTTCGAAATTTAGATTGCGGCACGCAAACATATTCGCCCTTCTACAAAGGTCGCCGCCCGACATCGCCTGAGAACTGCTTTCATTCACGTACGCATTCACGTTACACCCGACGAGAGGTGCTCTCCGGGGGTAGTCGATGGAGAGGGCTTTTAACTTTTCATAGTTATCCGGGCGCAGCTCATGCTTGACTACTTGGTAAGCGATGGACTCGTTGCAGCTAAGCGTGTGATAGGGCAATCGACGCGACTGCATTTGCCACATGCTGATGGCCAGGGAGTAGATGTCCGAGGCGTCTGATAGTGGATCCGAACGTAGGGCTTCCGGAGACATGTACCTCAAGGTACCCCTGGCATTTTTCTGGCTCTGGCGGGCACAAAATTCGCCAATTTTAATGGATGAGCCAAAGTCGCACAGCTTGCAAATGTAGCTGCGTTGGTAGTTGGATTGCGGCCTCATGCTGTAGGGTCGTGGTCCCAGAGCTACCAAAATATTGGCAGGCTTGACGTCCAGGTGCAGCACGCCGTGCCAATGGCAGTAGCGCAGAGCAGCCACAATGTCCAACGTGATTCTGTGAAGGACAATATAAAAAATGTAAGTCCGTAGAGGAAGATGCAGTATCACCTACAGTACTCTGTGGATGAGCGGCAACGCCAGCGTGTCCAGTATCTGCTGTAGGCATTTCCCATTTGGACACTCCATAATGACCATTCCAAAGGCAACGGCGGACTCGGTTTTTATTAGACGCACAATGTTCTTGTGATCCAAATTCAGCAAATGAGACTCATTGTGCAGCGTAGAGACAGCCTGTCCCTTGATGATCTTCACCGCCACGGAGTGATCTGTTCATAATTCAGAATCGATCGCTAAGATATGTATGTACATATGTATATCCATTTTGTTGTGTCAAACATACCGCGATAAATTGCCTTGAAAACAGTGCCATATGCACCGCGGCCCAGAATCTGACCGGGGAATCTGCGGACGGGGGGACCATCCTTAAGCAGTTCATTGCGCTTCGGCGTGGTAAGCACAAGCTCACTTTCTCGATTAGCTACTAAAAATGACCTGCATTTGTTTTGTAATGAGAGATTTTCAATTATTCTTATTATTTTCACGTTGCTTACATTTTGACAGTATAACGGTGCTTTCACTTCAGCAGCTGGGCATAAGCGCTGACAGACCGTCAGAAAAAAGAACAGAACCGGATGGCGCCACTGTTATCTACATTTGAATTACATCACAATAAACAGATATTTTTGAACTATTTTTTTTATTTTAGACTATTTATTTATAATGCACACTTTTTCACTTAAAGAGTTCTCTTCAGCCAATACTAATGGCCATAAAAAGCGAATCGTAATCGGTTGACGCATGCCAATGACTTTCGAGGCTTGGCTTTGTTTTAGGCTTAATACAATACCAATAAATAATATAAAATCTGAATGCCGCTTCATTCCCAAAATCACTGCTGACGCTCTCTGTGCAGTTTCTCCGTCTCCATCCGCAAGATCTGTAAGATTTTCTGGATTAATATCTATCTGTGGATGAAATAGTTTGCGCTTACCCGAAATTCTTCCTGGATTTTGTCTGTGATGAGCTTCCGTGCCGTTGGTTCGGGCACTTGTCTCTTCTTTAGATCGTCGACGAAGTCATTCAGATCCATGGGTTGGCCGATATTTATAGTGACTTTTTTCCGCCACTGCAGCACGTAAGGTTCAACATTTGGCAGTACATCGTCCATGCCCTCGTGCCACATTGGCAGAATAACGGGCATTTTAGGGGACTCGTAGATAATGCGACCCACGCCCCACTTCAGTCGAATCTCCTGCTTCTCCATGTTCACCTTGCCTTCGGGAAACACATGAACCCACTGGCCCGCCGCGCACTTTTCGATGCACAGGTTGATGGCCTCCTGGTAGACACCGGAGCCGCGCACAACAGGAATACACTTGCCTGCAGTGAAGATCGGATCGATTAGGATCATCAGTGGAAGATCATCAGTGAAGGGTTAGCCAGCTCACCGAACATGAAAAACATGGAGTGGTACTTGTTGGTAAAGCAGATATCGTGGGCTGCCATCGACCAACGAATGCGATTGGTGCTGCATGCTTGACGCATTGGAAGTATGCCCCATATGCCGGGATCATCGAAACAGGAGTAGTGATTGGAGACGGTCAACAGCGGCACACCCTGGGGTCGCTTTGATATCATGTCGACAAGTCGTTCCTTGTTGTATACGCGGGTTTTGTTCATGAGCACTGTGTTAGACAATTAAAGAGAGGACAATCAGTAGATATCACCATATTCAGAGTTATGTAAAGACAAACAATTAATTGGGCACACGCTTGACCTTAATTGAATGCGAACACAGCGAGAGAAACCAGCTGAAGGCTTGGCAATCGGGAGAATCACGGTCAGGGGCTCTTCCAAGCTGCCAAGTCGCCAAATAATAGCCCGGCATATAACGAAGAGCAGTCAGTCATTGCCTTTTCACCGCATGTTGTACGAGGTCGGGGTGTGCACGGGCATACTTACTCAGTAAAATCTTGCTGAAGATTCCGACTGCTGTGATCACAAACTGGCTGGCCAGCCACCAAACTCTCGACGGGCACCGCTGCTTTTGAAATATCCAATCGATGTTGTAGGGTATCTGCACGGCCGTGGGCATGTTCATCCGCGGATCCCTGTCGGACATCGTGGGTGGCTGTGGTGGTGGCTGCGCTGGCGGCTGTGATGGCGGCTGTGGCTGGATTTGCTGATTGCTGAACACGGTAGGACTTGAGTTGCGGGATAAGGCCGGACGTTGCTCCGTCTGCTCCTGCTTATGCAGTCCGGCCGTGGATCTCTCATCTGGCTCTGCACGGGTCTCTGGGGCTTGCTGGTATTGCTGAAAGGTAGGAAGAAGATTGAATACTTGAGCAATGTAATGGATATGACTATGGCTATGTCGAATGGTGTAACAAGCCAGCCTTGTGCTAACCATGGAAACCAATTTATCTTATCGGTGCTTACGGAGCTGAAAATACTGGAATGCTTTTGTTTTCGTTTAGCTCGCCTCACACTGCTACGCATTTTGAATACTATTTGTATTTCTATTTGATAATAATTTCAATGAGAACCAAGTCGACCCCGGACTGAACTTTTTCTGGACTGCTTTGTGCCACAGGTCCTCAGCATGCGCAGTGGACGGCAGCAGAACTGATAGGGGATTGAAAGAGCGCAATGAAACTGCTGCATCCTCATCTCGTGGCGGCACAAAGAGCGCGATAAAAGAATTCAAATCGCAAGGCGGAACACAGCACTCACATTGTGGAACGGCACACTCACGGCTCATTCGGTTCGCAATTAATTTGTGTAGCCTTCAGTTGATGCAAGACATTTGTGCGTCGTCTTAATATCGAGTTCGCGCACGTAAGAAGAATTCTGTATTTGTTCAAGTGTACGACCAGGCGGCGGGAACATTCAAGTTTAACTGATTTTCGTCTCTACGAAATATCTCAAGTTCAAATACGGAAAAAAGCACTGGTACGGGCTATGCAACAAGGGCGTGAGAGAGAGAGACCCATACACCTGGTCTATAGATAGATAGAGATAGAGAGAAAGAGCACAACAGAGCAACAGTCAAGAGGGCGATTGTGCTCCGGCATTATCAGTTAGTAGCCAAAGTGTTGAACTAAGCACGTTTCGTTTCCACAAAAGACGTTCACATTGCATATATGTATACATAGGTATGTTCATATACTCAGATAAGAAACGAAAGCTACGTAAGTCGGCATGAGGAGTGGATTTTGAATTGCGCGCCAAGTGTTGACATGAGCAGTGGTGGGGGTGAAATCAATCAATACCCTGTAAATCCAATAATAAATATTGCACCCTTCCCACTTACCCTCGCCGACAGAGCAAAGATGCTCCGATGTGGGCCATTTGCAGACGCCAGTGGCACGAGTTCCCAATAAAACCTCCGCGTGGCAGATGCCCCTGCACTCCTCACGTGCCTCAAGCCGCACAGTTTCGTACACACCGCCATCAACATGATGAATACTACTTAATACGAATATGATATATGTAGGCAGATTTTCAATTATTGCACCGTCTCGCTTTACATAACCGATTATTTATCCGAAAGATACACTTGCAAATTTTGGCAGTTCTTCTGTTCAGCCAGTTCCGCGTCTTCACCTGGCCATCGGCAGCGCATTCAGACCCCCATGTGCGTACTGATGGGGGAACGGCACAGAACTTTACATGTGCGCATGTCCGTAGGTATTTGTATTGACTAAAGGCCGGAAAAAACAACTGCCAAGGCCAAAAGAAGCCTAGACAAATTGAAATTTAAATAAAAATAAGGCCGAATTTCACGGTAACAGCTGTTCGATTTTGGCCATTCACATCGCATCTTCGGACATTTTACAGCACTAACAGGAGTACACAACACTGAAGCAAGTGTGTTCGCTGAAATATTAAGAAACTTGGTATGTAATACGTGAACCGCGGAAATCTGAATAAAAACTGATTTGAATCTACTATTTTAGAGCAAGGATGTCTCGCAGTGCTCGCCCACTTACTTCAGCACGCGTGCTCCACAAGATTAAGGCGCTGACCACCCCGCAGAGCAACGAAGGATTTGTGGTCAACCGGAATCCCAGGAATCTGGAGAGGCTACGCATTGCGTACAAGCCCAGCGGCTACCACTTGGAGAAGCCGGGTCGTTCCTACTGGCACACGCTCGAGATCAACACCAGCGGTCGTTATGTCAGCGCCGACGTGAAGCACTACGAAAACGGCGTCATTCTGAGCGCCAGCACCGCCGAATGGGCCATCAAACAACAGCTGTACAAGACCAACGACACCTCAGCGTTTGTGAATCTTGGCCGTGTTCTGGCGCACCGATGCCTTCAGTCGGGCATCACTGAAATGACATGCAATGTGGACGCTGTCGCCGGCAGCAAGCTTCAAAAATTGCTCCAAACCCTGCAGGACAATGGGGTGTCATTCAAGGAGCCCACACGATTGAAGAACAGCCAGCCCTGGGATGCGTACAGACAGGAGAAGCCTTGGGAGGTTTCGGAGCAATCAATTCCGGCCACCCCATTGCAAACAACCGCAACCAAATCAAAACAAAAGTAAAAATCGTTTGGTACTAGTTTTCGACTCGTTTAGAATAAACGTTCATTTTTATGCTAATTAAAACAAAACATTGTTTTATTTAAGACTGCGCCTATTCGTATTTGCTCTTGATGTCCTTCCAGAGTTTCTGCAAGCGAAAAAAGAGTAATTCGTTTATTCCCAACTCGTCTTACATAAGAGGAGTGCAACTTACGCCTTTGTTGATGGACTCGAACAGGGCAGTGGACGAGACATCGATGGCACGCTCGAAAAAGAATGTCGCCCCGATGATGGCCACGGCGTAGGTGGACGTGCGCTTAAACAGAGTATTGTAGATCACCTTCATTTTGCAAATAGGTTTTTATAATTCCTGCCAAATTATTACGCCTCGCACGCCAAATACACAGCTGATGATACTATCGATAGCATCGATTTTGTAAACCTGCCCATTGAAAACTATCGAGGGGCGCCACTATCGATATCGATGGTTTGACACGCTGGGTCGGAAATATTTGAGATAAACAAGAAAAAGAAAGACCAGCTCAGACTTCTCCTCGTAGTGCCCAATTCCGTATTAAAAGTGTATACAATGGTTGACCTCACAGACGCCGGCTCTCCGTTCCAGCAATCCATTCCGAATCTCGCCTTCTATGTGCCGGCTGTTGTTGTGTTTACTCTAGCAGGTAAGAGCTTCTATTTAATACCCCACCCCCACTAAACCCCAACTTCCAAGCTCTCCACTCCACTGAAAAGCGGGTCAAAAGACTTTCACCAAGCAAGAAACTAGAATGCCCGCACGCCCATCTGCCAACCACAGTCCTCGCCCAAGTTGTATGTTAGTTTGTTGTGTTGTTTTAGATTTACCCCCTGAGCTATCTTTTGTTGTGTTCGTATCAGTTGTATTTATGGTTTAGCATGATTTCTCCTGCATTTGGTAAGGTCTTACGTGTTCCCAAACTCTTCCTATCTAGACATTTATTCCGGTTTTCTTGCGTACGTAGTCAAATTTGTGTTCTTTTATTGGCTGTGGGTTCGAAAGCGATAAGAGGGTCTGGTCTCTGGAGAGATAAGAGCCAGCCATTCACCATTCCCATAATTGTACATGCGTACAGACCAAGGGGGGCCACAGCATGCTCGGGAAGAACGCATGTTAGAGACTTAATTAAATCCCAGTTTTATTTAGTAGTTGCACTGTTTTATCCCAGTTTGGAATCCACTAGTTTTCGGTGCATGCTTTTTGGCCTATATGTACATCAGTTTGTACAGTTGTACCTGTGTCCGGGGGGACTGATAAGCGCCTCCTCGGGTTCGGAGGAGGAGACTCTTATCGCACACCTAACTTATTTTTACCGACTTCTTTGCGACTACCTTTTGAAAAATATGCTGACGAAGGCGCGAAAACAAAACGAAAAGCGCAGCGAAACTGAACCATATCTCCCTCCTCAATAAGAATGAATTATAAGCGACTGATTACACACGAGTGTCAATTTCTTTATATTACTTTTAATATGATTTTTAGTGATCGCTCAGTTCTCCTGAACACCAGGAAGCCGCAGCACGTAAGCAAGTGGCGGTCAAGCTTCAAAATTATTACCAAAATTTCGTGTTTACTGGGCGGAATAGGCCAATAAATCGGAAGGGGATTATAAATTAGAGACGCGGGGGATAGCTGAATATAATATTGACCAAATAGGTTTGGATATCCGAATATACGACGAACCGAACTATCAAGCTCGAACTGTTTTTGAATACCCGTGGGTTTGCCACGTTGAACCATCATTCTATTGGTTTGCTGTTGTGTGTTTTTGTTTGCCCTAACACCTCTCCCAAAGCGTCGTAAATTTGCGCGTTATTCCCCCCAGTAATTACACACGAGGAAACACAATTTTTTTAAGACATTGTAACCCTTCACCCCTTCAGACGCGAACCGTTAAGGCAAGCCCCCAGCTCCACCCACAGCCACAGCAAAGAGTGTAGTGAAGCGAGCCCATTAGCCGCCACAAGTGACTTTAAGCAAAGAATGGCAGAGGATCCACTGAATCAGCAGGCATTCGCCCAGGATGTGGAGGCCGCGGCGGCAGCCGGTGGCCCCAACGGCTTTGCCGGCGCAGAACCAGGCCATCCCGACTTCAAAATGCCCAGTGCCGATGAGATCTGGAAGCTCGTCGAGAGCATGGACGGCATATCGGATGCAGAGCGCGAAGAGCTGCGCGAGAGCATATTCAACCCAAAGCCGCCATCGCCGGAGGACTTTATGCGCCAGTACGGACAGCCGGGCCACAGCTCTAGGGAATATATGATATTCTTCGTGATGTTGACCCTGATTCTGCTCGTCTTTGGTAAGCAAGCGGACGACACTGAGCCGAACTGAAACTGAACAAATCGAACACTCATCGGATATTCTTTTGGTCTACGGTATCCACGTCTCCAGCTCTATAGCCGGGGAGTAGTGATAGGTGATAGGCGAGCGGTGATAGCGCAGGGGAATCGGGGAGAAGGGTGCCCTGCCAGAGCACTCACTCAAACACGCACACACACGTGAGCGATTTGGCTAGCATGTTTGCTTCGCTTTATAGGCGTTCGATTTTCGATAAGATAACTCCAAATCCACCACGGAACAAAAATTGACAGTAGGCCCACGCGTTGATAGAGACAGTGTTGGATCGGGACCCATGCCGACCAGAGGGCAGAAGTTGACTCGAAATTCGGACTTCCTTGGCCTGTAGTTCCCCCACCATGAGCTCGATTGTCGGCGCCGAGGCGGCGGGCATTGTCGAGCAGCTGAAGCAATCTGTGGAGGCGATTGTGGCCAAGACAGGACCCAGCAGCAAATTCGCACAGGATCTGGTTAAGAAGATCGGCGATATGCAAAACAAATTGGAGTCGCTCACCGAGGCCGATCGGCACCTGTTCCTCGTGGAAATGAAGGGCAAATTCGAGAAGACCATTGAACGAATCGAGGATAGACTGACTCAGCACGCACACATCGCTCAGACATACTCTAGTTCCATTGTGGCAGCAGTGATATTTCTCCTCGTCTCGATATTTGGTCTCGACTCATCCTCGATCATCCCCACTAGAACGATCATTAACCGCTTGCCTTTTCTCCCTTCCATTGCAGCTCTCTTTGGCTACAAGCTGTACAAGTCGCTGACGGAAAAGGAGCTAAAGAAGCAGGAGAAGTTGAAGAGCAAGCAGCAGAAGAAGGCAAAGAAGTCAAACTAACCCCCTGGCCGCCCGGAAATGCTGACAAACATATAGATTCTCCCGGAAATGTATCCTTTTCCAACTGTTAATCAATACAAAGGCCTAAAGGCCCAACGGCCCTGTAAATGACAAAAATTATCGCGTACCAGTAAACGTAATAAATTAATTATACCACACAATTTATATGTAGAGAAGTTTTAAAATTTCATGACAAATTCCATTATGGGCATGGATCTCTGCATTAATTACCATTATAAACGCCATTAAACCACGGGATTGGAATTCATGTCGTGACCGTGTTTACCTTCCACCCCAAACTTGTTGCTGGCAGATTTTATAGCCAGGCTATTTTGGTCGGGCTTTCCGAATTCCGTCTTCGGTTGCCATGGAAAGTAAACAAATCATTTTGTCGAGTCCCTTTCCGTCAAACAAATAAGTAGTAATATCCAGTCGCCTCAGTACTCAGTCTCTCCGTTCAGTAGTCTGATTCAGACGTGTCGGCAAACACTTAAAACAGAAGTACATAATGTCGTACTCCAGCCGTAAGTATCCTATTGATGGGCAATTGTCGTTTTATGGCTGACTATGGTGTGATTGCTTAGGCTTTGGCTTTGATTTCCATCTGCCCGATGAGGGTTGGTGCTATCCCAAGGACGACATGTTCTTTCGCCGGAGTGCCGAGTGGGTGCCATTGGAGAAAGCTGGCGTGGGCCGTTCTTTTGCTAACACGAACAGCGTGATATATCCCCGAATCACTGGCATGATTCCGCGCTATGGAGGACATGTTCCGGGCGAGATTTTCAAAGTTGGAACCACTTACGGACGCGCCACAGTCGACGCCAAGCGTTGGCTGGCCCTGCACCGCGAATAAATCTTGTTACATTTCTTCTAGAATTGAAAAATTAGCTGTGTTAAGCTTTGTAAAGCACCCAATAAATATTGTTCTGCCTTCATTTCAAATTGTCCGCGCCTGCCATCAGGGTTGCTCTGATATCGAAATTACCTGCCTGCACCGAAAGCATTCGATAGGCAGAATTTGCCCATTCACGATTACAAAGCGAAAACGTAAACAAACCAAGACAAAATTAGACATGACCTCTAATTTACTGAATATCTGTAGGCGTGGTTTTCACACGAGTTCTGTAAGACAGCAAATAATCCAAAGTGAGACGCCCACCAAACGGATATGCATTGTGGGCGCCGGACCCGCCGGTTTCTATGCGGCCCAGTATCTGCTGAAGAACCTGGGCGACTGCGTTGTGGATATTGTTGAGAAGCTGCCGGTTCCCTTCGGTCTGGTGCGGTAAGAGGACCCATAGGCTAAAGAAAGGTGGTGGTGTTGTACATGTTGTTTCCAAACCCGAAAAGGGGCCCGAGGACGGAGCGCAAAATGCCATTCAAGTAGCCTGTAAGTACGAGTAGAAGGATATTATTGGTGTCGTGGCTTGTCGAAAAACGCAACGCAGAGATGACTCACCGCCGACTTGGTCAAAGCTCCATGCGGGGCTGGCCGCCACAGAGGAAAGACATACAAGCACAAAGAAGCAGGCGAGCAGCGGAGCGCAACGGATCGTCCACATCTTAGTGGCAACCAACGACTGTTGGTCGTCGGCTGGGCCTCTGAAGTTTTTATCTAAGCGTGGTCGCGTGTGTCTGGCAAGCACTTTAACACTTATCGACTAATGACATGTCCCATTATGCAAATCGACATTCCAGGTTTGGCGTTGCGCCTGATCATCCGGAGGTCAAGAACGTCATCAACACCTTCACGAAGACGGCCGAGCATCCGCGTCTTCGCTTCTTTGGCAATGTCAGCCTGGGAACGGATGTGAGCCTTCATGACCTGAGGAACCAATACCACGCCGTTCTCCTCACCTATGGCTCCGACCAGGATCGGGAGTTGCAGCTGGACAACGAGCAGCAGAGCCATGTGATATCTGCCCGCAAGTTTGTGGCCTGGTACAATGGGCTGCCGGGCGCAGAGCATCTGGAGCCAGACTTGAGCGGACGCGATGTGACGATTGTGGGTCAAGGCAATGTAGCAGTGGACGTGGCACGCATGCTCCTCGGTCCCCTAGATGCACTCAAAGTAAGACATAAGATGACTGTAGGCATTCATTATGCTCACTCTGATTTGGGGTAGTCCACAGACACGACGGAGTACGCCCTGGAGGCACTCTCTCGCAGCCAGGTGGAGCGGGTTCATCTGGTTGGACGGCGCGGTCCTCTGCAGGCTGCCTTCACCATTAAGGAGTTGCGCGAAATGCTCAAGTTGCCCAATGTTCAAACACGCTGGCGCTCGGACGATTTCTCGGGTAAGAAATCTGGCTATCATTTCAAGCTATGCACGACTGACACATTTGTTTCCAGGAATTGCCACACAGGTGGAGCAGCTGCAGCGTCCACGCAAGCGACTTACCGAACTGATGCTAAAGAGTCTAAACGACCAGGGAAAGAATTCATCTCCGGGCACAAAGCAGTTTCTGCCAATTTTCCTGCGTGCCCCAAAAGCCATCACTGAGGGCGAAATGGAATTCTCTGTAACAGAACTTCAGCAGGACGCCGCTGTTCCCACACATGCTACCGAACGTCTGCCAGCGAATTTGATTTTACGCAGCATTGGCTACAAGTCGAGTTGCGCTGACGCCGACATTAGTTTTGACTCCCGGCAAGGATATGTTCGCAATCGAGAGGGTCGCGTCCTGAAGGTAGACGCCACAGACAACGTCGATGCTGGTTTGTATGTGGCAGGATGGTTGGGTACAGGACCAACTGGCGTTATATTAACCACAATGAGTGGCGCGTTTGCTGTGGCCAAAAATATCTGTGACGACATTGCATCCAATGCCTTAGACACGAGCTCATCAAAGCCTGGCTTCGAGGCGGACGACAAACGAGTGGTCACGTGGGACGGCTGGCGACGTATCGATGATTTCGAGATGGAAACGGGCAAGGCAAAGGGAAAGCCACGTGAGAAGATAGTCAGCATAGCCGAAATGCTGCGAATTGCCGGTGTATAAGAATTCCTGTTACTGTTTTTCAATACAACCTTTGTTATTCTTTACAAAACTATTTAACTTTTAAGGATCTGTCATGAGAGACCTTTGTAAAGTATTGTTAATTCCATACCCATGATTAAAGATTTGTAAATTGCTCTAAGTGAACATTCAGAAACCAAAATTTGTTGTGTAAGAAAAATTGGCTTGTCATCATGATGAATGATACCATAACGCCGGAGCCGCATTTGGTGCCAGGGTAAGAAAGCAAACGCGCACACCCATCCAGACTGATGTCTAACCACTATCCATTGTTGTGGCGCTCAGGTACACCGGCCACTGCACCGAGAACCGAGATCGCGTGGGCAAAACATATGGCAAACAGACGCACAAGTTGCTCATCGACCCGTGCATCTACCATGCCCCGGAGCTGATCGTATTACCCATACACGCCAAGCAAGGGCTCAAGGATTATCCCACGGAGCATGAGCTGAAGGTGTTGCGTCGTCGTGAGGATCTGGTGGATGCTGTGTACCGGCATCCCATACTTCCAGGATATGCAGGCTTCGTCCCAAATATGGCCAGTCAAACTGGCAAGCGCTATGTGGCCGCTGCCTCGGCGGGTGTCGCCCAGCATGAGACGCTGATGGAGCTATATCGCTGCGAAAATCGAACACTTCGTCATCGCGATCTGTTGGAAAGCGGAAAAGGACTCTTCGAACGCAAGCTGAATGAGCGTCTGGTGCGTACTCCATCCCCATAATATAATATCTTCCACTAAATATTTCTTCCCTCAGCTCCCGCAAGCGAGATACCGTTCGCCCCTCATTCCCGTCACCGGTCGCTCAAAGGGCGTCAAGGATGAAGAGTGTCCGCCCAGAGTGGAGAAGCTCCGCTACAGCAAGTTCACATCCCCTCACTTCCTGGAGGATGACGACGACGATAAGTTTATAATCAATGGATATGCCGCCCATATACCCATGGCCGTTACCCGATTTGGCGAATCGAACCAGGTGCTCACCCACCGAGCCCTGTGCAGCTTCTCCGATTACATGTACAAGAGGAAGCGCGACGCTTGGTGCTGCGGCCAGGACTTGACCAGACCGGCAGTAACCTGTCCACCGGTGGGACACTTTGTGATTTATCACGACGACATCGGCATGGTTCCCAGCTACGCGGGTCATGTGCCGGGAGAGCTCTACAAGTTTGGACGTACCTATGGCAAGACAACAATCAATGCCAAGCGCTGGCTAGACATTCACAGGGGTCTTACCGGTCTGCCAGAGGTGTCGAATCTCGACTATACTTATTAGTGAGTACACTTAAACTCATATATTATGTTACAAAATTGTAACGTCCAATAAACAATTGCTCTGCCTTGCGTATTTGTACGCTACTCGAACGCGGTCACACTCCCGATTGTTTTGCTTATCGATACGACAACAACATCCCTAGCTTTCTGCTTCTACGTCGTTTTGGTGGAAATAAGTTTTAATTGATTGTGTGTGTTAATAATAAACCAATTGCTCTCCATGCCGTGATCAATTGGTATCCAGTGCCTCAAGCGCCTGGCAACAATGTAAAAGCCACAGTCTCGGCATCGCAAACGGGGAAAATTTCCAAAAACGCTACAGGAAAAAATCTTAAGAATCGAAATCGAACAATTCAAACACACACACATAGTGCCGTTCTGTTCACACACTACAGTTGCAGTACAGTACCGCAGTGTGTGCGAGCGAGTCGAATAGTCGGTCGGAAGATAACATACATTTGTGTACCTACCTCTCTTTCAAGTGGTGAGTTGAATGAATGCCGATTATGCACCCTGCACGCAAACAGGCCCCGAGCAGCATATGAGTGCGACGATCAAGTGTAGTTTTCCCACTGCAGAGAAACGTGAAACCCCAAGAGATAGGTCAGAGATTATGGCAATGTCTCAGAATCTCTTAGCGCCCATTGAGATAGGGTGTTTGTGTTTGATTTTTGGTGGCGGGAAATTAGCTCGAGTGTGCGCACAGGTCACGAAAAAGTCGTTGCGACCCGACCAACGGCTCTCAACTTGTTTATTAAAAGCGAACAAACGAATGAAAATAAAAACAAAAAAATATATGTATGTGTAATTTGTTGTAGCAGGTGAGATTTACGAGTGCATATTGAGTTCGGAGAGAGCTTTTCGAATGAGAACGAAAATAAGAATGGGAACGCATAGGAAGCAGTGAAAAGCCGCCAAAATGGGTTGAGCATATTTTGCATCGATTTTCCCGGCCGAAATATGGAAATTTTTATTTACTTTGAATATTTAATTGCAGAAGATTTTAGTGATGAGTGAAGAGGTGGCACCAAGCGTTGAGGACACGAAAATGTCCGACGAGGATGGCCCAAAGGATAAAGCTGATGAGTGCACGAGTGCGCCTTCTGCCAAGGACTCGGAAGACATGGAACCGGCTGGGGATACGAAAAGTGTGCAGGTGGAGAATGAACAAAGTCCAACAGATAAGGAGAAACCGACCACGGTGGATATCAACACGCTGACTCCATCAACGCCCTCACACACGCCGCCACAGCTGCTGGCTACCGAAACGGCAGTAACAGCACCCGTCATACCAGAGAATATACTGTCTCCACCAAAGTCAGAAACACAAACTGATGAGACCAACACGGCCACATCGACGTCGTGCTCACCAGCATCCGATGGCCAGCATTCACCTGTGGGCGAACAGCCTCCGCCGGCACCGAAGCAGGAACAGCAAGAGGAGCCGTCGGCGGTAAATGGCTCTATACCAAAGTCGGGAAAACCGCTGGCCACAGCGTTAAGCAACAAAAAGCCCAATAAGTCGGCATCCACGTCACCGCGCGCCTCCCGATCACGCAAACCGAAGGCACTGCCTATGTACGAGAGCGAGATCAGCGACAACAAAGTCGGCATTAAGCTGTGCATTAAAAAATCTGATGGTGTGGCTGGGGGAGACAGCACGCCGACAGTAACATCACCTCCCGTCCCCGTCCCTGCTGCTACCAAGCCGGCACGCAAGCGCGTTCGCAAACCAAAGCAGCCGGACAGCGACGAGAGTGAATGTGAGCCACGAAAGAAGAAGGTCTCGACGAGCAGTGCAGCAGAGGCGGTAGAAGGAGAAGCAGTCGAACAGAGTGCCTGGGCTGAGAGGCTTCCTGCGGAAGTCCTCTTCCAAGTAAGTCAATGGCGCTGAAGACTGAACTAGCAGAAGGACTCAATGAGGTTGCTCTTTACTTTTAGATTTTCGAACACGTTATTGAGAAGGAGGGCTGCCTGCCCACTCTCTTTCGCCTGGGACGTGTTTGCTCCCTGTGGCGGCAGGTTTCTCTTACCCCCTCACTGTGGCACACAATGGATCTGACCACATGGATCAAGGAGAAGTATCGCACTGAACTCAAACTCAAGTGGTTTGTGGATAACCGCTGCAGTGCCTGCACCGAGCTGAATGTTTGTAAGTGAACAAGAACGTCAAGCCTGAACATTTGTCTTCAATCGAGAGTTTTTATCTGTTTGCAGCCAACTGGAAAATATCGGACATATCCATCAATTGCTTCCTCACCAAGTTGGCTGTCGGTTGTCCGAACTTAACTGGTATCACGCTGTCCGGCTGGAAAGGATTCACCTCAGACAATTTAACCTATTTGGTGGACAACATGAAGAAACTAGAACGATTAGACTTGAGCTCCATTAACGTAAGTTGCAGGTCAGCGCCGCGGAGGAAGCCAGCTAACTATGTTTTTTAAATCTACATACAGCTTGAGATGAATGCCAGCAAGACCGCTGTTGGCATGGTCTCTCTCTGCAACGCGCTTCAGACCATTGGCAGTCGTCTAACTCATCTCCACTTGGCGCACAATCGTCTGGCGGGTATACCCCAGATAGTCGGCGTATTGTCGGTGTGTATGCAGTCTTCAGTAATAATAGGCTCTGGTAATCAATGATTTCCTTCCAGGCTCACTGTCCGAATCTGACGCTATTGGATCTCTCGAATGTAACCACGCAGGCCACATCTCACGGCGTGCTTCACATTGAGAAACTGCAGCATGGCTGCCAAAAGTTGAAGGTTCTGCGTGTGACAAACTCGCACATTACGCCGAGCATAGCTGGAATGCAGGAAATTGTAATCTTGGAAATTAGGGCTTGTCACAAAGAAGTTACTCTAGGCTTTGAATATTTTTAGATGGACTCACCTGGCTTTCCAAATCTCGAAGAGCTCTCCGTGGCTGCAACGACAGATGAATCTCGCATCATTTGCGATGATCACCTACAGCGCTTACTGAAGAGCAGCTCCAAGCTGAAGCTGCTAGATGTGCGCAACTGCACTCGGCTGACGCACGAGAGCCTCATCCGGTTACCAGCCTGGGATATCAAGCATTTATACCTTTCAGGCTGCTCAGTTACGCGCGATGTGGGGTAAGTCCAATCCTCCTCGTTCCCACAGTTTGAGGTTTACTATGCCTTCTTCTGATTGTGTCTCGTAGGTCGGGTCTGGAACTCATTGCCTCCAAGTGGGCGCATAGTCTCATTGAACTGGATCTGGCCTGGGCAAATGTGCAGCAGCCGATAGACAATGCATTGCGCGCCCTTGCCGAAAAGGGGAGCGAGTGCCCATTGGCGTAAGTATTTAGGAATCCGAAAAATAACAGAAAAATCTCATTATTTTATCCCGTGCAGGCATTTGAATCTGTGTGGCTCGTCCGTTTCGGATGAGGCAGTCAAGGAAATACTCAAAAACTGCGCCAACATGAGCTCAATCAACCTGGCTTCATGCCGTGGACTGCCGCGCGGGGTCAAGCGTCTTATGCAAGGAGCGCAGCAGTTGCGCGAACTCCGCGAAGTTCTTGGGGTGCAGCTAAAAGACAGTCGCAGCAGTGGGAGCAACTAATCCAGTCAGTGTGCCAGTCACTCACTCATCGGTTTTATTGTTGAGCAAGCGGGCCACATTTAAATGTAATTTAAATTGTTGCTTCCACGCAGAAGAGTCGTTCGTCGATCTTTTTTGATGTAATGGTAGTCCGCGAAAATATTTCAATATGAATATTTCAATTGCAATGGCTTGCATCTTCCAATTATGCTTATCTTGTTTATAGGCGGTAGTGTGTAATAATTGTACTAGCTTAGTATACTAGGCGTTCCGTTCTCTTTCTCCATCCGAAACAAAAAAGGAGCCGTTGAGAGATCACGCTGCAATCTTTTGTAAATGCAATATGTATTCATAATATAGTTGATTCGAATTTTTTGTAGAACGGCGAGTACCAACCACTTGCGAGGACGATTTAATGATTTTTTTTGTGTATGCATATACGATTCATTATTAGTAAGTCCAACCATTGTGTGTTTGTAAAGTATGTACGTATACAAGAATCTAGACTAAGTAAAAATTGTATTTCTCGAAATACATATTGATTTATTAACCATAAAGATAGTAGTCGTCAATTGAAAAGTCGATAAATAAGACAATTTGTAGAATGTTTTAACCCGATTGAAATGTACATATTGGCGATTGAGAACGTTCTGATTGAATGTTTTCAATATTAACCATTAATAAATACTATACCACACATAAATATTAATTAAATAACACAATTCAATTGTTAGGCATTATTTGTAGTTAAGAGAAGGCAATTAAAGGTACATTACATTTAATTTATAATAAACGCAAACACTTTCAATCCCTATTGTTTGTACTTATCTAAAAAATCCAATCCCTATCTCTCTTTCCGCACAAAAACCAAAGATTCTTCGAGTTTAATACATAATTTTATTCAAATATGCGGCTCACATCTACTCTTCACATATCCGGAGTCATCTCTTAGTTTTTCTTCAGATTATCAATGTCTTTAATGTATTCGGTGCCGACCTTCACAATGACGGCGCCGGTTCCCAGTCCAACCAAAGTGGCGAGAAGAGCATTATTTTCAGCTAGAGATGATTTTAGTAGGGCCCAGGCCAGCACTGACCCCATACTGAACAGAACGCCGCCGAGGGCTGCATACGCCAGGCGCTTGTTCGACTTGACGTCCTTCAGGTGGGGACGACCGTAAATGTAGAAACCCGTGCCTACCGCAGACGAAATCAAGAACACATTAGTAAGGTCCTTTTTCGGCAACAGCTTGGGCACAATCTGAGGGTTCATAACATTGACCGATAGAGCTCCATAGCTGACCAGCCCATGCAGTGGTATGTAGTAGTTGAACACGTTTTCTTTGGTGAGCGGCTTCAAGCCTATTTTCTCGCACAAGCTGCACCCGTCGTTATTTTGTCCGCTGGCCATAATTTTTAGTCCAAATGCAAATTCAACGTAATATTATTATTCCGGCGTGTCAGTCTTCTTTTTTTTTGTTATGTAAAGATTTATCGTTAAAATATACTAAAATATACCGTAAATATACTGACGGATCCAAGTTCTTTTTTACATATTCCTCGTTTTTGATCTTCCGTGGAATATTACCAGTTACATAGAACATTTAGCCATGCCCACATAATTTTAACCCATTGATGAATCAATTTTCTACAAGATTGGATAGTTTTTAGTCCTTGCTTTTATTGTATTTTGGCTAAAAAGAGGTTTAAACGGAAAAGTTCGACAAAAAAAGAGTCATTATGTTGCGTGTAGACCTTTGTATACCCTATTTTGTTAATTTTATATGAAGATGAAACGTAATTTATTAAGACCTTTTCTCAAATTGATATTCTTTAGACATATTCAAGTACCTTATTAGTATCTTGTATATATTTATGTCGATCCTGATGCCTACGGAGCCTGGGGTGACAAACATATTCACAATTCTATAACATCCATTTCCCCCAGGGTATGCGTGCATGGACATTGTTGTGAACCGGTTATTACCGATTCTGTCCGATTCAAATAAATACCCAAATATACGGTCTCATTTTCAAAATATTCCAACGAATTATTCATATTCCTCGATTTTGATCTTTCGTGGAATATTACTAGCTATTTAGATCTCTCAGCCTTGCCCACATAATTTTATATGATTGCTCAATCAATTTTATTCAAGACTAACTTCTTTTAAGTACTCCCATTTGTTGTATTTTGACTAAAACAAAGTTTGTTGCCTAGCGGTTAAACGAGAGCCTCACCCGATTCAGTGAGAGAGCGAAAACGAGAGCCTTAACCGGTTTGAAGAGAGTCGAGCAATGCGCGCCAAGGATTTAAATTGCAATAAATGATGCATGGAAGTTTCTATATCATTTATTATTAAATAAAACTTTGTCAATTGAATTTAATAAATGAAGTAGCCCTGGAGATTTTATCGAGAAAACTCAACCCTGAACCACAGCTGTTTTCAAAACACATACAAAAACTGAGTGGCATCACTAGCCGGCGCTGGAGAAGGAGGCAACCAAGAGAAAGAGAGAAGGAGGAAAGAATTTAGAGAGAAAGAGAGGGAAATAGGTGCGAAAAATTTCGGACTTGGTTGGAAATTCCTAGATTTCGATTTGTAGAGGGCCAATAATTATTGAATAGACCGCAGCATCACTAAATGTGCGTGCCTCATATGCAGCAGCCATCGATTACAGTCGCAACCGCATCCTCCTCGTGAAGGAACTTCAAACATAACACAAAAACACAGCCCAGCTCCGCGGAAGACATGTTGACGCACAAGACTTGTCAGGCACGGAAAAAGATGCAGGTGAGTGGGGAAACAGAATGGCCTTATCAGAACGTGGAAGGCGAGGAGAAAATTGAGTTTACAAAGCGCCCTATTCTCTAGGTTTCCTTCGTGATACGAGACGCCGAGGAGAAACAGCATCGGAATGGTGTCAATTCGTTGCAGCTAGATCCGAACAATGGCAAATTGTATTCGGCCGGACGTGATGCGATCATCCGGGTTTGGAACACGCGCTCGGAGTCCAGCGAGAAGTACATACAGTCGATGGAACATCACAATGATTGGGTCAACGACATAGTGCTGTGCTGCAACGGAAGGAACCGTAAGTCGGATAATGGATAATGAGCCATTATAGTGAATATAATGTCTAACCATTTGGCCATTCAGTTATCAGCGCCAGTTGTGATACCACGGTGAAGGTGTGGAATGCACAGAAAGGCTTCTGCATGTCGACCCTCAGAACACATCGCGACTATGTCCAGGCTCTGGCCTATGCGAAGGATCGAGAACAAGTAGCCAGCGCTGGGCTAGACAAAGCGATATTCCTGTGGGATGTCAACACACTAACAGCGCTAACTGCCAGCAACAACACCGTTACAACCTCTAGTCTGACTGGGTCAAAGGATTCGATCTATAGCCTGGCCATGAATCCCTCTGGCACCGTAATTGTGAGCGGATCCACCGAGAATATACTGCGAATATGGGATCCAAGAACTTGTATGCGAAGCATGAAGCTCCGAGGACACACGGAAAACGTTCGCTGCCTTGTAGTCTCCCCAGACGGCAACCAGGTTGTATCCGGAAGCTCTGATGGCACCATCAAGGTCTGGAATTTGGGCCAACAACGCTGCGTTCAGACTATACACGTACACAAGGAGGGCGTGTGGTCGTTGCTAATGAGCGAGAACTTTCAATACATAATATCGGGGAGCAGGGATCAAAATATTATTGTGACAGAGATGCGTAATCCCAGCAACAAGACGCTCGTATGCGAGGAGAAGGCGCCTGTGCTCAGTCTGGGCTACAACATGGACAAGACTGGCGTGTGGGCCACCACCTGGAATTCGGACATTCGCTGTTGGAAGCTGCCCATGTACGATAGAGGCACCCTGAACTCGTCGGGCGGTTTGGATGCACAGTGGACGCAAGGTGGCACGGAGCTGGCTTGCATCAAGGGCGGGGCCGCCATCAAGGAGTGTACTGTGCTGAACGACAAGCGTTATATATTAACGAAAGACTCCCAGGATCAAGTCGTGCTCTACGACGTTCTAAGAGTGGTCAAGAAGGACACTCTGGGCCCAATCGACTACGAGGCGGAGGTGAAAAAGCGCAACAAGCAAGTCTACATTCCAAATTGGTTCACAGTGGATCTCAAAACTGGGGTGAGTACTTTACTTTACCTTGTAATACCAACATTATAACCTCTCTATATGATATCTCTCATTGCAGATGCCAACGATTGTTTTGGGTCAGGAGGAGGTCGATTGCTTCTCGGCTTGGGTGTCTATTGAGGCCGGACTGCCGGAGTGCGTCGATCCCACAACAGAGATAAAGGTATGAAAGGTATACATTTCTGATAGAATGTCTTGATTTTAACTCAATTGTGCAGATAAACTATGGGAAATTACTCTTGGAGGCACTGCTCGAGTACTGGACACCACCGCATAGCATACCGCAAAACGAATTGGAGCCGGACATGCACGGCAACGGCTACTTTCAAGTGCCCAAACATACACCAGTCATATTCAGGTGAGTCGCATAGTATTTCATTCGCTACAAGTATTCTCATATTGTGACTATCCAATAGCGAGGTGGGCGGGCGGACTGTCTGCCGTCTGTTGGTCCGCGACGCAGCGGGCGACAGCGAATGCACTCTGCTACATGAGACAGCACCGCAGTGGGTTACCGATGTGGTGATTGAGAAGAACATTCCCAAGTTCCTCAAAATACCGTTCTTCCTGCAGCCCCATCCACAGATGACCAAGCCAGAGCGCACCAAGAAGGTAGAGTCAAATGGTGGCACAATGGCACTCATATTATTATTATGCTTTACCTTTCATTTGTGCAGGATCGCCTGGTGGCCAACGAGTTCATTCAGTGCCGCAAGGTGTGCGAGCATGTGCTCGAGAAGGTCCTCAATGCAGAGACAACCCCAAGCGGGGCCAACGCAAACAATTCATTGCAGAACAGCCAAAGCGACGGCAACTCGGAAGGCTCACAGCTGCCAGCGGAGGAACGCATCGAACTGTCGTGCAACGATGTGGTAAGATGACCGCGATCCCTTTATCGCTTCTGAGTATATTCTATTGCCATTCCATTGTTAACTTAGGTCGTGGACCCCAACATGGACCTGCGTACGGTGCGTCACTTCATCTGGAAGCAATCAACAGATCTTACATTTCAATACAAAACAAAGCAGAACTTCAATTACGACGGTAAGACCACTCAAATGCGATCTGATTAGGTCCATCTGTAAGTCCAGTCCGTTCACTCAACAGGTTCGATCGGAGATAGTCTGGAGCGCGTCACGCGAAAGTATTGAGCGACGGCATGGAATCTCTCTCTCTCCTAGCCGATTCCCGCTAAATTGAAAGATTTAAGCTGTAGTTTGTTCGATTAACCATTTGTATGTATTTTGCAATGTATTTGTAATTACTTTGTCCTGTGGACTAACCATTTAAGAAGGAATCTGTTTAAACATTTATTTTATGTAAATGCACCAGGGTGCTATTTGTTTGCTCTGTTTAGGAATTATTATATACTTCAGATTCAGACTTAAAAGAGATTAAGTTTGCGACACAACACACAAGTAGATAATCCGCAGACATACCATTTACATTATCTGGCATCGCATCTGAAAACATTTAGATCTAGAGAATTGCGCATATATGTATGTAATATTCACATTTGTTTTACACTAGGTTTATATATATATATATATATATATATATATATAAATATATATAAATACATATATACATAGAACATATATTATATATTTAATTATAAGTAAACTGTTAAAAAATACAAAAATCAATGCAATCGTAGAAAACCAACCTATAAAACGCTCTATGCAAGCCAATTTGTACATAAGTAACAAACAAACAAATCAAAGGAAAGATGATACAATTGAAAATCAATTAAAGTTATTATTAAAACTATTTGGAAATCAAGCTTGGCTTTCTTCCCTTATGCCACTTTAAATATTATTTATCATCTCTCGGACGCGACGCCGTCTGATGCGAGCCGTCCTCGAGTAGGACTCCATGGTGGTCAGAATAACGAACAACTGTTGCTTCAGCGTCGAAGGTATCATATAGTTGCTGACCAGCCTTCGAGGTGAATTGCTCGTGCGATTTAGATAGCGCGCAAGCAGCCAAAGACAGGTGTCCTTGAGTTTGCGCATCGGGAAATGGATGTTCACCTGGCTGCGTACATCGCACAGCTCCTCGGGATGTTGAGGGTTCTTTGGAACGCGCATGGGAACGGGCACAAATATGCGCCTGGACTTAACGTGCATCCGCTCGCCTGTGTAGTAGTCGCGGAAGAGCCAAGTGTGCGTGTTGTACGTGTTGACGCGCACCTCCTCGAACGGCTTCAAGCTGAGATACATGTTCTCCGTATCGCGGTCGCACACCCAATAGAGATCAACAGTGCGATTTGTTGTGTTGACAAATAGCACAAAGACCTCTACAAGCTCGGCGGCTGGTGGAGGATGCAGCGCGTGCGGATTGCCACGATTATTATGTGCAATCTGCAGCGCCATCTCCAGCAGGGTGCTAAGCCGATCAGTAATAGCTATGATATCAATTTTTAATGTTTTTTTCTCCAACTACCACAATGAGAGTATAGATAAAAATGTCTGGTCTTATCAATTTGTGGCAAAATTTTTGGCGTAATACGGTCTTGTTAAATTCACCAGTGTGGCAGCACTTGACTTTTTCCCCACAATCGATACTTGGAATCGATTTTAATTCCGATACTTTGTTGCCGAAATACGCCGATACTATCGGTGCCTCTGTCGTCAGCTGTTGCGCTGAAAGTAAATAAACAAGTAAAATGTCATTTGTTGCAGTTATTGGCAAAGATGTGAGTAATATTCGTACAAATGGATGCATGTACTTACATTTTTAATATTTGAAGAATGCCCCGATGTACCTGACTACATCGGATATGGAGCAGGAGCTGGACCTGCAGTACCATGTACACGCCGCTCTGGACGTGGTAGAGGAGAAGTGTTTGATTGGCAAGGGAGTTCCCGAGTCAAAGGAGCTCTACCTGGGACTTTTATATTCCACAGAGAATCATAAAATGTATGGCCACCCATTTGCTCAGCGTGGCGCTAAGGCTAACCGGTATTTTTTTTCTGCTTTCAGCTATGGCTTCGTCACCAATTCCCGGGTGAAATTCATAGTGGTCATTGATTCCAGCAACGTTGCTCTGCGGGAGAACGAGGTGCGAGCGGTAAGTACTAGTCCCACAGCTGGCAGACATGCCAATGCCACTTTCAATGCCTTCCAGATCTTTCGAAACCTGCATATCCTCTACACAGATGCCGTCTGCAATCCCTTTTACATTCCGGGCGAGTCCCTGACTTCCAAGTAAGTCTTCCCATGGGATAATTTTTATACTCGCACTCACATTCCATTTCTTTTTGCAGAAAATTCGATCGTGCCGTACAAAAATTGATGAGCGGCAACGCATAGCTTTAGATAACAGCTAAATGGGCAATAAAGTAAAATTATTTATAATCGAAAAAGAGAGGTTGATTGATTCAGATTGATGTTTTGCGGGGGTGACTACCAGGAGAAGAGCAAAGCTGTCGGCAGCGTGGGACAGCGTGTGCTGTCAAGGTGGCCTTGTCCACGCCGGAGCCAACAGACATCTATATTTACACAAAATGCGAACAATATTGAAACCAGTTTAAAACAAGACGAACAAACTTATTAAAATGCTGTTTTTTTCGATTTTTTTTGACGAAAATAGAGAATTAATTATATCTTTACAATGTTTCTAGTATTCGACACATAGTTAATGTCTCCGTCGCAGACACATCTTCCGCCTGTTTGGGTCTTGATATGAATTTCGGTTGGATCTTTGGATAATCAGAAAACGTGTATTTTTGATTATCATATGCATAATTAGTGGAATTTAAAATCCTCTACGTCAGACGACCTGAACTTGGGCGTCTTATCGCAGCGCGGCAAAAGCAGCATATAAAAAGATGACAGAAGTTCCATTTCGATATCAGTAAGTCTCTTCAAGTCTTCAAGAAAACAACATGAAGTTCATCGTAAGTGGCTTTAAATCCCGAAAGATTCCTAACAGGATAATGGCTAACTTGTTCTCCGATTCCCCACAATAGATTGCTTTCGCCTGCCTGCTGGCTGTGGCCTACGCCAACGAGGATGCCAATGTGCTCCGTAGTGAAGCGGAAGTCAACGTTGACAGCTTCAAGTATGCTCTGGAGCTCGACAACTCCGTGAACGTCCACCAGCAAGGTGAGCAGCAAGGCGAGCAGTGGGTGGTTAAGGGAGACCAGGCCTGGACATCCCCCGAGGGAGTGCCAGTCTCCATCCAGTATCTTGCCGACGAGAACGGATACCAGGTGCTGGCTGCCAACCCCCCTCTGCCAACCCCTCCCCCAATCCCAGAGGCCATCCAGCGTGCCCTGGAATGGATCGCAGCCCACCCCTCTAAGGAATAAGCATTGTTTACCAAAAATAAAAGCAGTTAAAAGTTAACTTCTGTTTCGAATTTATTCCTACCCAAAGGATCAATCATGCATCTCTGCTGATGGCCCATGGCTGATGGGAGAAACTGAAATATGTGAAATATTCAATCGCAACTAATTAGCGGACACTAAAACGAGTTCCCCTAAATTTATGCGTCCCCCAAAAAATGACAAGGTCTACGAGATAGTCAAGGGGAAAAAACGCAGGAGGAGACATACATACATACATATTTGCATATTTATGCTACTTAAATAGTTGACTTTTTGGCCCTGAACTTGAATTTATAGATACTCGGACCTACGGGGCAAGTGGAATGTAAATCACTTTCGATTTCGTTTTTCAGCAATGCAGAGATATACCAAACTTTTGGGCGAACCTCACTAGTAGAAGATCTCAGACTCAGAGCTCGGAACCATCAGTGCTTGCCCATGAAACGCAGTAGCGAAAACAATATTGCGAGTAAACCTCTTTCCCACCCACGAGAAACACGCCCATAGGGTTACTTCCCATATGACGAATGAATAATTTGGATTTGTATTCAAACGTGTAATGCACGAGTATGTATTATTCGCATTCACCCAGATTGGCAATCCGACCCGACCTGAGACTTGATCCGCATGGGAGATGCAATGCTGGGAGAGACATTTCCATTTACATTTACCAGCGATATCGAATCACGTGATCACGATGGGATGGATCAGTGGATCAGTGGAGCAGCCTTATTGTTGTCATAACTTCAGATGCAAATGTTAAGTTTTATCGCGTTTGACAGCGATCCGATGAGAAGTGGGATGGCTGAGAGGAGGGCCTCTAGGAGCGTTTAGTGTACTCGTTGATGCAGATGCCACTGCAATTATGACGACGGGGCAAAGTGAATGCCTCCATCAATTATCCGGCTGCCTGAGACTCTGGGCAAAAGTGGTCTTGGCGACGATCAAGGCTAGACCTCGCCGCCACACAAATGTCAAAATAACATTGAAACTCTGGCGCTCCGGTTACCGATTCGACTAAAAAGAAACCCGTTGATTCTCTGGCTCTCTGAGGCTAATCGTTTGGAAAACGCAACATGAAAACACTGACACACTGTTACTGAAAACAAATTTCCATCGATTGACGAATCGATGTCGGCGCCTGTCCATCAAGAGAAGAGATCATCAGGGAATCTCTTTGAATCTCTCATGCACATCTCCCCAGCTGTTGGCAATTAGTAATCTGAGGCATTTTGAGTTATTGGCATCATATTTTATCTGCTAATTAATTAATAGCTATACCACATACTTATAAACAAATGGTCAATGTGTCAAAGTGACGTCAAGTTTTGGCGCCTGCTTTGGCTGCCGCTGTCATAATTGGTAAACAACTTTTCTTTGGCTTTCCTCAATATTCCAAATACTCGTACCCATGCGTATTCGTATATTTCTGGAAATGTGTGCCATATGAACACAGCAACACATTGTAGCAGAGTTTAGTATAAATCAATTTGCATATTATTCGGTCACTTAACAAGTTTAAATTTAAATTTAAATAGGAAGCAGAACCGCAAGAGACAATAAAATTCGAATGGCTTATAAAAATGTCTGTTGGCACTCTGTTCGCCTGATCTGTGCTCCCCTCCTCCCCCTCCTCCATGAGTTCCATATACTATATGGAATACTCGTATTTCCCTCCATCTAATTTATAGACTTTATTTAATTTCTTGTTAATTTTTCTGGGCTATAAAATCAATTCATGGCACGGCAGGGATTGATTCAATAAGCGTGGACCACCTTATACTGGAGAATGTGATAATATTTGTCTCGATTATGATGGTTTGTATGGATATATATTGAACTGATTGTCACTTGGCTATACACTGGGAGAAATGCAAGGGTTGCGGGTCCAATGTGTGGTATTTGAGTAGTACTCCTTGAGAGAAACATATGAATTTAGTTTATTAATGCGATTACTGGAACACTGAAGATTCAGATGAAACCATTTATAGCCATTGGAATTCCAGTTAGCTCGGAAATTTCCTTTCAGTGTCGGTTAAAAATAACCATCGATGTCCACGTTAAGCCTTAGCAAACCACTACAAAATGGAATTGCTCTGGTGGTGGTGTTGATGTGGGTGAGGGTGTGGGTGATGGTGCTGGTGCTGGCCAACAGGGGCATAGTCAGTGCTCGATGGTTTTACAGTGCTTTTCGTATTCGTTTTTCGTTTCACAAAGCAACAAATTAAACAAAATTTTTAAGTTTTCCATTGGTTTTCCCGTTTCCATGTGTGCGTGTGCGATGGTGGGGTGGCCTTTGCTTTTGTTTGTTTGTTTCCCTGGTTTTATTTTTGAGATGCTGTTGAAAACCATAAATTAGCCTGTTACTTTTGGAATGTCTCTGTACTCTGGTAGTGGATGTGTGGGTGTGCCTCCGTATACATACTCTCCGGACGAAAGCATGGGTATAGTGGATCTGGGCATCCGATTCAGTCGTTAGCGGTGATCTATCTGGTGAACAACGAGTATCAGCAGCAGAAGAGTTCAGCATGGATAACATTGTGAGTGGAGCAAGACGAGGATTATAGCTATCCGGATATTTCTAATTCGGCTTTAATTGCTTTGCAGGATGAAGACCTGACCCCCGAGCAGATTGCCGTTCTGCAGAAGGCATTCAACAGCTTTGACCACCAAAAGACCGGCAGCATCCCCACCGAAATGGTGGCCGACATCCTGCGCCTCATGGGCCAGCCCTTCGACAGGCAGATTCTCGACGAGCTGATCAATGAGGTCGACGAGGACAGTGAGTACTCCCCTTGCCTTCTCCATGGGTATCTACTAAACTAAATCTTTGAACAGAATCCGGCCGCTTGGAGTTCGAGGAGTTCGTGCAGCTGGCCGCCAAATTCATCGTCGAGGAGGATGACGAGGCCATGCAGAAGGAACTGCGTGAGGCCTTCCGTCTATACGACAAGCAGGGCAATGGCTACATTCCCACCTCCTGTCTGAAGGAGATCCTGAAGGAGCTCGACGATCAGCTGACCGACACGGAACTGAACATGATGATTGAGGAAATCGATTCTGATGGCTCCGGCACCGTGGACTTTGATGGTTAGTAGAGCGGCTGACGCTAACACCGACCAATTAGCAGAGCATGCCTCATGAATCCCGAATTCTTTGGCCCCGTGCCAGCGTTGAGGAAGAAGCAAATTATATCAATTTGTAGGCTCTACAGGCCCGCTGTTCTCCGTTCAGGCTGGCCGAGAAGACAATGTCGTTCTGCCTGCCCTTGTGGCTGACTATTTTTAGGCTTCCGGCTCTGTACCCGATCTCCGTATCCGAATGCCACTAATTGCTCCACTTTCCCACCATTTGATCCACAGAATTCATGGAGATGATGACTGGCGAATAAGTCTCCACTCTTGGACACACACACATCTGATGGCATTGATGGCAGAATTCAATTCCCTCCCCGCACGAACTCTGAGGCTTGAATAAACATTTTCTATTTTCTATTTTTTATTTTCTATGTCTACGATTGAGTAATCATAATTACGCTATAAATAATGTGATAGAAGGTAGAGGCAGCGCACAGCTTCATCAACAGGAACTACTACTCGATGGAATAGAAAAACCCAAAACGCGGCAAACATTCTCGACTGCTGGCAACTGCAACTGCAACCGCATCCGAGTTGAATGAATCATCGTAATTGCCGCCCCCCAAGCATTGGTTAATATTTTCGATAATATCTACTTTTGCAATAGCCCGGGCAGGCGACTACGATGGGGGTGTGCCACACTCATTTGTGTGTTAATTTGGCAAGGCCAATGCAAAGCAGTGCTGTTCCGTGCCGTGCAGCGCGCCGTATGCTGAATGTTGCGCATACGCAGGGTGGCCCGCGTCTGTCCCATTTTTTTTGTCTCATTCCTCGCTGCTCGTGTGGCCACATGCGTGCACATTCCTTTTGCCACTTGGCTGCCGTTCTGGTGCGCGCAGCTGTGCCGCCTCGATCACCCAAGGCGACCATCCCATGCCACCAAGAATGAGACCGCTGCGATGACAACCTGCCGAGGCCCGTGTCCGTCCGTGTGTGTCTCTTTCGGTGGAGCTGCCTTTCTAAACACCGCGCGACGACAACAGTGCAAACGGGCAAATGTCAATGAGCATTCTCCTACTGATGCTACTGCTGTTGCTGTTGCTGCTGCTGCCAGAAATCGTCAAGCATTTTGGCCTAAACTTGGCCCCATACAACGGGGCAACGAATTTTCACATTCAAACAAAAAAATCCGAAAAAAAACAAAAAAGAAAAAGAGAAGCAACTGCCCTTTCTGCTGGATGTGGCCCGGGCAGATGGATGTTGCCACCAAATGGAGCAACTTGTTTTGCGAAACTTGTGTTGTTTTTTTGTGGTCTCCCGCCAGGCCCCAGGGTGTCGATGGTGATATTAGCGGTATTTATTACCATTTCGATTCCAGTTTTCCTAGGGTGCAAAAGGTCAAAGACTGGACTCAACCTGGCCCAGGTTATTTGACATCCGTGTCGGATCAGACATGATTAGAAGACACCGCTACATGCGGTTCTTGACGCCAATTCCGATTGCATTCGAAGCGCATTAAAATTGTTTCCCAAACGTGCCATTCAATGGAGATGAGATGAGATGAGTCGTTTGGCATGATGATGATGCTGATGATGATGCACTCAACCGTTGAGGGTTTCGATTGGATTTCGATTTACGAGCACCAGAGCGCCATCATCGCCAGAAACTTGCTAATTTTACCGACCCAGGGAGAGTTGATGTGGCTGAGAGCGTACTTGCGAGTATGTTTAACAAGACAAGGTACATTGGGTAAACGAGATGCCGTCGCTGAGACAATAGTCTCCGCAGCACCAGCACCAGCCCCCTGCCCATCCCATCATCGACCATAGGTCTCCCTTCGGCATGCAATTGTTTCTGCCAGCCAACCAACACAGCTGCACACGATTGCAATAAATGCCATAAAGTATCAAAATCTCAGCCAGCACTCGGTCTGCTCTCTGTCTCCATCGGCACATCGTCTCCATCTCCGGCTTCAGCTGCAGCTTCAGCCTCGGCTTCGGCAGCGTTTTCGTTCATTCCATTCCATTTGATTGCATTTGGCGCCAAACAAAGTATAAAAGCTGGAGAACCTGGGCTGCGATCGGCACACTAGTACCGTGACAATAGAGGAGCCACGACACGCGGAGGCGGCTGCTGCAAAACCCAAAAGGACCATAGGATTCGCATGGATTTGTGACTTATTTCAGAGAGAGTGCATAGAGTTTGTTTGTGCGTGTGCGTGTGTGTGTGTCTGTGATTAGTGATTGGTGTTTGGGAAAAGGACATCCAAGGATACATCTCCTAGCTCCTGTTGAGACTTGGAATATACTCGCTCAATCAAAAGAAATCAGAGATGGCTCTGAAATGGGTAAGTCCCTGCCCATCTCCACATAACGTATCCCAAGTGCATTCATCCAGTCCGACCCCCTCCATTGTATTGGCGCAAAAAAACGCATAAATTAAAAGGCCATTTAAAATCAGAGATAGCTGATGATGAGGAAACCCCCGCCCGGCACGCAAAGTTGCCCAAGAAGAATCCATCTGCATCGTGGCTCTGTTTCTGTGGTCGTGTCAGCCCCCGCCTCGAGCGGCAGATCATCAGCGATTGGCCGGACCCGAAATTGATGCAGTGGCGACCCAATTGGCAGCCCATTTGGAATTACCACAATTATACTTCGAGTACTTTGGGTTTGGGTGGCTTCCAATTCTGGTTGCGCAACTCTTTGGGACAACTGCTCTGGTCACGAACTGCCTGAGAATGCTGTTGCCACGGGGGCAGGCGTTGAGTGCAGCATGCAACATGGATGATTCAGTGCGGCAAATGTCAGAATTTCCATTATTCGGAGGGGGGGACAGGTGCGAGGGGGACAGTGAGCTCATCAACGATGCAGCAGTCGATAAAGCTGTTACGTTTATGGCCAGTACGTGGAGAAGTAACTCGTAAACGGTTTAAACTTCAACTTGACACCCGGCCAGGCTACGTTTACTTAACCTTCCCATCAGTAGCATCAGTCCCAGCAGCTCCCATCGGAGACCCGCATCCCCCAGAGTCTCCTTAGCTGCCTCTGTGATTGTTCACACGCCGAGGCATGCAACTCTATGTAGCTGCTGCAAGTCGCAAGTAGCAGACATCTTCTGTCGTACAAGAAGTCCATAAATATCAGAGTTCGTCGCAGCGCTCGATGACGACGATGATGGCGCACAGCCTTAATGGGTTATCCGCTGGCAACAATGGAAAACGTGAGTGGAGAGCGGTCCCTCAATGAGTGAATATTTCATTAATAAAATGGCAGTTACCACTCGGTCTTACGCCTGTCTACTCTTGACCCCAATGCAATGGGGGGACTCCATCAGGAATTCAGCCTCTCCCTGGGATCGTGAGTGCTTTGTGCATCGCGATGGCAATTGGGATTCTGATGAACTTTACATATGCCAGACATCAATTTGTAATCCAATCCGGTCCTCTGTCTCATGCTTTTCCTTTCTCTGGACTAGGCTCTTCTGATCACGATGCTGACGCTGGCGCGGAGTGCAAAGTTGGACAACAAATACCTGCCGCCGCCGGCGAGTGCGGCTAGTGCGGGCGGCAGTCCGGGAGCAGGTCTCCAGGGACCAGGAGGTGGCTTCGGCGGTGGCGGAAGGCCAGGAGGTGGCAATAACGGATTGGGTGGAATCAACAATGGCCTGGGCGGATTTTCAGGCGCTGGCGGTGCAAGTCGACCCATTGGACCGGCCCCTGCTCAACGTCCCAGTGCTCCAGCGGCTTCTCCTCCAGCTGGTCCGCCCATCCCAATATTGTCGTTCGTGAACGAAAACGATGGCGACGGCAACTACCGTTTCAGTTACGAGACGGGCAACGGCATCAAGGCCCAGGAGGAGGGCACCGTGAAGAACAAGGGCTCCGACAGTGAGATCCCTTCCGTTATGGGCTCCTACTCGTACACCAATCCCGAGGGCGAGCTGGTCGAGATCTCGTACACGGCCGATGAGAACGGATTCGTTCCCTCCGGAGCAGCATTACCAACACCGCCGCCCGTTCCGGAGGCCATTGCCAAAGCATTAGCCGCCCAGGGTATTTCTGTACTTCCGGGTGGTGGCTTCAGTGGAGGAGCCGGTGGCCAGGGTAAGTACCAGCTGATCATTGACGGCGTGTCCTTGCTTACAATAATCCTGTTCTTAGGAGGCGCCGGTGGCCCAGGAGGATATGGAGGCGCCGGTGGACAGGGTAAGTAGAAGATAAATATGGGGGTTTCTTTTCAAGTTATATACCCGATTTGTAAAAAAACAAATATATATATAAAATATATATAGGTTGAAAGGCGGTAAACGAAGTGCAAAGATTAACATTAGAAAGTAACTAGCGATCGCGGCATTTTGTGTTTGTTCTGTCTATTATGAGAATTATGGGACTTATTGAGAGGACCAGCGGTCCGCGCTGGTTGTCCTACTTAAAATCCAGCCTCCCCGCTGTAAGCGACGAAGCCACTCGTGATATCAATTCGACCCCGTCGCGAACAGTGATAGAGTTTGTATATACTGACTGATTATCGGGTATATAAGTTGAGCTGCGGGCCTTGCCACGGCTAACAACGTTCCCGCACGTTACATGCAATTTTCATGATCTTAGGAGGTGGCGGCGGATCAGGATATGGCGGTGGAGCAGGTCGAGGGGGTGCTCCAGGAGCCGGCGGCCAAGGAGGATTTGGAGGTGGGCCTGGTGCTCCAGGAGGCGGCGGTGGGCAAGGTAAGTAGAGGATTTATAAAATCATATCTATGCGATTTTAACATAAAACTTTCTCGATCTTAGGAGGCGGTGGTGGAGCAGGTTACGGCGGAGGAGCAGGTCGAGGTGGTGCTCCAGGTGCCGGAGGCCAAGGAGGATTTGGAGGTGGAGCAGGAGCTCCAGGAGGCGGCGGTGGGCAAGGTAAGTTGAGGATTTATAAAATCATATCTTTGCGATTATTCGATAAAACTTTCTTGATCTTAGGAGGCGGCGGAGGAGCAGGATATGGTGGTGGAGCAGGTCGAGGTGGTGCTCCAGGAGCCGGCGGCCAAGGAGGATTTGGAGGTGGGCCTGGTGCTCCAGGAGGCGGCGGTGGGCAAGGTAAGTAGAGGATTTATAAAATCATAACTATGCGATATTTACATACAACTTTCTCGATCTTAGGAGGCGGCGGTGGAGCAGGATATGGCGGAGGAGCAGGTCGAGGTGGTGCTCCAGGAGCCGGCGGCCAAGGAGGATTTGGAGGTGGGCCTGGTGCTCCAGGAGGCGGCGGTGGGCAAGGTAAGTTGAGGATTTATAAAATCATATCTTTGCGATTATTCGATAAAACTTTCTTGATCTTAGGAGGCGGCGGAGGAGCAGGATATGGTGGTGGAGCAGGTCGAGGTGGTGCTCCAGGAGCCGGCGGCCAAGGAGGATTTGGAGGTGGGCCTGGTGCTCCAGGAGGCGGCGGTGGGCAAGGTAAGTAGAGGATTTATAAAATCATATCTATGCGATATTTACATACAACTTTCTCGATCTTAGGAGGCGGCGGTGGAGCAGGATATGGCGGAGGAGCAGGTCGAGGTGGTGCTCCAGGAGCCGGCGGCCAAGGAGGATTTGGAGGTGGGCCTGGTGCTCCAGGAGGCGGCGGTGGGCAAGGTAAGTTGAGGATTTATAAAATCATATCTTTGCGATTATTCGATAAAACTTTCTTGATCTTAGGAGGTGGCGGAGGAGCAGGATATGGTGGTGGAGCAGGTCGAGGTGGTGCTCCAGGAGCCGGCGGCCAAGGAGGATTTGGAGGTGGGCCTGGTGCTCCAGGAGGCGGCGGTGGGCAAGGTAAGTAGAGGATTTATAAAATCATATCTATGCGATTTTTACATAAAACTTTCTCGATCTTAGGAGGCGGCGGTGGAGCAGGTTACGGCGGAGGAGCAGGTCGAGGGGGTGCTCCAGGTGCCGGCGGCCAAGGAGGATTTGGAGGTGGAGCAGGAGCTCCAGGAGGCGGCGGTGGGCAAGGTAAGTTGAGGATTTATAAAATCATATCTTTGCGATTATTCGATAAAACTTTCTTGATCTTAGGAGGCGGTGGAGGAGCAGGATATGGTGGTGGAGCAGGTCGAGGTGGTGCTCCAGGAGCCGGCGGCCAAGGAGGATTTGGAGGCGGGCCTGGTGCTCCAGGAGGCGGCGGTGGGCAAGGTAAGTTGAGGATTTATAAAATCATATCTTTGCGATTATTCGATAAAACTTTCTTGATCTTAGGAGGCGGCGGAGGAGCAGGATATGGTGGTGGAGCAGGTCGAGGGGGTGCTCCAGGTGCCGGCGGCCAAGGAGGATTTGGAGGTGGAGCAGGAGCTCCAGGAGGCGGCGGTGGGCAAGGTAAGTTGAGGATTTATAAAGGCATATCTTCGCAATTTTCACAAACCCCTTCTTTGATCTTAGGAGGCGGCGGGGGAGCCGGACGCGGTGGTGCTCCAGGAGCGGGCTCTCAGTACATCCCCCCACCGCCTGGACTCCCAGGAGGTGGACGGGGCAGCGGCGACTTCAATCCCCAGACTGGCTACAGCTATTGATCCCGGCGGGATCCCCTTCCAGCCAAAACCCCATCACTCCGATCGAAGAAACCTCAGTGCAACGCTAATGCAATTACAATCTGCCTTAAATACTCGTGCTACCGAGTGTGGCGCTTAAATTATTTCTTATTTTTGTAAGCTTTCCCGATCCGATCCCCTCTGACAAGGCAATAAATGAATTTTAGTGAACCCTTGAGTCCATGATTTGATGGATGTGCCATAGAGGGCACTTCGTGGGGAGTAACAACAGCAGTTTGACTTTTCTGGTGCATGTATTTCATGCCTTTGAACGCGACTACGTACATAGATGGACTAAGTGTAAGAATCGATGCAGCACAATTTGGTCAACGTGGGCAAATTAATCACTTCCTCGGTGACTTCTTGAAGCGTCTGCCATACTGATTGTAACCATACGGATCCACCAATTGGTTAGGTCTGCCTCTCAATTGTTGGGTTATCAGCCCCTGCTGTTGCTGCTGCTCGTTTTGCTGATCCTTCTGCTGTTGCTGTTGCTGCTGCTGCTGCTGTTGCTGTTGTTGCTGCTGCTGCTGGTTGGCATTCTGCTGGGCCTGCTGGGTTGTGAGATTGCTACCGAATTGCTGACCAAATTGTTGACCAAATTGCTGACCGAATTGCCCGGCATATTGGCCTTGCTGGCGTCCGGAGTTTAGCTGATTGAACGGCTGCTCCGGCTGATACTGTCCAGAGTTCGGCTGCTGCTGTTGCAAATTTCGTTGCTGTTGCTGTTGCTGCTGCTGTTGCAACGGGTTTAATGGCTGTTGTCCTGGTCCCTGTGGTCGAAAGGGTGCCGTAGCCAGCGGTGGTGGCAGCTGGCGGAATGGCGTCTGGTATGGATTAAGATTGGGATTGAGGACGCCCTGCTGGTACGGCTGTTGTCCAGCTCCCACAACGTACGGGGGCGGAGTGGCAGGAATGCCCGTGCCCTCGGCTCGGAATCCGTTCTCATCGGCAATGTAGCGTACCGTAATGGGCGTGCCCTCGGGCGAGGTGTACGAATAAGACCCCTGAATGACCTGCGAACAAGAACCGAGATGTGAGGTTCTCCTAGACTTTTCGAGCGCAAAAGAGGGGGTCATGGAGATCAATATCAACACTCACCTGAGCCTCGACGCCTTCGCCATATCCCAGATTCTTGACATAGCCCTGGGCCTGAGCCGTGGTTCCATCGGCTGAGGAGTATCCATAGGAGAAGCTGCCGTCCAGATTGAGCTCGTTCTGGTAGGCTGTGATGGGGACATAGTTCTGCTGCTGGTACTGGTTGTATCGATAGGGATTCTGGAGAGCGGCTCCCGTCAGAGGCGAGGCCAAGGGGTTGACCAGCGGATTCAGCGGATTCAGCGGACTGCGTTGCGCTGGAAAAAGTCCCTGGTTCTGGCCCAAAGTGGGTTGGCGCAATCCAAATGGTGACTGCTGCTGCAACTGGACTCCTTGCTGGCGCTGCGCGAAGGACCCTCCTGGGAGCTGCGCCCGGCAGGTGGTGAGACACAGGCCGGCCAGGAGGCAGGCCACCCAACGGAGCTGCCTCATGTGGGTGGGAGCGGGCATTTAACCTGTCGTCAGCTGGTGGATGCAGTGGCTCGTAAATCCCGCGAACGTCCCACAAATTACACGCTCGATTAACCTGACGTCTCACTTTCGTTGTGCCCTGAGTTGTGGTGGGAAAACGGAGTCCCCTATGAAGATGGAGATTCCGATCTGTGCCGAACCGAGTCGAGTTGAGATCTGAGATGCGACGCTGCCACTGGAAGTCACTAAATGAAAGCCGTGCCCCGACTGCAACTGCGCCACCGACTGCGGCCCGTATTTATACGAATCTCGATTGTCGATTCTCGACTCAGCGGTGGCTGGTGGGCCCTAAAGCGCGGCCTAATCATAAGAACAATCGACGCAGCGACGCCGCTTCCTGCCACCGTGCTCTTGGTATCTCTGCCCCAGCTCTGCTCCAACCAGGGGGGGATCTATCTCGATGGTTATCTTGCGCTTGGCCCAGTGGCGTGTAATTTATCTGCGGCTTGCGAGTCGTGTTAACAAGCTGATCGCAGATGCCGCAGATGCCGCAGATGCCGCAGATGGCAGCTTTATTGGTTTTTTATCGGCCATTGACAGAAGGACAAACGAATTTCGCTGCCTGATTGATATCTTCATGTTGGCCAGGCCGACCGTTGGCCTCTTCCGGCGTTTTCTCGATGCGCGCACTTATTTATGATGCATCCATCCATCCATCGGTTGCATCTTCAGCGTGGCTTCTGGTTCTGCTGCTGCTGCCGCCGCATCTACTGGCGACCCTCATATGCAAATGACGCGTTTTTGCTCTAGCTCGTGTCTCCGCTGCTGCTGCTGCAGCTGCTCTGGGGCACTCCTAAGGTGTTTATGTGAGTTATGTGCTGACAGACAGTACGGCACCTCCCTCCGTCGGTCCGCTCTTCTGGGCAGGGGTCAAGGTGGTTGTCGGACCTCAACCTGATCTCCAAGTGCCATGAATATCATTTATCAGTCGGTATCTATCCCCAGGAACCTCTAACCATCCCTGCCTGAGAGAGTTTACCCAGAGGTGGTCCATTGTTTCATATTTCATGCCACAATCATTCATCATGATGCGATTGCTCATGCCGCGGCGCGTCATGATCGCCATCAGTCATTTGTAAATGCCTAGCCCCCGCTCTCTCGGTCTCTGGCTCGGTCTCGGTCTCGTTTGTCATCTGTTCGAGCTGCCATTAAAATTCGAACATACATATCTTGTTCCATGTTCCATGTTCTGCTTTAATTGCATATGCAAATGTGGATGAGATGAGGTTTTCCACTCCGAGCCAAGGTCGAAAAAGGCGATCCCAAAAGTGATCTCAAAACAAAAGTCATTCTGGAAGTGTCTAAAATTAAAAGGCACTAAATCTAATTAACTTCCTGTGTGGAAAAATTTCGAGCGCCAGATATTTTATCAATTTGAAACAACCTAAAAGAGTACATGTAAAATTTTGCTGCCTGGCTGTAGGCTAGTTAACAACTAGTTAGCTCATAGCTTAGTATAGCTGCCTAAAAGTATTCTACATAAAAGTATAGATGGAAGAAATACCATCCACATTAGGCATACGCAACTTCTATATGCACTGCCTTCAGTGCTGCCAACTATTCAATAGCAAACGAGGGGGATCGTTGTGAGTCGCAGCTGCGGCCGTGACTCTACATTTATGTACACCCGACACTCAGTCACTATGGCTCCCCTCCGCCGGAAGGAGCACACTGCACGATGAGAGTGTGTGTGTGAGTGAGAGAGAAAGGAAGAATGAGTAAGCGCGTGTACGCCGTTGTGTAGCCACTTCATTTGTTCCCTCTGGCTATAATAATAGTCTGATCTCATCTATATTCGGCAAGCTGGTAGACATGGCTATTTTCTATAAATCTGCGTTTTTAGTTATCTCATATACTTCTGGTATTGTAGCCTCCCCTCTGGTGGAAGGGAGTCCAACTGACTAAGTATCGGGTGTAAGTGTAAAGTCGAGGGCCTAGCAAAGACGAGATTAAATGGGATGCATCCAAACTTTTCCCATCACGATGGTCTGGATATTGAAAGGAATCGAGGTGTGGAGTGACTTGCTAGATGTTCCAAATGGGGTGATCAATATTAATTATAAACATGCTGCCCCACATTTCACAACATTGGCGAGATGGATCTGCCATTTGAATAATTCACGAAACTGGAAGAGCCCCAGAGCCCCAGAGAGACACATAAAAGTTGCTCCCCCCGCCTGAAATTTATGCAAAATGTGGCTCGATGAGCAAACTACATTCAAGACGGGACGGACACGACACTCCTCCCACGACTCTTCATTCGAGTGTAACTCCAATTTGGACAGCGACTGCGAGGATTATTAATGGTCCACAGGCACCGAAAATTGTGGTGTTTTAGCGGTATGATGGGGTTGAAGAGAAGAGAACGCGCTTGACATTTGTGTAATTGCATTAGGCCAGGTTAGTCAGAAATTATGGCTGCCAGCGCAGCTAATTGATTCTCTTTGACGCTGAAGCTGAGGCTGAGGCTGGGGCCCGGGGCTGTGCGTAATGCGACTGCAGATCTCGTTGGCTGGTTGGCTTCTGGTTCCGGCTCGAGTAGCTGCGACTGCGACTCTCTAAAGGTTAATGTGTCGCCGCTCTAAATTACGACCTCGTTGGCATCGTTGCATCTTTGCATTAATGGGTTTCTATTTGTGCAACAGTGTAATGCCAGAAAGTTATTGGATTTCCATGCTGAATGGGCGAGACTGCAGCTGAGAATCAATTTATTAACACGTTGGGCCCGAGAGCCAAGAGCCGCAAACTGAATATCCAACTGAAACTGAAACTGAATCTGAATCTGGAACTGGGCGGGCCAAGGCAAATGCCAAAAATCCAACTTCTGGCGTTGCGAAATTGCTGGAAATTATTATTGAATTCTTTTTGTCTTGCCGTTTTGGCATAAATGTTAGTCGCTTCTCAGTGGCGGTGCCACAGTGCCACAGTGCCACACTGCCACAGTGCCAGGTGCCCACCCACTGTAACAGCTGTAATGGAGAGCCAACAGCTCCATCTCTGAGTCCGACTTTTGGTTCGGAATTTGCATGGAAGTCAGTTGGTGGAAGAACGGAACGATTTGCAGTCACTCAGCCGTTACCATTTCTGCACCTTTCGCTTGCGGGGGCATGCCACAGCGCAGTCGCAGCCAAATTTGACAAATTTTATTAGCTGCCTGCAAGTGCTGCTGCTGCTGCTGCACCTCTCGACTCCGATCCAAGCAGCCCCCACACGATCGTATCTGCATTGTAAACATGACAGTTTACTGGTGGGGGGGCCACACTTCTCTTCTGATCGGATCTGAATCATTTGAATTGCAAATCTGCAGCCAGTCTACGGTTCAACAAACTCTCTTTCTCCTGCTGCTACTTTCTACTGACCTCAAAAAGCCATCATTATCAGCAGCGATTGCATAACCAAAGAAATGGTCGGCTGCTGATGGCTGGCTGGCTGGCTGCTATAAAATGCGCAGAATCTTTTGTCCGCGCCCAGTATTAGCATAAATCATGTTCGCATTGGTAAGCAGAACCAGCAGCTCATGAATAGACATTTTCCTCTACCAAATAAGCAAATAAACATCTCTTCTAGTGGCTGATTTTCGCCTGCTGCTGCTGCTGCTGGCCAGCGGAGAGTGTCTCGATTGGAATCGTTAAATCTATAGCTGAACAGCAGAGCGATGGGTCCTACTTCTTTGCGTATGAGGCGGCCAACGGCAACTACCGGGAGGAGGTGGGCATCGTCAAGGAGGATGATCTGGAGGTCTCTGGTGTGTATCGTTACCTCGACGACAGCGGCCAGAAAGTGGAGGTCAGCTATATGGCCGACAAGAACGGCTTTGTGCCGCGGGGCTTCCATATAGAAGCTCGAAAAACGAAGAGAGAAGCTACATATAAATAAACCTTTATAGAGCCATGTGTTGGAGCATAACCATTAGCTTTGACGGGGCACACATTCCTCCAAATGCTAGCCACACAATTACAGAAGCAGCGCAAGATCGACAAGGAGTGCCTGTCATCCATTCGGGTCCGCTCCAGCAGCTGTGGAGCTGGAAATGTTGCCCATCGAGATCGAGGGGATATTTAATTTGCACAGCGCCGATCGGGAGATTTTCGAAATTAGTTAAGCTGTCAGATTTATAAATTGTGGCAATTGCCGGGGCCAGCAGCAGAGTCTCCTACTGCAGGCCATGGTTGCCCTTTCGTCGAACCAAATGTCGGTGTCGTCGTTGGGCAAATGAATCTGTATTTATCACCCTATCAAATTAATGACGAAACCAACACGATCGTTTATAATGGGCCCCGGAACTCCTGATGATTCTACAATTCTGCTTATTGAATTAATAGCGCAATGCAAATGGAAGTGCTTTATGCGCCGCATCAAAATTCTAATTCAAACCATTTGTTAGCTGGAAGATGATCGTCGCAGGGAGAGTTATGATGATCATGATCTGTGGTTGCTCGATAAGATTGCCCTCGGCTAGGGGACTACACCCTAGACACATGCCTTGCACACACTGTGGGAAAAACCATATCTAGAAACGAATTGCACAAGCAGGCCTTAGGAATTTGGCAATCTTTAAATATAGATCTTGAAATACGATTAAAATTAATTAAAAATATATTTTTAATTCAAGACCAGGCCAGACCTTTCATCTGGAATCTGCGATTTCGCAAGTACGAGTATATTCCCGTTCATTTCGTCTCAGTGCACAGATCATAATATAAATTGCAACAATGCTGACATTTTACATGGCAAATGAAAACATTTCTAGGCTTGGTACTGTGTGCTCCCGCCGCGGATCGAGGCGAGGTGCGATTGATTAATCGCGACACCTCGCGAGTGGGTGAAGCCGTGTAAGTTATGCAGTCAGCTGCAGAGGCCGCTAATGGAGCCCCTGATCGGTGTCATCAATCGCCGGCGTCATCACCCAGATCTGACTCAGACTCAGAGAGCAGAGCAGAGCAGAGCAGATCTGATTGACACATTTCTGGTGAATACTGACCCAGTGCCGACCCTGACATTTGAAGCCACAGACAATTGGAAGTTTTCGGACGTAGCGGCGTCCACATAAAACGGGATGCGATGCAAACATGTTTGGCATGTTTAAGTGAAAAGAGCCCCGGCTGGATGATAACCGAAATATGTGTTGTAGTATTCGATTGTGTATCTATGTCGGGATTTGGGTAGTCGGGAGTATATAAGCGAACTGGCTGATCCATTTCGTGCTCACACGCGCTCAAACTCTCGCTTTCTGCTCCACTCTTGTGTCTGCTCCGTCATAATGTACAAATTCGTAAGTGGATTACCCGAATCGAGGATGGGATGAAGAGGTGATCATTTCTTTCATCCCCCCATAGCTCCCTCTGCTCGTCCTAGCTGTGGTGGTGGCCTGCGGCCATGCCCTGCCCGTGGAGCGCGAAGTGATTGAGATCCTCAGCGCGGAGACCAACAAGTTCGCCGATGGGTCCTACAATTCCCAGTACTCGACGGCGGACGGAACCAGCCGCCAGGAGGAGGCCAGCGTCGTGGACAAGGACACCGAAGATGAGGCGCTGGAGGTGAAGGGCTCCTACAAGTACATCAATGAAGATGGCCAGGAGGTGGAGGTCCACTACACAGCGGGCAAGAATGGTTTCGTGCCCTACGGCTCCATCATCAATCCGGAGATCACAGCTGTGGCCGAGGCGGCCAAGGATCTGCCCAAAGAGCCCGAACTGAAACCAAAGGCATTGCAGGAGGCGTAGTTTTGAATCGTATGTATCTACGAGTATAAATAAAACTCCAAATAAATTACCAAAAAGAAGAAATTATGAAATTGATCGAAGAAATACACTCACGAGACTCTGTTTGTGTCTTCATAATCTCCTCCTGCTTTGCATATCATCGTGGTGTTTGCTTAGGCTTCAGTTTTGGCTGATGAGAAATTCCCCGCATCGCCCCGCCCCGCCTCGAGGGACCTTGAAAACAGACCCAGTCGCAACCACACTGATTCCGTATGATTAAGCACACGTTTGTCCACTTTTGGGGGGTACAGTGCGGCTTGCTCTGGACAGCCCCGGGGCACAGATGAAGCAGCTGTTTTGGGTACCGTACCTCATTACATAGCATACTCGTAGAGTCCATTAGACAAAAGACAAGAGGAAATTAAGCCCCAAAAGAATCGTATCTGCCATTTAATGAGGCATAAATCATCTGGGGGAGAATTTGCATATTTGATGGATCTATGGGAAGTCTCTCGCCGCCTCTCTCTAATCATCCACGCCATACGCATGGATCACATCGGTCTCGAGCAGCAGCAGATATGCCAGGAAGAACAGATAGTAGGCCACGAGGAGCATGCCGCAGGCGCGTCGCATCTGGAAGTTGGTGGTCAGAGCGGACATCAGAGTGAAGACCAGGCCCACCTCCACGAAGATGCAGGCAGTCTCCCCATAGCTGCCCTCTTCCGCCTGCCATAAAAGTTACTGTAAATAATCATTTTGCATTGAGATGGGCTCAAGATCGTACTGTAAATGTATTTCCCACGGAGCGTACGGTCGTCTCCAGGGCCAGGGGCAGAGCCAGATTGACAAAGGTTCCTACGAGTAAAGATTTTGGGAACTTTTCAATAAAAATAAACAGATATAGACCCACCAAACACTGGCGAGGAGAAGGTGGCCGCATATGCCATGCGAGGAAATCCCTGACGTGCTAGCGTTATGCTGGCCACAAGATCGCCAGCGTTGATTGCCCAGCAGATCGCGGTGGCCATGACAAAGGACTGGCTCAAGTGCCAGATGGTGCCGATGGTGAAGAACATCGCCATCACCTCCGAGGTGAGGAAAAATATCAGAAAGATGACGGCAATTAAGCCCAGGATGGCCGTGAACTATGGTTCAAGAAGATTACGGATTACACGAGGATCTCATTCAGATATCTTACCCTGAAGAATTTTGGAGTGGTGTCAGTGCGAGTGCGCCAGAAGATGATGCAGCCCAAGGGTAGCATTATGTAGAAGGTCATTATGTAGGCGGCCGTGCCCAAAAGGGAGACATCTTTCACTGCAAGAGGAGGGATGGGATCGTTTGAGCCGGATCGATCGGATGGCAGGAGAAGCCTCACTCACGCAATATAAAGAAGATGTAGGTGGGGGCGATGATGAACTGCAGGCAGCAGAGCAGCTTGGACCAGCCGTGATTGGGCCTCTCCACGTCCACTACTGGGACCAGCAGACGGAGCAGCATTTCCATGGGCTCCTTGACGAGCAGGTAGAATCGGACTCCAAAGGACCCGCGCCGGAATTTGTCCTTGTCGAACCTGAAGAGCGATTCCCAGAACTGCTGGAAGAGATGCCTGTTTGCACTTCCACGGGAAGCACTGCGATCGATCCTCTCGCGGTGGACACCCAGCTCCGTTTGCCTCTTGAGCTCCTCCAGTTGCTCCGCCTGCTGTTCGCTGTCCTCAATTTTCTGCAGATCTGGAGGATATACAAAATATGTAATGAGAATCAGAAATCTTATGGGAGCTCAAGGATGCCTACGATGAACGCGAGCCGTCAGCAGTCTCTGATCTATGACGGCCACAAAAACATGGACCAAGTAGATGAGGGCCCCGGGAATGGCTCCCAGTTTTGTGATGCCCGACTCCCGCTTGTGGATGAAGTCCATGAAGGCTGTGTTTAGGAAGAGAAAGCCAAAGTCCCTCAGAAAGTAGCACGGCTCCACGTAAAAGGGGCGCGTGAGTATCACCATGCCAGCCACGAATGTGTGCTGGAACAGGGACTGCGTCATGGACACGAGGAAGCCCCACTTCGAGAAGACCAGCATCCCGGCCACAGCCGTAAACAGATCTGACGACCCATTGGCTATTGTCAGCAGCGTCACCCCAGCCACGTTCTCGTTCATTCTAAAGGTGTCCGCCAGTACCTTGAGGGTGGGACAGAAGCTGGCGGAGAATCATTAGCTGCTGCTCAAAATCGCTTCTTTGAAGGGCGCTTACTATGCCCCCACGGATATCTGCATCATCCAGAAGATGTAGCTGGCAAAGACGGTCATGGCCAGCATACTCCAAAAGGCGTTGAACTTGTTCCGCGAGTCCACGTGACAGTAGTGCCACGTGAGGTAGTTGATCAGGTACATATTATCCCTGCAGTCCGCAGTGTCCCTTACGAATCTGCAGCGCTGCGGCTCTGGCAGATGGTTGACCTTGTTGCATGCTTCGTGATGGTGCAAACTGCGTGTCCAAACACCAATGACCATCTTTGATTTGATGATAGATATTTGGGGAGAAAATGTACAGGCAATCGGCAGCGCCTACTATCTGATATCATACTGAATAAAATATCATCTAACAGGGTGTTCTCCCTCAAAGATCGACCTACATGATACAGTAATGGAATCTTGCACCCTCTCTACTCATAGGAAGCACAAATCCATTGCCACATGCTCTAACTTTCCCACATATCAGATTCCATTGTTCGTGTTGCGTATTCCCTGTTATCCGAAAGATCGCTTGCCTCTTTTTGATTACTGCTTAAATTAGCACTAAGCATAGCCACATTTAAGCATAGCATTTATATGCGGAATATAAAATCTTCTTTCGAGTACATTCCAATCCTCAATTGGCATGCAGCTGTTGCTTCTTCTTAATAGTTTCGAGTTCGGTTTCGTTGAGATTGGGAATCATTTTATTGCTAGACAGTTAAATTAAAGCGCTCACATTTCACGATTAAATGTAACAATACTTAAAGTCAGTATAATCTAGGAGGACTAATCCTAATGACCTCTATGAGGTCTTAGGCAGTCTTGGTCTCAGCCTTCTTGGGCTCCGCCTCTGGCTTGGACTTGGGCTGGGCGTCGAGAACGACCTGCACGGGCACAACTTGGGAATCAGCGGGCAATTGATCCTTCTTTTCAGCTACAGCCTCTTTCTCCACCACAGACTTCTTCTCCGACACAGCCTCCTTCTCTACCACTACGGGCACAATCTTAGATTCAGCTGGCACTTGATCCTTCTCCACCACAGCCTTCTTCTCAACAGCAGACTCCTTCTCCAGAACAGACTCCTTCTCAACAACAGCCTCCTGGGAGCGGGCCTTGCGATGCTTCAGCCTGAGCTCCTCCTCTTCGGAGATGTTTGGAAGATCGGCGGCAGCCTGGGCCACGGCTGTGATCTCCTTGGGAATGATGGTGCCAATGGGCACGAAGCCGTTCCTGCCCGCCGTGTAGTGAACCTCCACAGTGTTGCCCTCGGCATCAATGTAGCGATACGAGCCAGAGACCTCCAAGGCCTCATCCTCGGTGCCGGCATTCTGGAGTTGTCCCTGCTCCTGGCGGTACGACTGGTCGCCGCCCTCGTATTCGAAGTGGAAGGAGCCGTCCGGGTTCTTCTCCGTCTCGAACCTCAGCAGTGGCACTATTTCGCGCTTCTCGGTGGTGCTGCTCACCACCTGGCCACCAATGCTGGCGCCCCACGCTCCGGCGGCCAAGGCCAACAAACAGATGGTGATCTTCAGCATTTTTGGAGTGAGAGTTCTGGGTGTTTGTGGTGCGTGTGTTCCTGGCGGGGACTGGCTTTCGACTTGGCCTACTACATCGCCAGGTGAGGCTTTTATATCGGAGTTAAATGTGCGCAGCAGCCCCGAATTAGCATCTTCCACTCCATTACGCCATCCAGTCACCATCGCCAAAATCCAAAAAAAAAACAAAACGAATCATGTTGGAAAAAACACCAAAGAAATTCTATGGAAGCGGCCAGAATGTGATTTAATAAAACACTCACAGCCACAGCGATGGGATTTGCATATTTATGATTCAACAACAAGACAAGAGAAAGAGCTCGAGGAGAGCTAAAGGTCACAACGGAACAGATGAGAGCCCTGTAATGAGTGCGATTTCTGCGATCGAATAATCCACTTAACATCGAATGATGTGTGTGAGTGAGTGCGCCAATATTCCGGGCCGAAATTGCTGCTTGGGCAGGTTCATTTCTCATCGTCTTCAGAAGCAGCGCCTGAACACGTCACAAACAAGTTTGCTCGGAGCTTAAAAACCACCTAAGTGTTGCTGGAAGGCAATCCATCAGCTGGAATGCCCGAATATCTCACTAGTTGAACAACTCAGTCGCGTCTCACAGTATCTGAGTACCTGAGTATCTTTGTATCTCTGATTGATTGCGAATGTTTAGGAAACTGCACTCGATTAGCATAGAGGGTAGAATCGGATAGCATTGTGATCCGACAAGACAAAGGGGCATAAATTAAGATGCACTTTAGGTGCACTTAAAATGCGCTCAGATTGGATCGGCATGAAGCGCCCGCATGCGATGCAGATGCATCAGTCGTCAGTCATCACACGGGAAACTGGCGAGTGTGATGAAAAACATAAACGATGAGTAATCCCATCTACCATTTGGCATAGACACATTGGCAGGGGATTGTCAATGATGTATGTCAAATGTACAAAAATCCACTAAACCAAAGACACTCACCTCTCGGCCAGACCCTGCCTCAGACTCCGACTGTGGCTTCGACTTGGAATCCGGCATCCACTGCAGTTTCAACGTAGCGAAGGCCACAGCAAAACGCGGGCAACCGCGAAATTGGCCAAGTAACATGGAAAACGTACGAAAAGGAAAATCCACACCGACGCCAACAGCAGCCGGTATGTGGGGTGGTGTGGTGCGGAGGTGAGTGGCGGGCAAGGGGCGTAGAGTGTAATCTCGGGCGATGTTCATCAAGTTTCGTGATCATCTTTGTTGCAGTGGCTCAGCTCCGGAGCTGTAGCTGAAGCTGGAGCTGTTTCAGTTTGCAGTTTGCAGCAGTTATTGCTGTAATTTTTATGAATTGCAACTGACATTTCCTACACGCTGCAAAAGTTTAAAGTTTAAGCCGAAAATTGCATTTTTCCAAGCCACTAGACTACCAGCCGGCCGGCAAAACGGGAATCGAATGGAAAGAGGCTCGAAAAGGGGGCTCAGAAAAGGGGAATCAGAAAAGGGGCCTCAGAAAAGGGGCCAAGTGGTAACTGGTGCAAGGGAGTGGCGGCCTGACCTGGTCAGCGAAATTGAGATAGCATATTGGGCAAAGGGCAGACACATCAGACATATCCAGATCCTAGAGCCGCAAACAAAGCCACATAATGCTCTTTAACGATGCATTCAAATGGACAAGTTGGCCACGCCCCACCACGCCCCACCGACCTACTCAAATGTCAATAGAAATGCCGCAAAATGTTTTACCGATCTGCATTGCAATCGCAGTGCTCAAGTGCCCGAGTGCCCAAGTGGCCAAATGGGCAATTCATCAAAACGAATCCAATTGCAACATCGGTAATCTTTTAATTAATATTTGAGCTGGAGAATTATTGCGGCGAACGGAGCATCCAGCAGCCGACGGAGGGGCCTTAATCAAATGAAGTTCGCATTGCTAATTCACATAAATTAATGCCCGGGTAGATGTGGAGAACCAATCTCGGCATACACCGCGTATGCGCAACGAGTTTCAAATGCAAATGGGCGTTGCGCATACGCCGAGTGGTACATTGAAGGCAGCAGCAGTACCAGCAGCAACAGCAGCACCTCTTCCGATTCTGCCGCTGTCAGGCAAACAAACACAGTTTGTTGCTCCCCCAACCTGCTCGCTCCTCTTTCTACTGCATGTCGCTGCGGATGCCGTCGCGGCATCTGGCTCTGCCACTGCCTCCGCTTGGCCTGCAGCGACTGCGGGCCCAGAGAGTGCACTTTTTTGGTATAAAAACGTTTGTGGCAACTGCATTCAAGTCAAAACACTTTTGACGAGCCTCCCCAGCGCAGTAATCGAAATCAAGTCGCGAATTCGAAGTGAGTTTTCCATCGTTCCATTCCATTCTTGGTGTTGTGCGAAGATCCTCCGGATCCTCTGATTACGAAAAAGTACTCTCAAAGTGAAACAGATCCTAGCCAGATCCCCAGAGCATCCTTGGACACTCGTATCCGAGAGAGAAGGGGAATGTGCGCCTTTTATGGATAATTTTCCCACGACCTTCATCGGCATCATCATCTTTGAAGAACTTTCAAAATCCGCTAAAGTCAATCGATGCATCATATACTAATTGCATAGCAACGAGTTTGACATTCAAAGCGGGCACAGACCGCCGCCGGCAACTCCATCGATGCTGAACCATCAGTTATGACTCTATTTAACCGACGCCCGTTTCATTCTCCCTCTCGGCCCAAAAGGTCATGCAGACACTCACCCACGCCTCCTGCCTTGCCCTGGCCCTGGTCCTCTGCTGCCTGGGCGCCGTCCACGCCCAGCCCCAGCGCGGTCTGCCTCCGCCGCGATCCAACTCGTTCGATGCCAACGCTGTGATACTGAAGCAGAACTTTGACCTCAATCCGGATGGATCGTATCAGTACAAGTGAGTGGAATCGTTCACAGATCTCCGGTGGTAGCTAAAACTCTACTGATACTCGACAGCTACGAGACGAGCAATGGAATCCGAGCTGACGAGGCGGGTTACCTGAAGAATCCGGGCACCCAAGTGGAGGCTCAGGTGAGTCTACTTTTGGGTGGAGGCTCCATTCCTCCGCAGCATACTTTGAGGAGCAATTTAAACTCTTTGTGTGGCTACAGGTGATGCAGGGCTCGTACTCCTACACCGGACCCGATGGCGTGGTCTACACCATCACATACATTGCTGATGAGAACGGATACCGTGCCGAGGGCGCCCACATACCCACACCACCTCCCGTCCGCGCAGCCGCCGCTCCCGGCAGATTCTTCAAATAATCAAGCAACCTTCAATCTTCTTTCTTCAAGTTCTGAATCAGAGATGAAAGATAATATATTGGACAGATAAGGAGATCGAGAGAGTGAGAGAGAGAGAGCAGCTGCTCATCAGAGGTACATGCATCCATTTCCACCGCCCCCGTCATTCCATTCCAGCTGAGACACCATCCTCCCTTCGTGCTTCATTCGTGCATTTCTACAGTCTTCCAATCCAATCCCCAACTCTAATCTATTCTACTTAGTGCTCTACGAACTGTGTGAGATACGTAATGTTTTGTAAGATATGTAAAATCGATTGTTAATCGCAAGCTAAGCAATAAAACGAATATTGCGCCAATAATCGCATCCAGTGATCCGATCCTCTCTAGGAGAAGGAGCGTAGCATGGTAATATATGACATGGCGGTGCGGACAATCTGCAGGGGATAATCAATCAGGACAATCAATAAACGGAAATCTGTGGAAGAGAAAAGCGCCTAGCTCACCGATGAGAACGCCTCCATGTTGGCCTCAAAGAAGTAGCCTGTGATGCGGAATCCGTGAGATGCCCGCATCATGCTGATCAGTAGAGAACGACAGATGGAGGAGGATTCCAAACCGGAGCCCAGGCTCTCGTGCCAGGGACTATCGTAGATGGCCCACTCGAAGAGTGCGCTCTCCGTCTTCACGTTCTCGCCGCAATAGCAGTAAATGTACGCCTGGATGATGATGGTGGCAATGAAGGAGGCATAGTAGACGCCCTCCGTCTGGCTGAAGGTGATCGAGAAGAGGTAGCCGAGCATGCAGAGCTGCAGCGAGGAAATGAAAAACTGGGCGCAGATGATCGGCTCGTAGCAGTGGTTCAGCTCCGTGCACATGTCAAGGCTCTTCTGGTACAGCGCAAAGATCTTGTTGAGCTTCGCCTGCGACTCCTCGGGGGTTTCGCTCTTGAAGCGCAGCACCTTGTACTGGGCGATCTTGAAGAAGGCGCACAGGTTGCTCGTGAAGGAGCAGAAGATGGTGTCCAGGCTGACGGCTGGCAGGACCACACCCGTGGAGGCAAATGCACACCACAAGAAGGTCAGCGCGTAGTTGCGTTTGTTGTGGATGTCCCAGGGAAAGCTGCAGGAAAGGCAATGAATGAATGTCCTCACATGTTCCAAGGGATACATACAGACAGGGAAAGGGTAGCTCTGGCTCGACATGTCCCGACAGCCAGTAGCTCAGACCCATTCGCACAAAGGGGAGGACACTGTTCAGGGCCCAGGCCAGGAAGAAGCAAGTCCGGAATATGCCGCACACCCGCTGATCCTGCTTGTTGGCCGTGATTATGATCTGGGCGTACTCATCGCCCTGTTCCCCCTCTAATCAGACAGATTGGTATCAGTGGGGGCCAACACAACCACATCCTGTCCTCCACTCACCATGGGTCATCAGGTGGCGAAACGTGTCAATCATCCGCCAAAAGTCTTTTCGCAGATAGATGATCATGCTGAACTTGAAGAGGCCCAATATGGTGATGAGCAGGGCCACCATAGCGTCCGCCAGCAGCATTACGTTCTTTAAGTTATGAATCACGGCTGCCAGGATGAACGGAAAGATGGTCGCAATGGAGTACACGTTGATGCACCTGTGCCGATATTTCCACATCTCACCAGAGCCGCTGAACAGATCAAAGCCAAGCATGGCGATGGTGGCCTTCTGCACCAGAAGAAAGTTTTCCGTTGTCGACATGTTGCAACTCCAAACTGTTCTCTCTCCAGGGTCCTCCGATGGGGTCCTTTTATGGATGTGCACGCACCGCCCAGTGCATTGGACATAGCTGATTATACGATATCTGAGTACTTTGACACCTCTTTGAGCATAGTAAATGAGAAGCAGGTTGGTGATTTGCTTTGCTAAATGTTCTTTATTGGCGCACTAACATCTGGAGGTGTCATCCTGATGTGGCGATGGGAGAGGCGTGGTCGGTTGTCAATCCATTTGTATGACAGTGCCGGCCTATCGACCCCAGCCACCCCAGCCGCCTCCGCGGCCACCCCAGCCGCCACCACGGCCACCCCAGCCGCCACCCCATCCGCGCCCTCCCCAGCCGCCTCCACGGCCACCCCAGCCGCCACCCCATCCGCGCCCTCCCCAGCCGCCTCCCCGAGCCTCTCGGTCGCCTTCGTTGGCATGGGCAGATCCCTGATCGGCCACGTCCAGCAGGCCAATCACTTGCTCGTTATTTTGGTTGTCATCCTGCTGGTTGTCCAGGGCGTAGGCGCAAGCAAGGCACAGGACGCCAATGAGGGCGAGCAGTGTTAGACGCATCTTCTTCGAGTTATTGGATATTGTCTCGATTCAATTGAGGAGTTTGAAGTCTGGAGTGCAACTGATGATCGGCCTTCTCGGCCAGGCGCCTTTTATCTGCTGTTTCGAACGATGGGATGAGCTGTCGTTCCTGTTCTCTTACCCAATACGCATCAATACGTTCTCAACTCTGGTAGAGGTACTCGCACTCGCACTCGCACTCGCACTCATATAATGCCTAACCCAAACCAAGGTGCATTCGTATATTTGTGAGAGAATATTTGGTATAGACATCACACAGATCAGGGGCTTTTTTTTGGACCGGGTTCTGTTTGTGTGTACCTATATTTCACCACAAGATTATTACACCCGTCGTTATTGTCGTTGACTGAATCATTTCCAATGCTAATGTCTCATTTTTGGATCTTTTGTGCGGCTCCTAAGTGGTCAGGTTGATGCATTGATCACTTGATCGGTGCTCAAATACGCTCTAATTTTTTGTGTAAGACCCGTTTGGATTAATGGCTTTTCCCAGGGATCTATCATCTGACACATGGCAAATGTTAAGGTAATCGCCCTCCCCTCCATTTTATCAATACTGGTTCCTTTGCAAACTGAATTCCCAATTCACAAGGACTCTTATGGAAATGATCTTCTAATTGTTAAATGAATGCCACGATCGAATCGTTTTGTAAGGAAGCGATCCTGGCTGGGGTGGGGTACACATCTCAGTCTACTCCAGGCTTGCGGTTCCGCTGCTGCGTCGTTATTGTTGGGTTTCGTTTTCCTCTCTTTCGATTAGGGTCACTCCAGTGGGAAAGAAAACGAGAGTTAAATGGTGGGCGGAAAAAATGTGGGTGGAGCGCACGCTCCCTCACAGTTTGATCTAGAGTTAAGAAAAGAAAACAGTTATGAACGTATAAGCCATTGAACCTATGCATTTGGAACAGGTTCTCTTGAAAGTGTTTTTTGTTGTATATTGTCCAAAATACAAACAATAATTTAACAACTTTCAGCAACTCGTGCGAGATACGATAATACGCAAACAGGCCCCTCGGTTCGCCGTCACAGAGCTTAGAGTTGATCTTTAGCAGATCTGTTCTGCGTAGAACTCAATTGAACAGCCCTCGTACATGGGTGTACCCCTAATAGCCCTAATATTTCTCTGGGTTCGATACACACCTACAGCTCTGCAACATAATATTGTGAAGTTTGTTTTTAGTTAAATATTTTTGGAATAGGAGCACAACTCTTCCAAATTTGTAACAATATTGTTAACAATATTTGCATTTCTTTTGCTGAATCATATTTAAGTGTTCAAATGGCTATGTATTTCTATGTTTGGCCGGTGGGGTAGGGTGGGACATTCCAATCAGGCCCGTTGCCGTTGCTTTTATCAACGGCTTGGGTTTATTTCTTTTGCAATACATCGTTTCATTTTATATCAGCAACTGTCGAAGACTATCTTCGAATTTTCAATGCGGGCATCGCGATCCCGACGACATCCAACGCATTGCAAACTTTTTGTACATTCAGCGCGAAACTATGGAAGGAGACCACTCCCTAATGGTCCTAATATGTGTATAACGGTAGTGGAAAATCCTGGTGATTGCTGCCCAAAGCATCGACGGCAGAATTTATAAGACAATTTACGTCAAGTCCTAGTATTCATCATTTCATATATTGTATTTCACTACAGCTGTGGAACATATGACCACGGAGAATATATGTAGGTGTCTCAGAAGTGTCCTAGGGCAAGTTCGGGACACAATTGCGGGCGGTCTAGACTGGGTTATGGCTATCAAGGAAATGACAAGGCCGTGCAATGTGCGATGAACCCCTAGCTGCTAATTGTTATACTTTCATTAGCTCCTACTTGAATGTGAATCTTTCGTCAGGGTTACTATCTTTTGGAATCTCAGTGGCATATCTCTAAATATACCCCCTAAAAGTGGCACGTATACTCTTAAAAGAACATTTAGCTGTGAGTTGATATTATCTGGAGGAATTCCATCCATGGTTAGCGAAACTTATGTCAATTTTCCATGTACATTGTCAGTACAAGATATTATTTATACTCTGTTTAAATTTCATTTAAAAATATAATTTTATTTATGGGTATATACAAAATTGCAATTTGTGGAGTCGATGCGTGATTTAACGTCCGTAGTGACCTCCGCGCCCTCCACCGTAGTGACCTCCGCGTCCTCCACCGTAGTGACCGCCACCACCGTAGTGACCTCCACCATAGCCGCGGGCCTCGCGATCACCGTTGACGGCATGGGCGGCTCCCTGATCAGCCACGTCCAAGAGATTCACCCGTTCGTCGCCGTCCACGAAATCTTGGCCATGGACGAAGGCCAGGCAGAGGAAGCCGATGAGTGCGAGAAGAATCAGACGCATCCTGAGTCGTTGTTGTTTTGAGGATTGTTCTTGGAGAATCACTGGATGATTGAGTGCGTTGTGCTGCGAGCAACTGTTGATCGTTGAGCCCAGGCACCGGCCTTTTATTTGGCCAGCAGTCCCTGGAGCACACACATCTGTTATTCCAGTTCTTGTTGACTATTTTCGCATTTGTGGTAGATGGAAGTTAATGTTTTCATTAAAATCCTGACGGCACAAACAAATGACGACTTTCGATGGCCGTTCGAACTTATTTAATTCGCAGTAGAAAACTTCGCGAAGCTCTGATGCTTTTTATTGGACATGAACACGAATAGCTTTGTTATTGAGAGAATTGCTTTATTTGCGTTGTGGGTCGATTATACACCCAAATTCAAATACGCTGTGGCGCTTGCTACCACCAATAGCTACGATAGCCATAGCCCCAGGGGCGATACGAAACGCGCCATCCACCGCCCCAACCTCCATTCCATCCGCCGCCCCATCCTCCTCCCCAGCCGCCCCAGAGCCAACGGGCCGGACGTTCCCCCTCCTCTGCATGCTGGCCACCCACATCGGCCACATCCGATAAGGCCACAGCGGGAACGGCATCCGACATGGGTTCTTGATTGTCCGGCCGAGCCATTGCCGCTCCCAGAAGGGCAGCGAGAGCAAAGACTAAGATGAGCTGCATTCGGACCATCCTCGCCAGTGGAACTGTGCCCCAGCCGGAGGCCACAGACACCTTTTATACTCGCCTGCACTTCGCGCACTTCTAATTGAAGTGTAAGTATTTGCAGTACATTTGCGGTCTCAGCCCTGACCCATACACCATATTATTCTTAATAAAAATGTTTATTAACACTAATTTGCATGGACCTGAAGAGGCAGAAAACCAAGACTTACACTAAGTTTTAACAAAGCGATCTTTATGGAAAGACCCGTCATACTCGTATCTGTCCATCGGGCATCGTTAATACTGAATAACTTATGGCCTAGCCGAGCAGGCCCAACAGACCGCCTAGTGCTTGTGAATTTCCACCACCGCCCGCTGCCGCTGCCGCTGCTCCGCCCGCTCCTCCTCCGTTGGCCAGATACGGGCGCAGACTACTGCCCAGGGCCTGGCCCAGGAGTCCGGCCAGCTGTGCCGTCTGTTCAGTGGATAGCTGTGGACTCCCGACTCCGGCTCCGGCTCCCACTCCCACTCCCGATCCAGCAGCCACTCCCAATGCTGATCCCGAAGGCGTGTAGGCGGGCGTGGCAGAAACTCCAGCTGCACTGCTTCCATACGACGGATAACCAGCGGCCACTGCTCCTCCTCCGCTGTAGTTTGGCCTGTAGCCGTAGTAGTTTCCGGTATATTGCTGGGGTCGCTGATATCCACCGAAGTTGTAGCTGGGCCGGTAGTAATTGGAGCCGTATCCCAGACCCAATCCGGGATAGCCATAGCCGTAGCCTGGATAGCTACTCGTATATGCGTACGGATTGTAGCTGGGCCTATAGTTGTAGCTGGGATAACTGCTGCCGTAGTACTGATCCGACTGGGCTCCAGCTGCTGCTGCAGCACCACCCACGGGCCGCTGTGGCGGCACTGGCTCTACGGGAACGTCAAAGAGGGATCCGCCCCCGATGCCTAGGAGGAGGGGCGTCAACAGACCCAAGGTACGTCCCTGGGGACGATCCGATCTCGATTTTCCGCTCCTCTGCGCCAAGACGGCAGTGAGAAGGAGACTCATCAGAGCCAAGCGCGCGGGAAGATTCATTCCGTATCCAAAAGGTGCAACTAATCTGAGGCCCAGTCCACAGCCAACTGAAGACTGGCCAGAAGAGCAAAATAAGTTATATAGCGGAAAAGTTCTTGGGCAAAATTTCCAAATTGGTTTGCCGCAAAACTTGCAGACCTTCACGAGCCCCAAATGACAATCCGTAGGCCGCGCGAGCGAGCGGAACTTTGCACGCACTTGGCCGAAACGTCATCAACTGGTTGCCCCAGATGGCTTCCACGCTCCGCTCAAACGATCTTCTGCAGACGGATTCGTTTTGCTTTGGGCATCGTCATCGGCACACCCGCCATTGACCTTGCCAAATAAGTCAGAAATCTGTTTCACACCGTTAACTCGATGGCTTACTTCCGCGGGTTTTTCGGTTTTTTTCGGCTTTTGTTTTTGTTACCAGTTTTGGGGGCGTTTTCGCAGAGCCAATTTAGTTTTGTGTTTGCTTTGCAATTAAAATTGTCAATAGCAAAAGCTAATAAGTAACTATTCATTGGAAGCAATCTCCCATTAAAGGTGCATCCCACCATCAGATCTATGAACTATGAGTTACTCGTATGAATGACAGTTGTGAATCATCTTATATACCTGGTAAATGGCTTGATCTCCCGTCCCCCATATACACATGTGTTGCCATGCACCCGCAGACTGCCGTGAATTATAACACATCCACTAATTGTGGAGACTTTGCGAGACATGGAAATCTCTGGCTCTTAATTTGATTGTCTGGCCCGACGTCTGACGAAATGTCTATCAAAACAATCAATTAATCAACTCGCATATAAACGGGAAACTACAACATACATTCTCATACACACACGCATATACACGTGGAATTACAATCACAGGAAAGATGCTGTAATTTGCCTAAGATGACGGCAGCTTGTCATGATTCCCTTCGCAGTACTCCTCCCCTCCTCCTCCTCCGATTAACCTGTTTACTTTTATCCAAGTGATGTACGATTTGTTTTGATCAAAACTTTTTCTCTTATGTGTTTATAACCCCATAAAGCTTTGAGTTTATACTCTTTAATTCGCAAACTAAATGAAATGCCACTTTTGATCATGTCATAAGTATTTTCTAGGGGAATCTGCATCTCAGAACTATGTTACATTGATCGGCTATCCCGTACTTTAATAAGAAAATCCTACGAGACTTTAAACGATCGGCCTGCAAGGGTATTTGAGGCTTCGGTTAGTCTTTTCTTCCAGATTTTTTAATGACAATCCACTGGATTGTGTCCCGGAGAAGAAACGAGTTCCACTTGCGTCAATTTTAAAAACTTTTTAAACAGAACCACCTCGTTTCGGCATGTAATTAATGTGCTTTACCTTATTAGCGAAACAAAAGCGGCCAATTCTGATTCCGATATGTATAAATGGCTATAAAGTAAACCCGCTCCAGTAGTAGATTGCCGCTGAATTGCTGCGCATATTTTGACTTTCTTCAGGTCAGTGATCACATGGAGGACTTCGACACGTTTGGTTTTTTTAAGCGGGAGAAGTAAACCCCCATTCTGGAGGCCTGTTCGGTGAATGAAGCTGTGAAGTGGCGATGTTTTTTGATTGTCTCTCTATTTGGTGGGAGATTCGTTCTGGAAGCAGCAATCGACGGGCATGGGAATTCCACTGACCTCGGGCACTTTTGCTGAAATCATCGAAAACCAGATAATTGCCGAGTGGCGGTAACTAATGATACTTGGGCCCGAATTCGCAGGATGATGATGTCGTTCTGCTTGCGGGACATCCCCGCTGTTGTTTACTATAAAAGACCCCGTGCCCATCCGATATGGCAATAGAAGCATTTCAAGACTCAAATATGAAACAATTCCTGCTGATAGCACTGGTCGGCGCTCTGGCCCTGGCACTGGTCCATAGTCATCCGTTGGAAGAGCAGCGCCTTACACTGGAGGACGCCGATGCCCAGCCCGTGAACGATGAGGGAGCCGGCATTCGAGCGGCCCGTCACTTTGGCGGCGGCTTTGGCGGATTCGGGGGCAGAGGAGGTGGCGGTTTCTGTTGCGGCGGAGGAGGCGGTGGATATCGCAGAGGCGGCTTTGGCGGCGGTGGCTTTGGAGGTGGTTATCCAGGTGGTGGCTTTGGAGGTGGCTATCCAGGTGGTGGCTTTGGAGGTGGTTATCCAGGTGGCTATGGAGGTGGCTACCCAGGCGGCGGTGGTGGTTATGGCAGTGCATCTGCCTCGGCTTCAGCCTCTGCATCCAGCTCCGGAGGATACTATGGCAAGTAATGGCCAAATGATCTGAACTGTGCTAAAAATAGATTAAAGTCGAAATTAAACCAACAAAAAATAACAGTTTTTCTGGGTGGGAAAGGGATCTATTTGGATGAGGAGTCGGAGGGACTCATCTCTTACGCACTTGACTAGGGAACTACGACGCGAACACTACGTTGGGTGCTGGAACCGGTTGCCGCTCGCTAATCCATCGGTATCATATTATTCCTGTTCGAAAATCTTCCACAGTACGGAAGATCGATTCGAATGCCAGATAAATCCCATTTGTTTCGATTGGAACCCAAGTATCGGCTGTTAATCGCTTGAGCCGTGAATTGGCAGTCGCTTGTGAAATGTTATGGTAAGAAGTGGACTTTTCTGGAACCATGTAACTTGTTTTCGAGCCAATCACTAATTGATACGTCAATAAAATAACTATTTTCAATCGTTTCCATTCACCCGGAGACCCGTAAATAGACCTTGGGATTCCTATTTTTGTTAGTACCAGACACAGACTTTCACCAGAAGCGTACTCGAACCGCCTTGGGGTAGGGCCACAGAGATAGGGCCCAAAGAAAAGGGAAGATCTTATGAATCACGGACTTCTAATTAGCAAAGGCAAATATTTTCCACTCTCGATTGTTGAATTCATTTCCGTGGAAACAGGCGCGCGCTGTCCCCATGATTCATATTTGTTCAAAACTTTCCTGTAATTGCACTCAATTAACGCCTCGCCCAGACAGATTTATAGAGCCTGAAAGGTCTCAAAAAATAAGTAGAACTTAGGTCTTAGTTGGGGGGTGGTAAAAGATTACAAAATAGTTTCGTCGCTTCTTAGCGAATTTCGCCGAATGATGGGGAAACTGTGTTCGGAAGAGTCCAACTCCAGGGGAAATGATTCATTTCATCAGCGGTGCCTACCACAACAAAACCGCAGAACGCAACATCACATCTGAAACGCCGCCCCCTCGTTGATCAGCCCCTAGTGCTGTCGTCACTGTCGCCAAAAACCGGCCAAAAAGGCTGGACTCTGACGGAAATGTTGTGCGACCTGGCGATGCTAATTGAATGGAAAGATGCACGGCAAATTAAATTAGTGTCCCACTACTGTCATCAAAAATGGGTACTGGGTGCCGAGTGCTGCCTGAGTCTGTCATAATAATTAGCGCGTAGTGGATAATGCTCGGCCAGATCGCACGTATAAAAGGAAAGCCAGCCCCAGTCCAGACACAGAACCCAAAGGAACTCCACGACCAGCGGACCATTCAAATATAAACCAAATCCAAAACAAAGTGATAATCCAATCTAACAAAAACCAACACACATACACATCCAATATGCAGTGCACGCTCTCCCTCTCCGTGATCGCAGTGATTGCCCTAATCTTCAGTCTGAACATGACCCAAGGGGCACCCATCAGCAGCAGCAGCAATACAGCGGCCATCCTCTCAGCAACAGATCTCACCGGGGAGGCGGTGCGTCAGAAGCGAGCCAGTGCGGATTACTACAGAGGCGACTACTTCATCTGCTATCCCAAGAGCGAGGTCTACGGCTATGCCTACGGTGGCTCCCAACGGCGTTCGGATGATTCCGTGGCCAGGCCACCACACCGCCTGGCCGATGACTCCTTTGAGGTCCGCAAGGATCGAGCCGATGCCAGACGCGCCGCCTACACTGATAGCTACGGCAAATAGGCGACTTGTCGGCACAGAACGACTGTAATACTTAGAGTGTAGAGGAGTTGCACAGGTCTAGCTTTATGAGTTGTACAAAATATAATTTATTAATTTATTAAAACCGTTTTGAAAAAATACTAAGCCTTGCCTTGTATTGTTAACAACAACAAGTCTCTGTCGAGTCCCCTGATGACGTATTGGATTTAGTATCATACGTATTCTCATGTATACAGATTTCGATTCAGCTCAAGAATATAGTATGTGTCTATATAGTACACGGGCTTGAAACGAAGTGGCGATGCTTCATGAATGCTACATAAATGGTACGCAATGCCAAATATACAAAAAGTAAAGCATACTTTTGAGCGGAACAAGAAAAATTTGTACTCCTACCCACAGCTTCTCAAGCTCCACATCCTTAAGCCCCAACCCGCCCATTTTCCTTAATTTGATGCGGAAATGTACCTTCTTCTCTATTTCTATAATGGAAAACTTCCAACTTGAGACTTGGAGCGCCGTTCTCGTTTGAGAAGTGTCCGCCCAGGGGAAGATGACTATTCCACCGTTACTATACTGAGTGGAGTGGATTGGGATGTACACAATGAATGTACTCACCACATGGCGAGTCGTCGCCACCGAAGCAAGCGCAATTTTCTGCAAGGCGATCTTTCGCTGGAGCGCTGAGACATTTCGCACCTTATTTGCTTTCGGTATTAGGCTAAAAGTGTGAATTGTTTATAAAGAGATTACAAAACGAAGACAAAATGATCTGTGGGCCGCAGTGTTCGACTTTTGCTGCCATAAAAACATAAAAAAAGCATCACTTTAAAAGAAAACCAACGCAGCGCTGCGGATAATTGCCAAAAGAAAGTTTCCCTAGGTCTCACGACTCACGGCCTCGGCATAAAAGGCCGTACCGGGGAGCCGGAAGCAAACAGTCAGCCAACGAGATCGCTACCAAAATGACCAACTTTATCGCGAAGAAATCCCTCCTGGTGCTCTCCCTGCTCTTGCTGGGCACCGTTCAGGCTCAACCTTTAGAGGATCACCACGGACGCGAGCAGCGCCAACTGAAGGGCGGCCCAGGAGCCAACACGGATGCGGATGTGAAGATGGTGGCCAATGTTACGCCGGCGGAAGCCACCTCCATGCAGATGGGTATGGGCATGTCCCTGCCGATGAATCAGATGGCCCTGAATGCAGTCGGTACTCAGCTGGTGCGGTATCCCAACTATCCGGGACTGATCTACGCCCCGGGCATCGCTCAGGGATCTCTGAATGGATTGAGTGGCCTGCAGACGAACATAGCCAACAATTATCCAGCCTATCCAGACCCGAATATGGTTGGAGCATCTCCTGGTTTCGGCGCGGCTTCTAGCTTCGGTGGAGCACCTGGTTTTGGTGGAACTCCTAGCTTTGGAGCAGCTCCGGGCTTTGGAACAGGTCCTGGCTTCAGTGCAGCCCCTGGCTTTGGCCCAGCTCCTGGATTCGGTACAGCTCCTGGCTTCGGCTTTGGAAGCTATCCAGGCGCTTCAAGCCCTGCCGCGCTCATGTACGGCAATCCCATGTCGTATCCAAATCCCCAGCTGCCCAACGGATTCGTGCCCCAGCCATCGGTGGACAACTTCTCGGCTCTGAACAACATCGTGAACATGGCCAATGTCCAAGGACTGGGAGGATCTAACCAAGGATTCTATCAAAATCCCCAGCTGCCCGGTCTCTATGCACCCGCCGGAGGCTACATGGAGCGCATGAACATGCAGGGATATGCACCCGCCTTCTAAGGGATTGCAAATACTCCACTATATACTTAAGTGCTTATTTATTTTATTTATTTAGCCAATTAAAAGAGCATTTAACCAGAAGGCCCTGCCTCGTCACTTGTACTTCTTTCTAGTTATCCAGCGGGGCGGGTGCTGGGGTTGTGGTCTATGATTCATTTGGGATCGACTGGCGATAAACTGACCCTTGCCAACGATCTGCGGAGGAAGTCCTCCCAGGCGCAGGCGGTAGCCATCCGCGAATCGCAGGTTCATCCTTTGTCCAGCTGAAACGAGGACGAGCATCAGCGGCAGGAAGAGCAGCAGCGAGAGCAGTGGGTTCCTCATCTTAGACAGAACTTTGGCCAGCAACTGGAGGCGCCTCGCTGCCAGCTGCAGCTTTTATGCCATGTTCTGTCCCACTTTTCATCAGTCCATCCTCTGGATGAGCGTCAGAGTCTGGGACTCCAACTCGAAAGTAGGCAAACAGCGAGTAAGAAAACGGGTTTGTTGGCCATATGACTCCTCATATATCACCGCGAACCCCGAACAGAGTTACCTCTTTGCGTGCCCCATTTAAGCAGCAGGTGTCAAGTGCAAGGCTCTCCTCTCCCCCAGTGGGAAACCAGTACTCGCGTAGGACCGAGTGCGTCTTATGCGACATCGGGCCCAAACGGTCATGCATTCTGGCTGAAAGTGAAATGGAACACGCTGATTCGCACCCGCTGCGCCTGTGACAGTATGCCGTTCCGTTCTCGATTTGCCAGGCAGATAAAGTGCGTAAAGAGTGTGTAATGCGAGTGTATTTATAAGGAATGAGAGCCTTTTCCAGCTCTGATTTACGATCTACCACATGGCGACATGGAGGACAGAAGTGATTTGTGCACCTACCTGCAGACCCGAACCCAAGCCCAAACCCAAACCATTGATAAGTTCCCTCTCCAAGAGTGTGCGTGTGTGATTTGTGTTGAGTGCACTGCAGGTAGGAGTACTCGAATGGGATTGGGATAATCCGATAATGGACGCGACTCCCCCGCTCTCGGGCACTCTCGACAGAAGCGTATATATAGAGCCTTGCGGAGGGGTCAGAGGGCAACAGTCTTCTATCAGCAAGGGCACCATGCACATGTACTACTCCTCAGTGCTGCTCCTTCTGCTTCCTTTTGTGATACTGGATCTCTGTGCAGCCAAGCCTTGGTGGCCCTCAAACGATGTCGGCTACGATGCCAGTCTCGATCCGGTGGCCTGGTCCCGGGCCTTTGTCCAGGAAAAAGTGCGCACATCCCGCAGGAACAAGAACCGGCACCAGCAGTCCACCGACTGGTGGTACCATACACCCTCTGCTCCCGAGCCGACGGCAGCTCCTCTCAACTTTGTGAACAAAAATAGCTACAGGAGATTCCTGAAGAGGCGCCGCAAGCTGGTAGCACGTGAGCATTACCTACAGAGGCATCCACACTCATATTCACATTCATATCGACATCGACATTAGGTGCTAAGCGTACATTAATTTCTAGTAATTAGCGCATTAAACAAAAGACCAAGAAGAAGGCCCAAACAAGCTTGCTGTTTTATTTTTAGGCCGGATGGGAAGTCGCGCGCGTCAGCAAAAACCTGACTCGCTTCGATTAGCAGGAGTCTGAAGATAAATCCCAGATACGAGTATATCCCAAACAAGTTCTTGAATGGGGGATCGAACTGGGGCACGTTATAGCTGCTGCTTGTCCGAAGCAAACAGAGATCAGAGACGCTGGCTAAGGTCAATCCGTTGACGTTTCAAGAGCATAGACCATTGGTAATATGGTAACATGGTAAAGATATTAGCAAACATGATGTAACTTTTGGCAGATACAGCTAAAGACATGAGCAAACCAATCGACTGTCGCGGACTCTGTTTGCCCACACACTCCACCAGGCCCAGACCAGACCGACCCCTCCCAAAAGTCTAACACAATTTGGATGAATGAAAGTACGAGTATATTTGGCCAAGATAGAGACCAGCGACAGAGGCAGAGGCAACGACAGCGATGGGCCCATAATGTTGACACCAGAAATTAGCAGCTCTCCGCACGAGTCCAAGACCAAGACCAGACCACCAGGCCAGCAGACCACCAGGCCAGAAGCATGTATAAAAACCTAGTTGTCATGGCACTTGGAATTAAGTACCAGCCCAACATCTATCACATCAGCAGCAATCTACTCGCACCATCCCAGCCAAAAGATGAATTTCCTCAGCCTCGCCCTCATCGTTGTCGTCTGTGCCGTGAGCAGCAGTTGGAGCCTTCCCGTGGAGTTGGATACCGGCGCCATCAGCCTGCTGGATCTGGAGGCAGAACAACAACCGCTTGTAGATGGGACAGAGGCCGAACGTGTGGCACGTGGACTGGGCGGCTTTGGCGGGCTCGGTGGCAAGTTTGGCGGCCTGGGAGGAGGACTGGGTGGGCTCAAGGGAGGATTTGGCGGAGGACTGGGACACGGCTTTGGCGGCGGCTTCGGCGGACATGGCTTTGGCGGCGGCTTCGGTAGCTTCAAAGGACTGTTTGACAAGAAATTCCGATAACTCCGATGATCGCGATATCCTAGCTGTAGATCATGTTTATTTTGTAATAAATTTTGTTTAAGTGAAATTTAAAAGTTGCCCATTTGGTAAACAGGATTCAGTGCTCCATAGAACTGTTGATCAGGCTGAGAAGTGGTGCTCCTAGTTCTGGTCTTAACTGTGGGACTGGTCAAGGGCTCTGCCAGCGGTTTGGTCTTCGTTTTCGGCTTGGGCTGCCAGCGGCTGAAGGCGAGGCGCACTTGATTGGCAAAGCTGCGCCACCATCTATTACCAGTGGTGGTAAGCGGGGCCACCTGGGGATCGTACTCCCGCTCATCCAGAGCCAAGACCTGGCCGAGAATGATCCACACCAACAGCAAGCGAAGCAGAGACAACATTTTAACAAGTGGCCCCCCGATGAGTCCACTTATAAACACTTTCTGGCCGTTGCTTTCTTCGACTCTACACAACTTATTCGATTGATTGTAGGCCATAAAGTCCCGACTCGATTGGTTTGCATAACGTTAACATTTATTGAAGTATCACAAAATCACAAAATCAGCATCCGACTCGGACGATCTCTCTTAGCCATAGAAGCCGCCGCCGTAGTAGCCTCCTCGGCCGCGGTAGCGGGTGCGTGTTATGACGCGAGTGCGCTGGAATCCGCCACCAAAGCCGCCGCCGTATCCACCATAGCCTCCGTAGTAGGGTGGTGGGGGTGGTCCAAAAAAGGGCGGAGGCGGTGGCGGGCCAAAGAACTGACGAACCTTGCGAACGTTCTCATCTCCCGCCTCACTCTGGGCAGTTTCTCCAGCCTCCGAGAGCTGAACGGGGCTCGGCTTCGGATCCGTTCCTGTTTCCGTTTCCGCTTCTGTGGCTGCAATCGAAGCACCGAGCAGCATCAACGCACTGAGGCAGAACAGTAAGAATACTTTGGTGTAATCCATTGGGAGCCGCATTCGCATTAAGACTTGATCAAACACTGAAACTGAGCTCCGACCTGAGCTTTAATTTATAGCCAAACATTTGCTTTGTCCCTCCAAGAACCCTACCAGAGCCGCAAAACAAAGGAGGTTCATTGGCATTGTTGATTGCCATTTGGAGGTGTTTTATTTTTTCTTCTTTTCTTTTTCGTCTAATTTCAATTTTGAGCCGAGCAAAAAGCGGGCGAGCATAATTATTGGAATAAAAAACCCAACAAACGAACTACAGAAATAGATGAAGTTGACCCAATCTTAATGTGATGATGGAACGAGATGTGAGGCGGAAGTGTGTGCGATACAGTGGGCCGAGAAGTGTGTAATTGTGATCGTCTGATATCGATGCGGAATGTAATCTGATTGTATGGCACTAGCTGAGCTCTTTATAGCTATACCTGTGTACTCTATGGGTTCGAACTTTAATCTTTGAAGGTATCTTGAAGTTCATCTCTATGGGAGTTCACACATTCTGAGCTCTAATAGTGTCCAAGATCTCTATAAGAATATACACCCCAGCACCATATAATATCAGATCAAACAAGTCTAGTGTCTTCTCTAGTGATTACCCAATCTTAACCACTGTTACTATTTGATGGATTGCTCGTTGTTTACCACTTAGATCCCATCCGGCTCGCTTCGCGAGAAATTCAGTGAGCAAACACACACGGCAGAAAGACCATTCCAGAAATATCACCGCAACAAAAACAACCCGTTCAAGTGAAATATGCAATCTCATCAGATCTGTTGATTCCAAACACTCAGAAAATGAAGCTCGTTTGTCGTTTATTTATTGTTTACACTCAAGACCTATTCAACCAATGAAACCGCCTTTAAATTTGGCAAATCCCACGGCGCCGCCAACAAAGCCACCGCCAAAGCCCCCACCACCGCCGCCCAGTCCGAGCCCACTCAAGCCTCCTCCTGGAGCGAGTCCCAGGCCATTGTATCCATAGCCGTAGCCATAACTGGGGATCGTCTGGACCGTGGAAATAGTCGAGATAACCGGCACTGTGGTGATAACGGGCACTGTTTGAACCAGGGGAACCGTTTGAATAGCAGGAGCAGCCACCACACCACCGCCCCCAATGAAGCCTCCGCCCACAATGCCGCCGCCTCCCAGGCCGCCAATGTGCCGTGTCCTTCTCACAAGGTCCGTGTTGCTGTTGCCGTCTCCGCCTCCGCTGCTGGCAGTGATGGGGCTGGACGTGACCGAGGCAAGCGCCAAGACGAGCGCCAGGTAAACCGTCCTCAACAGCATGGTGCGATGGAGTGTTTTGCCTGCCTCGGCACTTGGCCGGGTATTTATGCAAATTAATTAGTGTCCACTCCCACTCCGGCCACACGGCTCGGAACTGTTTGTGCAACCAATTCACAGATCGGGAGCCGAAAATCCCCAACATGACAGCGCAGAGCACTGTTGCTGATTCTAGTGATACTCATGGGTTTGCCCTATGGGCGGTTCGCACCTCATCATCTTCGTCATCATTGCCACATCGTGAAGGTCTTGGTATACACAATATGTACCTTCGTGTGCATAAAAAACCAGGTTAAGTCTTGTCTCGCGTCTCACAACGTATCTGACCACGCGACAACGATGAGGTTCGATCTGCAATTACTGCTTTTGAGCATCTGCTCCTGGACGATCAGTGCCCACTCCCTGGTTGGTGCCGGAGTTGGAGGAGTCGCTGGAGTGGCTGGAGTTGGCGGTGGATTTGTCCAGCAATCGCCATACATCCAACAAGTGCCCGTCGTGCAACAAGTGCCCATTGTGCAACAGATTCCCATTGTGCAGCAGCCGCAGCCGCAGGCCTTGGGACTAGCCGGGGGTGGGCTGATAGGAGGCGGAATCGGCGGCGGCGTTGGCGCAGCAGCTGGCTTTGGACGCTATCGGGAGAGCTACCGGGTGAGAGGGCGTGGCCTTGGTGGCGGATTCCGTGCTCGCTACGACAAGAAGATTGGCGGTGGCTTTGCGGGCTTTGGAGCAGCAGCGGGAGCCGGGGCAATAGGTGGAGCAGGCGGCGGTCTGCTAGGCTAAGTGTTAGTGTGTTTTAGAATAAATAAATCAATAATAGCAAATAATTATAATTAAAATCAACACGACAATCTTAAAAACGTAGGTTTCGTATTTGCGGATAAGTCCTTCGGGGCAGGTCTTCAGGGGCATCATCTTCGGGGAGATATTTTCCGCGTAGAAACTCCACGTTGGCTGATGTAATTTGGAAGAGATTTTAGCACTTCGCCCTTCACCACCAAATGAACCTCAGAAAGAGTGTGAACAACAGAAAGAAGGCGAAAGCGAAGCGGTGGAATTTTCCCTTCCAGCCACACAATCTCCCAATTCTCTGGGTCCACGAAGGGTGCATATGTGGAAACTGCGGCTCCGTCGGGTATACGATGGGATCCGACTCCTGGGGATCCCCCAGAATAGGCTTCACGACAACATGAAAGCCGGAGATGCGCTTGCCATCGAGCTGCATGGCCCGATAGAGGCCCATTCGGTCGAGGTACCGTAGACGGATGGCGTCGGGCGTCTCGCGTATCTTCAGGATTGTGCCCACGGCGTGGAACGATTTCAGGATCTTCTCGGTGGCTCTCCGTGGGAAGCCTCTCAGTTCCACCCATTTGACGGGAATTCCAGCCGAACCCCAAGCTTCAGTCTCAGTCGGTGTATCATGCTCGCGTTCCGGCCAGACGGGACGTGGGGACTTTGGTCCATTCTGGGCTGGAGCAGGACGATACTCAACGTTCCGGGTATTCCGTATCAGGGATCGTGAAGGGGGGAGCCATTCACTGTAGCGCTGCGGAGTCTCAGTCGATGTCTTATGCTCGCGTTCCGGACAGAAGGGACGTGGGGACTTTGGTACATTCTGGGCTGGAGCCGGACGATACTCAAGGTTCCAGGTATTCCGTATCGGGGATCGTGAAGGGGGGAGCCAATCACTGTGGCGCTGCTGCGTAAACTCCCCCGCCTCGGGGGTGCCGGAATTCACTCGAGTCCACTCAACCGGCCATCCTGGAACGCAGCCCGCTTGCTCCTGTCGGCAGTCCTCGGCGACCGAGCGTTTTTTTTCATTGCTGCCATGGTCAGTTGTTTCATAGATGGAAGCCATGGAGTTATTTCAAATTAAATTTGTGAAAATTAAAGAACCGAATCGTTGTTCTCCGAACGAGACTCAATTTGAAACTGAATAATCCAATGACAATACAACAGAATGTCAAATTTCTAATGGCAGTTGGGGAAAAGTAGTCGCCACATTTCAAGGACTACTAAATCTATGTCTTCTACTATGTGAGCTCGACATGCAATAAATGCATTGGTCTATGCTTTAAATAAAACTTTATTTAGCTTTTGACGTACTCGTATGTGTATAAAGTATAGTACAGCATATGTATAATGTTTTCGATTAGTTAACAAATTCCGGTACCGAAACGAATGTCTTTTTGCGGCAGCTCTTTCCGGATCCGTTTCACATGCGTCTTTCACAAACTAATCTTACCTAGGGCCCTCCCTTTACTGTGGGATCGTGGGACTGTTATATATATATGTATTTTGTTATAGTATAATAATCTTTCTAGGCGTAAGACGTTCACAATACCGAAACTATTCCCCTACGTACACACACACACATTTTAAATAACTTGGCTAGCTACTCATAATCGTACTCGCACATTGAAACAAAAAGCCCTGCAGTAGCCCAATATTTTCTCTTATAAATAAATACACTTGTAAAATAATATTTCTGTTCTGTTTCGTTTCATTTTGGGCAATAAATACTATTGAAAACAGCAAAAGCATAACAACAACGTGTGCTGTTTGGGACTGAGTTTTTGTTTGCAGAATGTTTGGAAGCAGCTCGAAAATGAGCAAAGAAAAATTGCATTTAATAAATTATAATTTACAATAGCGGGCGCGGGTGTGTGTGGATTCTGTTTATTGTATAACATATCTATAATAAATAACATTGCATGTCCGCTTGCGGGAGGGTCTACTGACTGGTTAGCCTGACTTGTGTTCGATCTAGTTTCAATTGTGACAAGATACACATAACTCTCTTTTACCTTTTCTCTTTTCTGTTGCAATTTTTTTTTAGTGATTTTAGTGCAATAAATCAACAAATAAATAAATACATGCACTTAAAAGTTACACCTAAGTTACGCGATTGAGGGGAGGGTGAGGATGTGAGGGTAGTGGATCAGACTACTGGTCCTTGTAATTGCATCTCGTCTGCCTATATCCCATATAATGTTCTCCACTCGTATTTCCTGCCATTAGACACCAGAGTCGTAGACTCGTATTTCTGCTGTATGCAATTATAGTAGGATTCTCTGCTTATATACTATTTAACCTGAGCCCGAATGTGTTGCAAGAATTCATAGTACGATAAACTCGATTCACTGCGATCGTCGGTTAATCTCTCAATAAACTGACCCTTGGCCGTGCTCGTGTCTCTGTTTTTCGGACAGAAGAGAAATCGATTAGAAATTGGCCCTCTTTACGCTGGATTTGAAGCACTCACCTGATTATCTGTACCAGTGCCGAATAGGGTTTGTCGTAGTTGAGGCGCAACAAAAAGCGCTGCAGTATATCGTACTCGGCACTCACAATATGAGGCAATCCATACACGTAGTCGCCCAGCTCCGCAGTTGAGCTGATGCCTAAAACCGAGAAGGACAGCATTAAAGCCAGGAAGTTTACCCTGGGGCGACAGATATCTTACCCAGCACTGCCTCCAGGACATCGGGTGGCACATTGAGGCCGACATAGAGCATTATCAGTTGGCCACAGTCCATCAGGAATATGGAACGAGAGTCCAGGCTTTAAATTGTAAATTTAATTTGTTAAATTTATCTGTCTGTACGAGGATATACGGTTTTCGAACTTACTGCTCCGCAGATAATTGCAGGCGTGGCACTTCCGGTAGCGGCTCCTCCTCGTCGTCTTCTTCAGTCGTGCTCGCATTGGAGTTGCGGGCATGGTAGATGAGCACATCGATCTTGTACAGCTCCGGATAGACAAACTTCATCAGCTGATCCAGCGGCAAGGTCTTCATGCAGTCCATGGCATACACACGATCATCCAGGCGTGTGCTAGTTCCCACACGGAAAGCAGGCTAAAACGAAGAGTTTAGGGAAACGATATTGACTGCGAATTGAAGGATATACATAAATACATACATGCTTGAGCAGCCCTAAGATGTAGAGGGGCATCAGAGCCAGACTACGGGGAGCAATCAGTTGGCCCGACTGTCCGGAGGGCAGATTTTGTGCAATCTTAAATGCATTGAACACGTCGATGGTTGCATTGATGAAGGCGTCGCGAGCATCGGACAGATTCGAGGCTATTGACCGGTCCACGGCCATCTTGGACAGCAGCCCGATAATCGCCTCCGTGTCGGCGGAGTGCATAACCTCGGGCAGCGACGACGTCACCGGCAGGCACACCGTATGCACCCGAATGCGTCGCTCGCCCTCGCTGTTCGTGTAGAGAAGCGCTGCCTGGAAGCAGATCGTCTTGACGTCGGTGAGGCTCTCCTCGTACGAAATTTGCATTCCGTAGCCCGCATCCGGGTTAACGTTGGGCAGCGACAGCAGATCCGTGGAGCGCACAAAGAAGTTGCCGTGGAATGTGTGAACCTGCAGGCCGCGAGTGCAACGGATGCGCATCACCGCCTCGAAGCCGATTTTGCGTGTCAGATAGCGCTTGAAGCACATCCTGAACGAGTCCACCATATGCTGCTTGGTCTTCTGGTACAGCGGGAAATGGTGGACACAGCCGCCGCTGTGTTTGCTGATGCCAGCTGCAAGTGGGGGAATATATTAGTGAACGGATGGAGTAGGGGTCATCCTGGGTAGACTCACAAATGGTCGCCATGTCGCTGTACTGCTGGTTCATCAGGAAGAGGTCGCAGGCAATCTGGTAGCCCGAGCACTCTAGCGCAAAGCGCTTGTAGAAGTCCGTGGCCGGATTTAGGTGTGCCACATCCTTGGCCGAGCGATTGTTGGGATCCTCGCGCGGCTCCAGAGAGCCGGGACCCTTGTTGGGAAGGCACGCTTGAAAGACGGTGATGCGTCCACCAGACGACTGCTGCGATTACAATACAAAGGAATGTCATCGTTTCTAAATATCCCCGAGTTTTACGAGTAGTTACCATCAGCTTGAAGGCCACCTGCAAGGCGGAACCCAGAGCGGAGCCGGGATCATGTGTGTGGGCGAATCGTTTGGGCAGAAGCTTGAGGAGATCACGCACCAGCTCTTTGCACTCCTTGAGGTTCACCAGGAGGCTGTCGGGACGCGGCAGGAAGGGCTCGTCAATGTCCAGCAGCGTCATCTCGTGCGGCTGATTCAGACCCTCAGCCATGCTGTAGAAGTGCACGAAGCTGTCGTAGCAGATGAAGCCCACCTGAGTCCGTGCATCGCCTGGCATCTCGTCCAAATGCCGGTTGAGCACCGAACAGGCCGCCTCCAGGTAGCCGCTCTGCTGGGCAATGATCGACACGTCGAAGAGGAACAGATACATGGCCGGCTGCGGTGGACGTAGCATGTACTCCGACGGCGCAATGAACTCAATGGTGCTGGAGCGCACTTCTGGCCGTCGGGTCACATCGCCGTAGGTCTTGGTGGCCGGATCGAACTGGAAATCTTCGGGCACTGAAAGAGGCAGAATTTGCATATCGTTTCTTGTCATTGATAAGGGATTCGATTCAACTGTAACTCACACTCGTTCACGCGATAGCAGAGGTTGCACTTCCACATCTTGCTGTCCACAAAATAGACAAAGGGATTGATGTACGTGCGGCACAACCGGCAGCGCACAATGTTGATGCACTGTATCACGGGCAGATTCTGTGAAATACAATACTTTAGTTGTAGCATTCAGATTGAGATTCAAGGATTCTCCATCTTACGTTCACATCGCGAAACGGATGAATCACTATGCCAAGAGGCAGCCGCGACTTCTGCAGCAGCGAATTGGTCTCGGGGATTTTCGTAACGGTGCAGCGCATAATGCTGGGGCTGCAGTTGATCGACTCGTGGAACTGATTGTGCAACACCACCTTGGGCGCCGGCAATG